GTTATATGTAGTGCACATTTGACATTGAAGTGTTCTCGTGTATCGACCAATTTCTTATCTCAAATATTACACTGTGGAGTGTTCTAAATGTTTTGATGATGACATGCACATGTGCAGGCTTTATACTTCCTAGATTGTCCATAGGCTAACAAAAAAAATTATTAGGAAATTTTCAAGAAAAATATGAATTTGTCACAAACACAAGCTATGAAAAAATATCATGTAAGTGTAAGAGATATTTCAATAATTTGGACTTCGCATGGGCAAACATGCTACATTTGTCGCATTTTTTTAGACGTTCCTTTAAACTCTTAATACTCAACCAATCAATAAATAGGCAATCTTTGAAATTTAAAGCTTTTTAGATTTATGAGCGTGTCTTATCTAGATTAAACAAACCCTTGCATAATTTTAACTGGTTTCAGTATTGTTTTTTATAAGATCCAAAGCTTCCTATTAAAGGTTAAGTTGCTTGTTTTAGTTTAAAAATACGGATAATTAATAAACGATTCATAACCGTAGCCTGATATCATCAAATTGTTGAGAGATTATATTTATGTTTTTATTTTACTGTTGCATATTTGAGTGTAAAATCACCTTTAAAAGGTAAAACAAAGGAAAACACCAGAACAAAGTGATTTTTTTTGTCTTTCATTACGTTCTGCTTATAAAATTATACTCGAAGGATTTTATAAAAGATAAGGATAAAAGTCTTTACACTAATAAATCAATGAATAAAAGGCTTTCCTACAAAGCATTTTCATTGAAATAATTTTGATAATTAGCATTCGAACTGTCTTTATATAAAGTAAATATTTCTTTGAATTTCAGTGGTTGGCATTACTCAGTCGCCCCTTGCGTTTCATCAAAGATGTTATATTTTGTTATGGCTATAACTTTGTAAATGTCTTCATACTTGTGCACAGAATTGCTAACGGTGTATCTCGTTGTGAAATAAATCGTTGAAAAGCAAAAATTCATCAGCCTTCATTTCTTGTAAAAGTTCTAGATGAACGGTGCGTGTAACCATACAATTAAATAAGCAAACCGACGTTTTTGCATTCAGTTTGTTTTCTGTTTTAAAATAAAGTGGACCAAAATAATCCAGACCTGTACTTGAGAATGGTTGTGATTTTCGTATTCATGCTATTGGAAAAGTTCCTAAAAGGCGGCATTTTGTATAGTTGCACTTACGCAACATTAATGATAGATCAAACTGTTAAATGGCTTTGTGGAATTTAATATTTGTAATGCATATTAGATAACGTATGTGCAATGCAACTATGAAGTGTTTTATGAGATATTTCTACAATTACATGTGTGAAACATTCATTATTTATTACGAGGCAGCAGTATTGAGCTTCTCGATCGCTTTTTCACTCAATCTCGCATTCTCTAGTCTGCCTTTGCTCCACAGAATACCGTTAACCTAAATAAAGAATCCTAACTGCCGTTGCAAGTTTGTTTATTTTGGTTGTTTATCCGCCTCCAACCTAACAGAAACTTGTTTTATGTACATGGTATATTCACATGTTTTCACTTTGTTGTATTTCTTCAGATGTCAATGCCTTATTTTCATATGATTGTTTTCTTATTTAAAAAATCTTATAGCAAACGCAGTCACTCTTAATAGTTTAGTCATAGACGAATATTTTGTTAAGTCAGTAACGAACGAAGCAGACGTTATCTTTGATTTGTATTCATTCTCCACCAGACTGAATAAACCATTATCACAATAAGCTTCTACAGTAGTATCTTGCACTTGAAAACTGAATTATTTCGCTATAGGCCAAGCGCTTATGTCATTTTAAGCGATTATGAACCTTGCCACTACATATTACACTGTGCATTAATGATCTAAGATTTGTACTTCTAGTAGCCTTATTCTCTAGGTTCTCTTGTGTTGTTACTGATTCTAATATTGTCATAAATTTGATTTCTTTCACTCTTTCTTTACCAGAACAGGTAGAGTTTTCATCGAGTTTATCCAACCTAAAACACACTGTGAGTCTGTCCATCAAGGTTTACTTTCAATTGATCGTATGTAAACAATTGGTCGTATGGGGGCTTGCGTTCATTGAACGCCGCCTTTCCTTGTTGATCTTGTGTATCATATTTTAAGACACCGAACAGATATAAATTAATTCCTAGCCATTAATTCCATTCTTAATAATGTCATTCCATTCACTGGTGCTTGACTTTGCAAACGCAATATCACATCGAGTTTTCACTTTTCTGGTGGAGATGTACAGCTGCAGCCATATGCTTATTATGATGTATCATAAAAACATAGCAGTTTGAAAGATACGTTTTTTTGTCATTGGCGGAAATGCATCACGGCATAGTAAACTGGAAAAAACTTTTTAAATTCGGATGCAATATTTGTCCATCCATGTCTTCGATCATTCCATCCCATTCAACTTTTCTGCTCCACAATTGTGGAGTAGGGGATTCCCCCTAACAAAATATAGGGACGAATAAACCGAGATAGTCAAACTCTGGTGTGAGCTGTTTAAAAAACTTATCTCTTTGTCACCATGCCAATCGTAATTGGTCGTATGGGGGCTTGCGTTCATTGAACGCCGCCTTTCCTTGTTGATCTTGTGTATCATATTTTAAGACACCGAACAGATATAAATTAATTCCTAGCCATTAATTCCATTCTTAATAATGTCATTCCATTCACTGGTGCATGACTTTGCAAACGCAATATCACATCGAGTTTTCACTTTTCTGGTGGAGATGTACAGCTGCAGCCATATGCTTATTATGATGTATCATAAAAACATAGCAGTTTGAAAGATACGTTTTTTTGTCATTGGCGGAAATGCATCACGGCATAGTAAACTGGAAAAAACTTTTTAAATTCGGATGCAATATTTGTCCATCCATGTCTTCGATCATTCCATCCCATTCAACTTTTCTGCTCCACAATTGTGGAGTAGGGGATTCCCCCTAACAAAATATAGGGACGAATAAACCGAGATAGTCAAACTCTGGTGTGAGCTGTTTAAAAAACTTATCTCTTTGTCACCATGCCAATCGTAGTTGTGGATTGCCAATGTATTTAACTGACTATCCTACATTACCTATTTTCTTTTCTTTTCTGCCTATGAATGCATACATGTTGCAATTATAAGGTTATTACCACACTTAAGAGAATTTTATATATGCATATAATCTAAAACAATTTTCAAACATCGAAGAATACGTAAAATATATGTACTGAAAATATTTGTCCACATTATATGTAATCATTAAAATATATGCATTCCTTTCTTACTGAAAAATTTGACTTGGACTTTATAGGAAATAAATTTCTAATTACCTCCCTTTATTAACATGAAATGTAAATTCGGTAATATATTTACAAATAATGCTTATTGGAACTTACAATATTGATAAAACTTCTTTTGAACATTATATTTATGATATACAACCACAAAAAATGAGTTACAGGATCTTTAATATAAAAGAGGATATTGATAATTAAGATTAAAAAAAACAACAATTTTTTATATTCATTTATTCAAATCCAAACGGGCAACATGAAATTTATAATATTGTATTACAAAACCATATACATTTATTCTATATATTTGATATAAAACTAAAATCTATATATTAGCGTTTACTTCAATAGTCTTTCCTTTAGTCTTTCCTCATGATTTTGCAATGATAATAGATCTCTGTCTAATGATCTGAACAACACACTACATTTCCGAAGACAAACTTTCTTAATAGTTTTGTTATCAGATTACAAATGTGTATTTGATTTATAATGAATTTTATTTGAGACTTGTAAACAGCATTGCAACATAAATCATAAACTATATAACGCTTTGTTTTCATAGTACATGCGTAGAATGAAAATTACCTAATAAATGTATATATTGTAGGTAGGAGAAGGAATAGATTTCGCCATATGAAAGCACATTAGCGTTTTGTTGCTTTAAGGTCATTGTATGTTTTTGACACAGATTGTTTGATTCTGTCTCTTTCGTAATCACAATTTGTCCCAGAACCGTTTTGAAGTGATCTCAATTTCTGTAAAAGAGACTGAATACGTAAAATATATGTACTGAAAATATTTGTCCACATTATATGTAATCATTAAAATATATGCATTCCTTTCTTACTGAAAAATTTGACTTGGACTTTATAGAAAATAAATTTCTAATTACCTCCCTTTATTAACATGAAATGTAAATTCGGTAATATATTTACAAATAATGCTTATTGGAACTTACAATATTGATAAAAACTTCTTTTGAACATTATATTTATGATATACAACCACAAAAAATGAGTTACAGGATCTTTAAGGGTTCTATTTCTCTTTTTTTCTTAGAAATGTATTTTCCATAACACAACAATATTAGCATGTTTGTTTTGTAGAAGTACAGTTGTCATCCGTTGTTTCACTTGTGCGTCCGTTAACCCACCACCCTAACTGGGAACTAAGCAGATGTAGCTATGGTTGAATATTCATTTTCTTTTTCTATGGTATCAGTAAAGTCGATACTGTTGACTGTATGATTCAATTTTCCATAGAATTAATGCCAGTCTTTTTTCGTTGAATGCTTCCATTCATCACATAAATGGTACTAACACTTGAATTCATATACATATGTACATGTATTGTCCCGTCGTTTAACCTCAACGTTACAGTAACGTCACTGAAAAAGTTTTAATTAATCACTTTTGTTTCTTTGTTCCCAGATGATACAAGATTTTTAACGTCGCCTTTGTTCTTCTTTAGCACTGATTTGTTAAATAATGTTTCTGTTACATCAGTACTTTAAGACCGTAATCTGACAACAATCTAACGTCAGCGCTTTTAGAAATTTCTTTTTTATTTACTTCCGTTTTTGCCATTTGCATTAAATCCATTTCTCCAGTCGACATCATGATGTTCTTTTCAGACACTGGCATTTCAATAGGCTCTGAAAATCTGTACACTACATGATAACCTCCTTGATTTTAATTTAGCAGAATATTGCCCTATCAAATGTCACGAGTTGTTGATATAATGTAAAACACGCATGCGCATTATCAACCTGAAAAAATGGTGAGGAAAATCTTAAAATAATTGTTTGGTCAAATGATTTTGTTATAGACAGTTTAAAATAGCCACCACCAATTATTTTTGTCAACTTGCATATAATTTAAAGAATGAGTGTCAAAACTGGTTTCGTCTTTAGCTTTTTTCCATAGTAATTACATTATTTTTTTAAGCCGAATGCTGTCAAACTGCTGAATCACTGCTAATCCTGGTGGGTGGGGTATGTAAAGATGGCAATAATCCTGTGCCTAAGTAAGACCTGAAAAAACACACTGAGGCAGAATGTGTTTGAAAGATTTTATCGATATTCAACTACTTTGAAATGATTTACAGACAGTTCACCCCTCAGACACTTTTTTGCAGACACTTGACCTAATTTTTGTGAATTTTGAGACACTTCACCCCCGTTTTTTGATGGAAGTGGCTAGCCGTACGGCTAGCCAGAAGTTCTAGCCGTAATGAGTCACGTACGACTAGCCAGGACACACTGTATTGGCTAGCCGTACGGCACTTTTCAAAAATATATGGAAGGCGAAAGTGCATATGTTAATTATGACTTTAAGCGAGTGTTTTAGTCAAGAATGTTTACTTTTTAGAGATTAATCGACGTGTTGGCTACAGTAAAGAATTTACTTTGTCATCTCAAGAAGTCGAGAAAAAATAGCGTTTGGTTGCAGTTAAATAACATCAATTGAAATAGTTTACAAAATTTGATAATAATCCTTTTTTGTTTCATTAAGTTTAATTTTCTTTATTAAAGTGAACACACTAGGACAAATGCGGAGATTTGATTAAAATCGTTGTTTAAAGACACAAAATAACAAATGCATTTTTGACTTCCATATAATTTTGAAAAGTGCCATATGGCTAGCCAATACAGTGTGTCCGGGCTAGTCGTACGTGACTCACGCATGGCTAGAACTTTTGAACTTCCTTTTTTGATACTGTATATATTATAATTGTAGACCTTATAAAATAGAAATATTGTTGTTGTTTTTATTTTTCCAAAGTAACCACAATGATATTCTTGAAATGTCTAATATTGGTAATAATATGATCATTTTTACATGGACATGTAGTCAATTCAGTAACTTGAGTAAGAGCTAGAGACTGGTTCCTGGATTCCCTTGTAAATTATGTATCTCATAGCTGTCTCTTAACGCAATGTATAACTGCTTAAAAGGATAATCAGATATTTTAACATACATAGTCTACCATTAGATTGGCAATTTTTGACATTACACAAAGCCTGGTGCCCAATGGTACAGTGTACTTCAAGATATTATCTGTTTTGTACCTTTTCAGTTATTTTCCTCCATATATAACAGAGGCCTATCACAGGCCTCTTCCCTAATGAAATATCAAAATTCTTAACAATGATGCAGTTTTCCCAAAAATCAAATAAGCAATTCTAGCGATACTTTATCCAAAAATTAAGCAAGAAAAACCACTGTATTATGTAAAGGAAGAAAGTAGAATGATTGGCATTACTAATTATGAATCTTGACTTTAAATAAATTCCCAATTTGCCTTATTTCACAACCGTAAATTTTCTAATTTAGCTTTTTTTTTGATGCATGACTAAAAAAATTTTTGAATTTTTCAGTACAATGTAGACTTTGACAGAAAGAAAAAAATGTTACATATATTTATTTGATAATTTTTTTTTAGCATTTAAGAGTACATATTTTTCACAGGAACTTGAAATTCCATCAATATTAATGATAATATCCCAAATATACCCCCTATACAGTATAAATAAACTGTTTATTTATACTGTATAGGGGGTATATTTTGGATATTATCATTAATACTGATAGAATTTCAAGTTCCTGTGATATTTTTGCAATGAAAGTGAGAGGGAAAAATTAAAATTCAAGCATTGTAACAAGCAGGGAAAAACAATAAATTTTGGTTTATATAGTTTAATCTTTATGCTATGTAGTTAGTTTAATAATGCTACTGTATTTTTTTCAGGGACAACAACAATCTGGTGGAAGTGGTGGTGGTGGAGAGAAGAAAGATGATAAAGTAAGATTGCTTGTATGACCTCAACAATCAAACTCAACAATGACAGAAAATTCTTTTCAAAATCATTATTAGAGTGAATACTAATTTTTAGACTACTTTATCCTGCTTAATATGCCTTCCATCCTGTATTTCATGCATGTTTTTATATGCCCGTAAGAATTTCGGACATATTATGTTATACCCCCTGGCGTCCGTCTGTCCGTCCGTTAGCAATTTGGTTTCCGGAGCATAACTTAAGTTCCATTTGGCCCACAGTATTCAAACTTCATAGGATGATTGCCCATATAGGGTAGAAGACCCCTATTGATTTTGGGGTCACAAGGTCGAAGGTCAAGGTCATTATTATGTAAATGCTGAAAATGGTTTCTGGAGCATAACTTAAGTTCTATTTGGCCCACTGTATTCAAACTTCATAGGGTGATTGTCCATATTGGGTAGAAGACCCCTATTGATTTTGGGGTCAAAAGTCAAGGTCACTATTAGCTTAATACTGAAAATGGTTTCCGGAGCATAACTTAAATTCCATTTGGCCCACAGTTTTCAAACTTTATAGGATGATTGTCCATATTGGGTAGAAGACCCCCTATTGATTTTAGGGTCACAAAGTCAAAGGTCAAGGTCACTATTACCCTAAAACTGAAAATGGTTTCTGGAGCATAACTTAAGTCCCATTTGGTCCACAGTATTCAAACTTCATAGGATGATTGTCCATATTGGGTAGAAGACCCCTATTGATTTTGGGGTCACAAGGTCAAAGATCAAGGTTACTATCACCTTTAAACTGGAAACAGTTTTCGCTCAATAATTCAAGCATTAATCAACCTACAGCTAAAGTACTTTCGGGCATATAATGCCCCCCTAGCGGTGCTCTTGTTTGCAATATGTTGAACAGTTGATAATTATTTGTTTTTCTAAACATTCCATTTAAGTATTCTTTGATATTGAGTGTTTGTGAAATCATTATAGAGCTGCAGTTTATTAATCTATTGAGGTGCTTGAGTATAACATTACCTAGAATTAGAAAATTTTTAAAATAAAAACTTTTTTATTTCTTTTTTTTTTTAGGAAAAGAAAAAGAAGTATGAACCACCAATTCCAACAAGAGTTGGGAAGAAAAAGAAAAAGATTAAAGGACCAGATGCTGCAAGCAAACTCCCAATGGGTACTATTTAGATAAAATGTGACTTGTTGAAATATTGTTTTCATTAAATATCCAAGATTGACTTATAAGTTATATAAAGTTATAAAAAACGACATAATTCACCAAAAGTGTTCTTAACTTTCTGTGGGTGGATTCATGCATTTAGTCAGAAATATAAAAAAAATAAAGGATATTAGTTTAAAATAAGATTTTCTCAAGTGTTTTAAATAGCTGTCTGTGGAGAGTTACATGTCTTTCTCTGTTAAGTTTTTCCTTAAAAAATATTTTTAAAGACTTCCTTTAAAAGTAGTTTGAACCTAGATTTATGTTTCAACTTCAGATAATCTCATTATGATTTTAGCATTTATTTTATAAAAACTACATTTAAATGTAGTTGCATGCTAACAGAACAGTCATAATTTTATTTATTTATTTGTGTCTTAGCATGTGAACCATAATGAATTATTCAGGTTTGACCTATTTTCTTGTTTTCAGTCACACCATATACGAGATGTAGGTTAAAACTACTGAAGCTAGAGAGGATCAAAGACTATCTACTAATGGAGGAAGAATTTATCCGAAACCAGGAAAGACTAAAGCCACAAGAAGAAAAACATGAGGTAATATTGTTGTTTAAAAATCTAATTTGTTGACAAGCAAGTTATTTTGTATGTACGCTACAATTTTTATAATGTCTGATATAAGAAATTCAAATCAGTGGAATCAGTAGGTGTCCACATTTTCAATAAGTGCTGAGATAGAAGAATTCATATGATTTGCCTTGTTTGTTATTGGACTCCCCCTGATACAAAAATGATAATGTAAAAATCTGTTGTTCATACATAATTTTGTTGATGTGGTGATATATTTTACAGGAAGAGAGAAGTAAAGTTGATGAGTTAAGAGGCTCCCCAATGTCTGTAGGTACACTGGAGGAAATAATTGATGATAACCATGCTATTGTATCTACATCTGTTGGCAGTGAACATTACGTCTCCATATTGTCCTTTGTTGATAAAGATCAACTAGAGCCAGGCTGCTCTGTACTTCTCAACCATAAGGTAATATACTAAATTATTTAATTAATAAAAAAAAAAGGCATGACCTTTTATCAAAATTTTAAGAATTCTGACTAAGATTTTCTTTCTAGATATTTTGTTCCTAAGAAAAAAAAGTTCTATAATGATCATCTAGAATTTTTTACTAGTTGAATTTATTAATGAGACAATTTAGCTGTATATAAATTCAATTTTGATTAAAATGTGAAAAAGTTGTTCTTGAGGGGATCAAAGATGGCTCAAAATCTACTTGATTTACATAATGTTTGAACAGGTGCATGCAGTTGTTGGAGTGCTAGGAGATGATACAGATCCCATGGTAACTGTGATGAAATTAGAAAAGGCTCCACAAGAAACATATGCTGATATAGGTGGTCTTGATACACAGATTCAAGAAATAAAGGTGCAATTTAATGATTTGTATAACTGTGATTTTATGATGCTAAAAATATCCGAAACACATTTTTAGCTATTTATACAATCATGTTGACATTCCTGTCCAAAAACGTTAATATTTGTCATAATTTATTTATTTCTCAATGGATTGCCTTCATACTTAGACACAGCAACCCTTTTGACAAGACCTTCAAGTTGACCAGACTGAACTTGACCTCTCAGTCATAAATTAACTTAATCTTCAAGGCCAAATGTTGGAATTTTCCTTGATGTTTGCTATAACTGGCTATAACTTTGTTTTGTGCAAATGGATCTTCTTCATACTTGAACAAACAATCCTTTGGACAAGACCTTTAAGTGGACTAAATTTAATATGAAATCTCGTAAAACCATTCTGTGGCTCTTCCGCCTGAGGTTTCCTGCCATGAACAGTTTTAAACTGAGACCATTACATACATGTATTTTTGCTATTTTTGATGATATCATTTGAAGTCTTGGTTGAATATAGAATGTAAAGTCTGCAGTCAATGAATTTAAGATTTTGAATTTACTAGACCGAATTCCAGTTTTTAATTTATTCTACTATATATTTAACTAAATTTTCTTGACCCGAGGCCAGTGCTAAATTCAATGACTAAATCTGCATATATTTCCTATATGAATTCAAATAATAAATTTTGTAAAGCTTACTTTACTTCACTCTTTTATACCTAATATATCCTCGTGAATGTGGATTAAATTCTCATTTCATAAGCATTTAATTAAAGTACAATAATAATGGCAGCAGTATGTAGAAGAAATTAATCTGTTTAGTGTTGCATGAACTTTTGTCTGTGATTTTCTTTTAAGGTTTAAACAATTCAAGTATTGCAGTTGTTTGGGTAATAGAGGAACTGAAAAGAGAACATACAAATCTCATTCCTCATTGGTGTATGACTTGTCACAATGTGGACGTGGGTTTCCATGTGAGGAAAACTTAAACTTAAATAAATAGATAGAAATATTCTCACATGAATTTGCTTGGTTGAGTTTAAGTCTTGGCTAATGTTTTTCTTTTTGCAGGAATCTGTAGAATTGCCTTTAACTCATCCAGAATATTATGAAGAAATGGGTATCAAACCTCCAAAGGGTGTTATTTTATATGGAGCACCTGGAACAGGTAAATATTCAGAATGTTTAGCAGAATACCAAACTCACCTAGATTTTCTGTGATAACTTTCAATAATGTATTATCATTTATTTTTTAAGCAGTGTTTATTATCTCAACTGATATTGATTATTTAATATTACTTGCTTTAAGTTATGCTAAAAATGAAATTAATAATAAAAAAAGATTGTCTGCTTTAACTTTAGACTTGTAAAAAAATTCCTTAAAGTGAATTTCTTAGATTGTATTAGATACTGACTTTGGTTTTGACAATGTACCAAATCTAAATTTTGAGGTTATATTTTTAGGTAAAACGTTACTTGCAAAGGCTGTTGCTAATCAAACATCTGCAACTTTCCTTAGAGTTGTTGGCTCAGAGCTTATACAAAAATATTTGGTAAGTGATGATGTAACTTGTCTTTTATAAGTGATGATGTAACTTGTCTTTTATAAGTGATGATGTAAATTGTCTTTAATAAGTGATGATGTAAATTGTCTTTAATAAGTGATGATGTAACTTGTCTTTTAGGTCAATGCCCTTTACATTTTCTTCTCTCAAGAGCAATGAAAATAAAGTTTTAAACAGAAAATTGCAGACTTAGTCTGTTCATGAAAGATAATGAAAGGTTTAAAATCTCTTATGCGCACAAGCACTGGCTTAAACTGTATTCAATATTCACCATAATAATGTATCAGGATCAGTAGTTTTACAAGTCAACATCTTTATAATACTACTGGCAATGGTTGTAATTAAGACCATATTTGGAAGGTTATTTGTAATGAAAAGATAATAATGGATCATTATACATGTAACACCAAAGTGCAAATAAAAACATCTATATATTTCTATGTTATAATTTTAGTAAAAGATCAAGCTATTGTGAAAATTCTTGAATTGATAATCTATTGTTAATGACACATAAGCAACGCTATTAAGTGAAATACAAAATGTGAAAATTGAAAATGGTAGAATAGAAAATAAACTGGATATATATTTACAGGGAGATGGTCCTAAGTTAGTGCGGGAGTTATTCCGTGTAGCAGAAGAGCATGCTCCATCTATAGTGTTCATTGATGAAATAGATGCTATTGGTACAAAAAGGTATGTCAGTTTACTGTTAGCTTCCAATGCTTGTAAAAGTTTATGTGGAATCTTATACTGCAGTGATTGAATGGCAACATAAACGTTAAATAAAGTATCTTTTTATTAAAACCTCAGCCATTAAATATGTTGATAATATTGTAACTTTTTGTAACTTACTTGAAATTTATTGTTCAATTTTCTTTAAAAGATATGATTCTAACTCTGGTGGTGAGAGGGAAATACAGAGAACCATGTTGGAATTACTCAATCAGCTTGATGGTTTTGATTCTAGAGGTGATGTTAAGGTAAGTTGTTGTAACTTTCAGATAAAAAAACAACAACAGAAAACTAGTTACGTTAAATTGTCAATAGCATGAAATAGAATTAAGTTTGTCTAAAAAGTCATAATCACAGGTCATTAATGCTTATTTATTTTTTTTTTGGTTAAAAATTAAATGAACTGATACTAGAAGAGCCAAGAGCAATTGTCTAGTTGTGATGTATTATATATTGTATAACTATTTAAAGTTTTTCGCCTATTTCAGGTAATTATGGCTACAAACAGAATAGAGACACTAGATCCAGCACTGATTCGACCAGGACGTATTGACAGGAAGATAGAGTTTCCTTTACCTGATGAGAAGACAAAACGTAGAATCTTTACTATTCATACAAGTCGTATGACATTGGCTGATGATGTGAACATTGATGATTACGTCATGGCCAAAGATGATCTCTCAGGTGCTGATATCAAGGTATGTACTTCACAAGATTTTAAAGTCTGAAGTTTTGAGCTATAAATGTTAGCTGTTTGGGTAACCAGGGCATTATTGTGCTATTTTGAAAAGATAAAAGTTATGGTGTTATACATCAAAGCCTAAACTGTTAGAAGTTCTAAAGTTAAATACCTGTTGTATATTGTAACTTTTCTGTACATAAGAAAAGATATTGTTTTACATACCAAGTTCTTGCACATGATAAAAGTGACACTCAAAGGCAAAATCAGAAACTTCTTTATTTACTGGTAGGGACATAATCATGCCTGGATTTCTATGTACATTTAAGGATTTGAAAGTAGCCTAAGTATTTAAAGTTGTATAACATACAAGTTGCTTCTCCTTATGTTAGTGGTAAAATTTCTTCAAAATCAAGGCTCATATTGTTTGAATTTGTGACCATTTATTGACATCAAAAGCAGAGAAGTGCTAAGGGACTGAATAATATCTGAACCAGCTGTTGATATGAATTAAAGTATATCTGTATCAACAATATATTCATATAATTAACAAGAAAACTGTTTAATTTACAGGCAATATGTACAGAGGCTGGTTTATTGGCTTTGAGAGAACGCAGAATGAAAGTTACAAATGAGGACTTTAAAAATGCTAAGGAAAATGTGCTATACAGAAAGAATGAAGGCTCACCAGAAGGACTTTATTTATAAATCTCAGTGCTTGTAGGAAGCTGTTTGCATATTTTGGAATATTAACTGATAATATACAATTTGTACTACATTGTTTTGCAAATGCAAGATTAAATATATTACTTTTTCTTTGTTTAAAGACAGGATTTAAAATGAAAAGTTAAAAGATATTTTGATAAGTGTGACCTAGTTTTAACAAAAATGATTTGAAGTCCTACGTATTTGTATTTCACTTATGTGCATAACAATGTTGATGATAATATACTTTGAATAAACTGATGTAAAATTATAAGATATTTCTTAATTTTTGATGTGCAAAGTATACACTTGATTATTAAGTTATCTGGTATGATGTAACTAATGACATGATAGTGTTGCTGATGGGTTCATAAGTGGATAAAACATATAACCTGAAAATGTGATGTGACCCCATGTGTTATTTTAGGGTTATTGGCAAGATTCTCTGGTATTTCCGTCAGCAACTTGTGCAAGGAATATATGATATTGCAGCAAATTCATTTACCACATGTTTACAAATAAAAAACGTAAAATAAGTCTTTAAAAGGCGTATTATACTACACAGTTATTGACTAGTAAGCACTTGCATATGATGTTATCACTTGAATGTCCCAAAGATTAAAGAAAAAACTGAAGATATTAATTTATGAAACGACTTCGTTATAACACTTTCATGAGCTATATTGTATTAATGTAACTTATACTTTTTTGTGAAGTCCAGAAATAAGACATACATGCAAACTGAACTGTAATGTATTGTTTGAATGATAATCACGCTTTTACTTGTTTATTGTCGGCTATGTCAAAGTCAAGCTAATAACTTCTTTGCATCGCTTACAAACTCACCACCAAGGACATGCGCGCAACAAAATACCACATACCATACTGGTTTAACAAAATCACAAGTCCGAAATCATATTACTCTAACAATAAAATTATTATATTATATACTGTACATGTACATATTTTGAAATATCGACTGCATGTATCGCATGCACAGATGAGACCGGACGCGAGTTTGGTTTATGATGACACTCCGTTATGACAAGGACGGCAAAATTTTATTTGCGATATTCCAACTATCGGACACGAGTTCGGATTATTCGGTATTCAATTGTTACACAATAAGAAACTGAAACAAAAAAAATACATTTACAAGGGATGGTGTAGAAAAATGGGCACTTAATACAGCTTTTGAAACGTTAGATATTTTTATAAAAATCAGAGACATAGATTACATCTCTGTAAAAATGTTATATATATACGTTCGTGCACACGCGCGCGCACACATAAACACATACTTTAACTTTTCTTCAGAAAACTATATCATTATATTACGAAAATTTTCTAACCATTTTTTTGCATTATACGAGGGTCATTCAATAAGTTCTGTCACTGGGTTCACATTTTGTAACTGCTGCGTTTAAAAAAATGTATTTCCCCTCTACCAAAATTCTCACTCAAGATTGACCATCCATTGCTTGGGCGCTTGTTATTGTAAAACGCCTCCCCTTTTTCAGTACAGAATTATTGTAGAACTGACCAGGCATTTGAACGACTGGTCCACTGGAATTAAAGTAAATCGAATACAACATCTTCTTTGTACTTAAGGACCTTTTGGCAATACAGGGTCGTTTGTATTTTTTTTTCGCAAATCGACCCTTCTTCGAGGCTCAAACATATGCATAAGTTTCATTACATGTCCGCAAGTTAGAAATATGCGATCTTAGGCACACTTAAGGCGATGTTTCTTTTGCTTCTTAGTTAGCAAATGGGGTACCCATCTAGCGCAAACGCAAACGCAAAGCGCAAACTTATACCAAAACGCTTAGTCAGAATCAATGTCGGAGTCCGATAATGGTCAATATTGCAATCTCGCAAAAGTCCGTGCTAGTCCTTGTCTATGTTAAATAAGACTTTTATGTGAATTTATAAAACATTTTACCGCCCGTTAGAGTAGTTACTGTTATTTTTGTTCCCCTACCATTTACAGTCAAAATATAACAATAAAGAAATAAATATTCTATTTTAATTTAATTTATGGAAATTTCATTTTAACTGGGTTATGTTACAAGCACTTCATTACACAATATAATACCATGAGTAAATAAATGTTGATCACAAACGTTTTTGAAAAAAAACCTTCTGACGCATTCAAGTGCATTGGTGGGTTTTAAAATACATGTACTATGAGGATAAAGCATCACTTATTGGATGTACGGAATGAGTTTTTACGGCCTTCACGCGGCACAAACAACGCTGTTGTGTTGGTAAACAAAACGGCTAAAGTGGCAAAATTAAAATTGCCGTAGCTAGCTCTGATACAGCCTGCCATTCATTGACGGTAGTGGTAAGTGCAAACTACACACCACCCCACCACAAGCACCGGACGGCAGCACAAGGTGAAGTTTTGTATCTCCTATTTTAATGAAAACAAAAATTTATTAATATACTACTGAAAAGTTGATAAGGTCTTAGGATCATTTATATAAATTTGTTAATTCCTTTACATAAGGTTGAAACGTTAAAATATTTGCAGTGATTCTGAAAATTTGTTCATTTGACATCAGTTTCGTGCCAAAAAATGAATAAGAGGCGGAACAGCGGTTGAAACTTGGTAGGGGCAATTATTCGGGATAACACGGAAAGGTAATTAATAAAATGGGGGTGTCTAAATTTCGCTATCTAATATCGCATGTGGTGGCAATTTGATTAGATTACTACTCGGCAAGGCCTTCTCATACTGGTAATAAGCCACCGAATGCTTTTTTGTGGAATTCGAGCTCTCTCGTGCAGTCGTTCCAGTTGGAGCTCTGAAACCGTATACAAGACAGGACTGGTCAGGGTAGATATTTCAGTCTGCAGCATGTCCCAGGCATGTTCAATCGGATTAAGTTCTGGGGCCCTAACTGGCCTGTTCATTCTCTCTACAGTTGCTGTCTGCAGGAACTCGTTGCTGGCCTAATGAGTCGTATTAAACGATATACTAGTCTTTTCCCTTCATGCTAAAACCCGACCATGACTGAGTTCCCGCCAAATGATCATGGTTAGAAACGCATACGTGTGCGAAACGTTCACTGGACGTGCTGTTCTACAGAAACTAGAAACTTCGATAGGTTCAGAATGGCTTGTCACTCCACCTTGGTAAGACAGAATGTATGCTGTTTGGCCCCAAAAGAAAATTACGAAAGCAAGAATAATATACTGCTACATGTAATGGTCATAGTATTAAGGGTGCTAATTTAGTTAGTATCTTGGTCTATATATCAATAGTGATTTATCTGGGGAAACTATTGTTAATAACATTATTTCTAAAGTGAATGCCAAGCTCAAATTTCTGTACAGGCAGAGCAGACATTTAGATACTAAAACAAAACAACTTTTATGTTCAGCCCTGATTCAGTGTCATTTTGATTACTCTTGTTCCTCTTGGTATGTATATCAAAACATTTGAAAAGAAAATTACAAATTACTCAGAACAAGGTATTATGATTTATCCAGAATTTAACACCTAGAACTTCTGTAACAGTGTATGATTTTGAAAAATTAAACTGGTTAATGTAGAAAACAGAGTCAAACAGTTAAGACTCAATCATATGTATAAGATTTTTTTACAAAAAGAGTCCATACCTTAATTAGAGCTGACTTTAGGTGTTGTGCTGACGTAAGATTTTACAGTACTAGATCAACCAATTTTAATTTTATTGTCCCCCAGTGTAATTCTGTGATGAAACAGACCTTTTACATAATTGAATTAAAGACTGGAATGATCTGCCAGACTATAAAAAATCCATTAACAATTTTGTACAATATAAAAAATCTGTAAAAAAGTACCTTCTAGAAAGTTATAAAAGTCAAGCAGAAGATTTATATGTGTACCACTAATGTGTTAGTCACTGTGATCCAATATTTGTCTGTGATAGTGATACTAGGTTTATTTTAAAAAAGGGCATACTTTTATAAATATGTTTCCTTTTTCAACCAAAAGCTTGACCAAAGTTAGTTAGATTAGTTTTATTTGTTTTTTGTTTCTTAGGGGGGAAAGAGTTGTAATTATGTATTTTTTATTTCTATGGACCCCATTGGAAGCTTAATGGGCTATCCATAGGTGCATAGTACATACATCTTATTATTTTTTATGATAAAAGTGTGCTCTTTTATGCTGTTTTATGATCTCATTTTATGTAAACTGAGTATAGATTTATATGTTTTTTTCTTAACTGTATGATTTTTATTTGTATCATGTGCTATGTTCCTGAATGTATAGATTTAAAAAAAATAGGTCTATTTTTTACGGACGCGGTATGAAAAACAGAAGACTACTATGCACGGACATTGCTTCAAATAAAGCTGGACACTATATCAAGTTTTTGTTTATTCTGAATCTTTATTATTTATTGTTGCTGTTTATTTTTGTTTCATAAACAGCTTCAGTAATTTTATGTTGCTATAAATTTCAACATAAAATTTTTAATTTATGCACTCAAATGAACTAGATTTAATTTATGTTATTTTCGCCACGGTAAAAAATAACATTTTTCACGTCTCCATCCATTTATCTAGTATAGATACAAGTTGTTCAAGTCAATTTTTGTAAAATTGTCCAAATTATTTACTCCAATGACCCAATTAAAGAAAGAATTTAATGAAAAAGAAAAAGACTCATTAAAGGCAGCGACGCTGCTGAGGTTGTCAAGGTGATCAAAAACGAAAGTAGGTCAGCAAGTGTTCGGAATTTTCCATAACAAATAGAAGTCTACGCAATATATGCAAATTTATTTGTCCTAAATCATAACCTACGTTCTCTATGAAAACTAAATTTTCATTGGTTAACATATTTATCTAACTGGAAGTTTTCCACAAAAGATATGTCGATCTTTTCCACGTTCTATGAATAACATTGTACAGTAGCTGTTAAAAGACCCCAAAACAATAAAGATAGTTATTACATTGTGAAAAAAAATCATATTAGACTTAAAAAAAACATTTTTAAAAACTATTTCAGCCTCTTAACCGGTAGCTCCTTTGACCAATCATATCAGGCTTTTCATACAAATATGGGTTCGTTTTATTTAAGCATATTTTTTATTGTTAAACTATCTAAAAAATAAATTAAAAGTATTCTGTAAGAATTATTAGCGAGTAAGATATTCATTGCATAACAAATTATATATATTTTTCATCAATAAAGAATAAATCTTTGTTACGGAAATTCACGGAAATTTCCGGAACCAAACGAGCATGGCGGCTATGTTCCAGTTCCAACCGGTTCAAGAAAGTTTGCAAGAAAACACATTCTTACGTTTGAGAGAGGGCCAACAGAAAACTACGGTAAACTCTTATTATATTTTCATATAAATGTCAGAAAATGGTTTATTTAATCATATATGCGTTTTCTTAATATTTAAGGATTTCCTATGCTTTCGTTATAGCCATGGGCGCAGCCATTTTGAGATTTGTTTATCACGGAAGTCGAACAGCGTGACCTCGGCCTTCAAGAGCATAAAAATGAAGGCGCGTAATCAAAATTTTCCTGAAAACCTAGTTTTGTTAACAGCTTATAAATGACTTGTTTGTTTATGAGAATGTCGCGTAACACTGTAGTATAAGAAAATATACCATTTTCGAAAGTTTTATATGCAAGAATTTAAAAACACGTTAGTTCGGTTATTCGTAATCTTTCAACATCGTACCAATTTTTAATTCAAAATAAAGAAAAGAAAAAACTAGGAATCTAATACGAAAAAAGTCGTTTGAAAAGTTAAGGTTAAATGAATATATGTGAAAGTTCTGTCTTTTTTAAGAGACTCTGAATTGAGCAATCCCTCGAAAAGATTCTTTTTTTTTTAAACTTGAAACATATTTTTCATTTTTTTTGCAACTTTGCACAATGCACCAATAAGTAGAGTTGTCATTGATTGAAAATTTTGTATTGATATAGCGAGAGTCAAATACCAACGATTTATTGATACATCGACTTTGAAAGTTTGTTTTTCTGTTATTTTTGTCACTGACATTTGAAAACGGAGTTTAGACTAAAGTTCAAATTAGCCAAGAAAACCAGAAAAACCACCTCTTATTTAGTTATTAGGCAAAATAGAGAGGTATATACTATATTCAATAACACTAACAGAAATAAAATATTTGAGCTTGTATTGATATTTGTAAGTGTGTATTAATATTCATATCAGATGATAAATATGGATGATATAGAGGATATTCAAGTTTTTCTATAAATACATAATTTATTTTCATCGAGTGGTATGAAAATAAATATTTCATGAGTGGCGGTAGCCACGAGTGAAATATGGTAATTTTCATGCCACAAGATGAAAATAAATCGTGTATTTATAGAAAAAACTTGAATTTTCTGTTTATTATAAACATTTTTCTCTTTTTTGACATTAAAATTTGAAAGACTTTCACTTAAATTTTGTGTACTGGCAGAATTTAAAAGAAAGTAGTCCGGCAAGACACCAGTGAAAATACGGAAAATATGTTTCACTGCAGTGAAAAATAAATTTTTACAGTGAAAATATGGAAAATAAAAATATGCATTTTATTTCATCAATATTTCTCAATATTTCTCAATATTTCATTTATAAGTATATAATAAATATCAATATTGTGATATTCAGTGACAACCATTGAGATGAGATTTAATTCTATCCAATAATTCATTCTAGTTATATTGCCAGTTAACCATTTCAGCATCTGACAAACGATTGCAAGTTATAACATTTTACAAAAGAAGCAATTATCATTGCTGTCAGGATTTTTGTGTCGCCTCTACGGAGTAGTGGCGACATATTCCGTAGAGGCGACATATAGGGATCACTTCTCCGTCGTCCGTCTGTCTGTCCGTCCGTCCGTCACAAAACTTGTCCGGACTACTCCTCATAAACTACTGGTGCAATTTCATCCAAACTTTACAGGAATGATCAGTACCAAGTCTAGTTGTGCATATTGTCAGGATTTTCCGGTTCAATGATTTTTGTCAGAGTTATGGCCCTTTAATAATTTTTAATTTTAAAGTTTGTCCGGACTACTTCTCTTATACCACTAATGCAATTTCAATGAAACTTTACTGGATTGATCTGTAGCTCAAGTCCTTGCGCATATTGCACGGGTTTTCCGGTTGAATGATTTTTGGCCGAGTTATGGCCCTTTGATAAAAAGGTTCTTTTCCTGTGTGTTGCCAGATACACAAAGGCTTGTCCGGACTACTTCTCATAAACTACTGGTGCAATTTCATCCAAACTTTACAGGAATGATCAGTACCAAGTCTAGTTGTGCATATTGTCAGCATTTTCCGGTTCAATGATTTTTGTTTGAGTTATGGCCCTTTAATAATTTTTATTTTTAAAGTTTGTCCAGATTACTTCTCTTATACCACTTATGCAATTTCAATGAAACTTTACAGGATTGATCTGTAGCTCAAGTCCTTGCGCATATTGCACGGGTTTTCCGGTTGAATGATTTTTTGCCGAGTTATGGCCCTTTGATAAAAAGGAGTTTTTTTCTGTGTGTTGCCAGATACGCAAAAGCTTGTCCGAACTACTCCTCATAAACTACTGGTGCAATTTTATCCAAACTTTACAGGAATGATCAGTACAAAGTCTAGTTGTGCACTGTCCGTCTGTCTGTCCGTCTGTCACAAAATTTGTCCAAACATGAAATTGGCCATCATGAGGCGACACATGTGATTACTGATCGCTCTTGTTGTTGTTTCCAATATTTTATGTAGGCCACCACGGCGCTTGTATCTTTTAGTTAACAAGACAGACCACACCAATGACCAATGTAAACAGTAATTATTGGTACTTGAAAATACCAAACAGCCCCTTACAAATAAGCATGCCAAATACTGATACAAAACAATTTAATTGAAGTAATTCTTGAATACCACAAAGTGAAATAGGTAGTAAAATAAACCTTAATGCTTTGACTTCAATCTTGATCATCTGGGGGAGAAAATGCTAAAAGACTGTAAAGCTGTGTGCATATTGACGCAAATCATAGAAGCCTAAAAATGTTAGCCAATGACAAAATATGTAACATTCGGTAATTAGCAGATTTTGTTGTAAAACAAAATGCTATATATGCATGCCCTTAAGTTGTTGTATAATTGGTATTATTGATATTTATTTAGATTTTAAACACACTGGATGCCATCTACAGCAGCAATGGGGACGCTGGCTGATGAAGCCGCAAAGCTGCTTGACTTCAATCAAAAGTTGGACATCAGTCTTCTGGACAGTATTGTAACATGCATGTACACAGGAGATGGTCAGAGGGTAAGTTGCATATCAGTAATTCTGTCAGTTTTGAGAATTTTAGATGAAAGATAACCTTATGTATGTTATTTAAGTAACTTGTATAAAATACTTTTTAATGGTAAACTGACAAAGGAAGAATTATCTTCAATTGTTATTTTTTATTTTGTAGCAACGAATGGCACAAGAGGTATTGACCACATTAAAGGACCATCCTGATGCATGGACAAGAGTGGACACCATCTTAGAATACTCCAGTAACCAACAGACCAAATATTATGCTCTTCAAATATTAGAAAGTGTCATAAAAACACGATGGAAAGTTCTTCCAAGGCCACAGTGTGAAGGTAAGATAATTAAAAAGCTTGTTATCATGTTAAATAGATATATGGGTGAGTTGGTTTTTGCTAAATATCCAGATAGTTGATTAAAATCCCAGTTTTGGCTATCAAAACAGTAGTACTTTGCCCAGTATGCAACAGAAAAGATATTGGTTCAATCCAGTTTGGATTTGTTTAAAGCTGATTAAAGCAGCTCTACTAGTAAGCAGTGCTGACTTAACCAGCAATTTACACTTGTATATTGATAAATGTTGACCTATTGTTTGGTGAAATTAAGACAGCTTGTTAGTCCCCTACTGGTTTAACCGAAGGGGACTTTAGGTTTACCCTCCGTCCGTCTGTCTGTCAGTCCGTCCGTCCACAAAAATGGATCCCGTGATAACACAAAGTACTGAAAATATTTTTATGAAACTTGATACATGGATAAATGGCAGTATGGAGATTATGCACGTCTTTTTCTTTTCTTCCTTTGTTGAAAATTCTGGTTGCTATGGCAACAAATATACTGAAAATATGGCAAATTTTACACATAAACTGGATCCTGTGATAACTCAAAAAGTACTGAAAATATTTTTATGAAACTTGAAATATGGGTAGATGACAGTCTGGAAATTATGCACATCTTTTTCTTTTCTTCCTATGTTGAAAATTCTGGTTGCTATGGCAACAAATAGACTGAATTTCAAGATTTCTGATTTGAATTTTTATGCTTTTTCACTAGAAGTACTTTATTATGCCCCAATTTCAAAGAAGAGTGGGTATATTGCTTTGCATTTGTCAGTCCGTCAGTCCGTAGACCAAATGGTTTCCGATCAATTACTAAAGAACGCTTAGGCCTAGGAACTTCAAACTTGGTATGGTGATTGGTTATCACCAGTAGATGACCCCTATTGATTTTGGGGTCAAACGGTTTGATAGATAACTAGAGAACGCTTAGGCCTAGGAACTTCAAACTTGGTATGGTGATTGGTCATGACCAGCAGATGACCCCTATTGATTTTGGGGTCAAGGGGTCAAAGGTCAAGGTCACATTGACCTTGTAGATAAAAACGGTTTTTGATCAATAACTAAAGAATGCTTAGGCCTAGGAACTTCAAACTTGGTATGGTGATTGGTCATGACCAGCAGATGACCCCTATTGATTTTGGGGTCAAAGGTCAAGGTCACATTGACCTTGTAGGTAAAAACGGTTTCCGATCAATAACTAAAGAACGCTTAGGCCTAGGAACTTCAAACTTGGTATGGTGAGTGGTCATGACCAGCAGATGACCCCTAATGACTTTGGGGTCAAAGGTCAGTGTCACATTGACCTTGTAGGTAAAAATGGTTTCCGATCAATAACTAAAGAACGCTTAGGCCTAGGAACTTCAAACTTGGTATGGTGATTGGTCATGACCAGCAGATGACCACTATTGATTTTGGGTTCAAGGTCACATTGACCTTGTAGGTAAAAACGGTTTCTGATCAATAACTAAAGAACGCTTAGGCCTAGGAACTTCAAACTTGGTATGGTGATTGGTCATGACCAGCAGATGACCCCTATTGATTTTGGGGTCAAAGGTCAAGGTCACATTGACCTTGTAGGTAAAAACGGTTTCCGATCAATAACTAAAGAACGCTTAGGCCTAGGAACTTTAAACTTGGTATGATGATTGGTCATGACCAGCAGATGACCCCTATTGATTTTGGGGTCAAGGGGTCAATGTCATATTGACCTTGTACTTAATGACAGTTTCTGACCAATAACTCAACAACTTGAGTTGCCTTGGTTGATATTTTTATACAGTCGAACTTCATTCGCTCGAACTCGGAGGGCCTGTGCAAATTTGTTCGAGAGATCGGTAGTTCGAGCCAACCGAGGTTGAACTATTATCACGTAAAACATAGGCATAAACGTGTTCCAGCTTACATCGGTCAAATGATAAATACGGCAATATAATTGTTTGTTAGTATATCAGTTCGTCGAATACGTCATTTCTTTTAAATATAAGAAATTATTATCCCAGTGTTTTCAAATGATTATTAACGGTACACTCTGTTAATCTATATTCATGCATATTGTAATTGGTTGAGTTCGATTGGGCAATCATTTACCGAACTTGTTTGAAATATATTTATTTGTTTATTATGAGATAAATTTAATTTTAAACAATGAATTAATAAAATATTAAATAAAAGTAAAACAAAATTTATCAGCAGCATGTATTTTTTGTCATTTACTAAAACGTATCATTCTATAGATAACTTTGTTACAATTCACGTTACATGCACAACGGCTGTAATTTAAGCCTGTAAACGTCATCTATTTATTGACTTATTTCACGAGCTATTTTTTATTGTTACTAAAGATGGCAAATAAACAATATTATCATAACAAACAAATCGGTAACAACACCTATAACTTTGTATCAATTAACCTTAAATTGCCTTTATTACGATCACGAGGTGTTAAAAACATGCGACGCCGACTGACACTTGAGAACATGTCGACCCGTAGCTTTTGTTGTCTTTTTGTGTTCGACCGAAAAGGTGTGATTTTCACTATATATCTGTCGAAGGGACCAGAGATCAGGTTCGAGAGTTCGAGCGATCGGTGTTCGAGCGATCAGAGGTAGAACAACATATATAATATAGGAATTTTGCCCGGACCGGGCGATGAGTTCGAGCGAAGGGAGGTATTCGAGCGATCTGAGTTCGAGCGAACGAAGTTTAACTGTATTAAACTAAAAATGCTTTTGGTTTACACATTTGAAGGTCTTTTAAATGTAATATAACAAATTGGCTGTCATTAATGAGGCCTACATGATTCATAAAATTTATGCAAGATTTGTAATAACTTAAATTGCTGCACACAACCTATGGGGTCACAATAATTATTACCTTGTGACTAGTCATGACCAGTAGATACTAGATAACCCTTATTAATTGTTTGTTCACTGGGTCAGAAGTCATGCATAATAACCTGATCACATGACTAATTGGCTGCCGATAGGGGGCATACATGTTTTACAAACATATCTTGTTTCTTAAGGTGTTTACTTCAAACTTTAAATATAAGTTTCTGGTCATCAACCACATCATATGTGACAAGGTTTACAACTCTGGCACAAAAATTATCAGAATTACCTCCCTTAAACTTAGAATTATTATGAAAAAATGTTGTCTTTTTTTAAATAACTTCTTTATTTCTTAATGTATCTACTTCAAACTTCATATATATGTTTCTTATTATCACTCAACATTTGTGAGAAGGTTAAATACTCTAGCAAGACTATTTCTAGAATTATATCCCCCTTGAACTTAGATTTTTTTCGAGAAATTGTTATTTTTTACTCCAACTTCTTCATTCCTTATAGTATTTACTTTAAAATCCCACATTATAATAATATGAAAAGGTTTATGAATCTAGATCCATATTTCCAGAAATATCTCCTCCTTAAACTTTCAATTTTCATTTCATTCCTTAACTTTTTTATTTCTTCATGGATTTTCTTCAAATTCAAAATAAACTTTCATTATCAACACCTACATTATATTTTTGTCTTAAATTTTCGTCTTTGTTACTTACTATACATTATATTTGAAAATTGTATTTTTTTTACTTATCTTCTTTGTGACTATAAATGGTATCTTTAAACTTAAATCAATGTTCATAAATCTAGCATCATTATTTCAAGAGTTATCTCCTCTTTAAGAATTTTGTATTAAAATATGTTATATTTTGGTAACAGGGATGTTTAAAAAAATAACTTAAGAGTCTCCTTCAGTCTGTCTGTTCATAAAAACTGTTTCCTGAGATGACTTAGATTTTTTCCAACAAAACTTAAAATAGAGAAAAGTTGAAACATTAGTTATACTTATTCATCCTGAGAAAATTGGACCTTTTGATTATCTGTTGTATAAACATAATTTCCTTACTAGGCAGGGAAACTTAACACATTACTATGATATAGACAAACTTAGAACTCAAAAGATTTAAGTTCATTTATGTCATTCATTCACTGGTAAAAATGAATGGCCAATGGCCCATCAGAATGTTGCTTGGGTTCTAACCGGTAGGGGACTTATGGATTGCTTGCAAAACTATGATAATTGCTTGTTAAATGTTGACCTGTTGTTTGGTGAAATTAAGACATCTTGTTGGTTAACATTTCAGATTTTATCTGTTTATTTTTGTTTTCTGACAGGTATTAAGAAGTACATTGTGGGCCTTATAATAAAGACATCCTCAGATGCTTCATCTCTAGAAAAGGAAAAAACATACTTGGGGAAGTTGAATATGATTCTTGTTCAAGTAAGTGATTTTATCATTTAAATGAAAATGATATCTTAAATGAATCCTTTCTATTGCAACTATTTATTTTTGTTATCATAAATAAAGTAAAAGTGCAGGCTCATGATTTAATATGTTTTATAAGCTTTAGATACTGTTGTCGTGTTACATCAATATATATATGAATATATTTTAAGACTATATGTTTTTCTTTGCTTAACATAGAGAGAATAAAAGACTTGACTTAGATTTATAACATTGACTTAAATGAGATTTTGAAAATCACCTTTATAACTTCCATGGTCAGAGCTTGGATATTTGGCACATAGGAAGACCTTGTGGTTCTTTACGGAACCGAAGTGATATGAATCATGGCCTGAAGGGAGTCACTTAGTTAAGGAAAATGCTTTTAAATCTTAAGTGTTCTACAGCTTAGATATTTGGCATACATCATTGCCCAGTGGTCCTCCACAAAGTATATAAATACCCCTGGATTTAGAAATTGCTCAGCCAAGTGGTATCATTTATTATCCCCCGCCGATGGAATCGGGAGGGGGATATAGTTTTGGCGTTGTCCGTCCGTCCATCCGTCCGTCCGAATTTCGTTTCCGGAGTAGTTCTCTGCAACTAATGGCTGGAATTCAACGAAACTTTATGGGAATGTTGATCAGCATGTGAAGTTGTGCACCTGGGTATTTTCGTCTGGATATTTTTAGTATTTTTAGAGTTATTGCCCTTGACTTAGAATTTCGTTTCCGGAGTAGTTCTCTGCAACTAATGGCTGGAATTCAACGAAACTTTATGGGAATGTTGATTAGCATGTGAAGTTGTGCACCTGGGTATTTTCGTCTGGATATTTTTAGTATTTTTAGAGTTATTGCCCTTGACTTAGTAAAATTTTGTCATTTTCAACTTGTGTCGCATTGTAACTCAAAAAGTATTTGACCTAGAGTCATGAAACTTTACAGGAATGTTGATCAGTATGTGTAGTTGTGCACCTGGGTATTTTCGTCTGGATATTTTTAGTATTTTTAGAGTTTTTGCCCTTGACTTAGTAAAATTTTGTCATTTTCAACTTGTGTCGCATGTAACTCAAAAAGTATTAGACCTAGAGTCATGAAACTTTACAGGAATGTTGATCAGTATGTGTAGTTGTGCACCTGGGTATTTTCGTCTGGATATTATTAGTATTTTTAGAGTTATTGCCCTTGACTTAGTAAAATTTTGCAATTTTCTACTTGTGTCGCATGTAACTCAAAAAGTATTTGACCTAGAGTCATGATACTTTACAGGAATGTTGATCAGCATGTGTAGTTGTGCACCTGGGTATTTTCATCTGGATTTATTTAGTATTTTTAGAGTTATTGCCCTTGACTTAGAAAATGTTTGCAATTTTCAACATGTGTCACATGTAACTCAAAAAGGATTTGAGTTAAATCACAGAGTCATTAAACCTTATTGGAAAGTTGCTCAGCATATTTAGTTTGTTCCTGGGGTTTCGCTTGTGGATTTATCAAGTATTTGTAGAGTTATTTCCCTTGACTTAGTAAAAACTGTTTCATTATGTTGTTATTTGATCCTTGAGTGCTTGAGTTAGAATCAACCAACTTAACAGGAATAATGATCAACGTCACTAAATTACAGGAATAATGATTCACCTCACTGTGAAGCTATGAACCTGGGACTTTGCATGTGGATTTTTTCAGTTTTGTTAGAGTTATTGCCCTTGAATTACAGTAGTATAAATTTGCAATTTTCAACTTGGGGTTTGCTTGGGATTTATTCAGTATTTGTAAAATTCTTGCCCTTTTACTTAGTAAAAAGATTTTTAGTTTTCAAAAAATATTTGACCTAGAGTCATAAGATTGACAGAACAGTGGCGCGGTGGGGGCACCCGTGTCCTATGGACACATTTCTAGTTTTATTAAAGAAGAATTAAAATGATTTTTTACAATAACATTTAAAAATATTTTGAAAATTGTGAGATCCCTTCTTGATGCCTTGAAAATGGCAATGAAGTCTGGAGATTAAGATGTTTTTTACATCTAGGTGAGCTATTGTGATCCCCCACCGTCCGTCGTCGTGCGTCGTCAGCATTTTCTTTTAAACAACATCTCCTCAGAAACAAATGACTGCACAGCAACCAAACTTTTACAGGAAAGATCCTAGGGTGGTCCCCTGCCAAAGTTGATCAAATGGTTCCGGTCTGTTGCATTAAGTAGGTTCACAGGGCCAGAAAGGGAGTTTCAAAAATGCAAAATTAAAAAAATCTTGTCTGAAATTACAAGGTCTAGAGCTTTGATATTTGGTATATGATATAACTATAGGTCCTCTACCAAAATTGTTCAAATTTTAGCCCTGGGTCAAAAATTGGCCCCACTCCAGGGGGGGTTTTCCTTATATGTATATAGTGAAAACTTAAAAATTCTTCTTGTTTGAAGGTACGAGGCTTCAAGTTCAAAGAATATTACAGTTTATGCCATGATTGATATATAAATAAAGCCTTATGTCTTCAGTTGTTGTGTTAATAATAACCAGTACTCGGCGGGGGATATAAATTCAACGAATTTGCTTGTTATATTATATTTATGTTGTAAAAATCTTTTCCTCAGAAACTCGAATGAATTTTGACCAGGGGTGATTTAGTTTACATTAACTTGTAAAAGAAACGTATTTTGAAAAAAATCTTCCCTTCAGAAACTTCAGTGCCTAGACATGTGGCATAAAGCATCACTTTGTTGTACTTTACATACATTCTATTAATTTTGTGCTTTTTGTAAAAAATGGCCTCTGTTGTATGCTCACTTATTTTACATTGACTAGAATAGGAAATATTGCTTTAAAAATCACCACATTAGCAACTACAATGCCCAGAGGATCAATATTTGGCATGTGGCATCATCATATGGTCTTCTTCAAAAATATGTGTAAGTCATGCCCTAAGGGTTGAAATTGGTTTAACCCTGCAGGTCTCATGGCTTATGTAGATAAAATGCATTTAAATCTAAATCTACATGTCCCAGAGATTAGATATTTGCAGTGGATCTCAGATGATTGATATCTTGTGTTCTGTGTTGTCATTATTGTATTATTTCACTTTCAGATACTGAAGTATGAATGGCCAAGAAGTTGGCCATCTTTTATAGGTGATATTGTAGGTGCCAGTAAAACAAATGAATCTCTGTGTCAGAACAACATGACTATACTAAAGCTTTTGAGGTAATTTTGAAAGACTATAGAAGTTGGGTATTACTGCTGTATATGTATTATAGCATTGTCACAATATCTTGGTTGTATCACATTGCAGTATCATGATACTTTTACTTACACAAAATGAATGCAGTTTGTAATGTCTGTCAGTCTAATATCCATAACAATTTATCCTGGTGCACTAGTGACCAGATTTTGACCGGAACAAACATTAAATATCAAAGTGAGTATTCATACGTCATTCCTCTGGCTTCAGATATATTGGAAACAACAGTACTGTTCAAAAAGTTAAACAATAGAAGAATGTATTAATACCTCCATTATATCATGATACTGTATTGTGAGGGCAAAAAATCACAATTCATAGATCATAGACCATCTCTAGTTAGTGTTATTTATTGTTATTTTGCCAGCCTTTTTCTATCAATTTTTGGAAAAGGTAACTAAGAAATTTGAGTTACAAAATTAGCAAGTTTTTTAGTTATATTTACATTTTCAACATTAATTTTGAGAAATATGTCCTTGGATAAATACTTTTTAACCCTTACTTGAATTAGTATGTTCTTATTGATCTAACACATATTAGGGCTGTAACGGTTTACCGGTACACCGATATATTGCGGTGCAGGATAAATAAATATTGTACCGCTGGTTCACATTTAGTTGTACCGGTTTTATTTAGTAATAACAGTGTTCCATAATTTCCACTATAAATAAAAAAAAGTCTTCCATAATTTTCTTGATAAATAAATGTTATGAAAATGTCCTATGCACAAAAGAAAATAACAAACTGAAAGTAGGAAGCGTGTAAAAAAAACGGTGCTAGGGTAAAAAATTTACACGGTGCGCGGGTAGACAAATGCTTGAATAAATCAGTGATTTACTATGGCAGACGGAAATAATTACGATCTGATAAAAAAATTCAATTACAAGGAAAAGAGAGACCCATGAAATTATTGAATACTAGATGCTGGCAAAGTAGACATGTTAATTTTTCTAAAGAAAAACATGGATTATTTGCCACCGTCACTCAATCCCTGTGATCTAGTCCGAGTCTGAAACTGTGTTAAGAAAATCATTAGGGTATAGTTTAGATTGTTAGTTACTTAATGAAAAGTGTTTAAAGTTTTTTTTTGCTGTTAAGTTACTCATAGTTGATGCTTCAATAGTTGAAACAGTTTAAATTTTTGTTAAAGGAAAGTATCCACTAATTCTGTTTTGCGAGAGATATAGATATATATAATATTTGTTGAAATAAAATACAAGTCTCTTTTTCTGAATTTTTTGCCAGTACCTAAGATAAAAAACAATACGTATCGCAATATATTGCATACGGATGTGGTGTATTACATTATATTGCAATACACTTTTTACCGTATTGTTACAGCCCTAACACATATACATAAGAAAACATAAAGAACAAACTAAGATATTCTAATTAATGGTTTACTTTTCAATAAATATTGTAGAAATAAATAATTTATTTATAAATAATTCCTTCTTTGGATCCACAACATACTTTAGAAAAGAATGCATATATTTGACATTGGAAACATAAGTGAAAATCCATTAGATAGGTAGAAAAAGGTCTGGTCTTTCTATTTCTTCCATTATTGCTTGTATCACTAATTTGATTTTTGAGGTTGCATGTCAGGTTGTTTGCTTATTTTCCTGTAAAAAATCTTTTTAAATACACGTTTTTGTTCATTTAATTCACTAAATAAATTTAATACACTAGTTTTCTTAGGATGAAGTACACATAAAGTTTTCAAGATTTAGTAAATGTGCATGTGCATGATTTGCTGTAAGACAATTTTTGTTGCTGTAAAAATGTTTAGAAATTTTTTGTAAGGGGAGTTTGGTTACAGGTTGTGTTTTATTGTATTCTAGAATTATGTCAAAGTTTTTGAATAAATTTTCTGGAATTTTATTGCTATGCTAGTTGCCAACAACTCTTCTTTATTAAAAAAGAATATTTATGAATTTTGGTATTAAACTTAGTTATATTTGTGAAATTGTCTTCTACTTCAATCCAGTAGTTCATAGATTCTTTTTTTATATCTTAAGATTTAAGGGGATTTTACATATTTACTTTTAGTTGCAGGTTTCTTTTTATGCTTATTCTTTTTTCTTTCAGTTATATTTTATAATAATATAAAAATAATAAAAGCACACAGTGAAATGAATTAATAATTTAGTATTGAAATATGCATGTTTTATTGTTAGAGTAGTGTGATCAAGGTGGCCACAACCTTTACTGCTCTGCTGTGCCGCCGCAATTCTATCACTATAACAGCATGAGAAGTTCCCCTCTGAAGTTTCTTATACTTTCGAATGGTATTCTTTTTACAGCAAATAATATTAACAGTTAGCTATATAACAAGTTGAAAATTGATTAATAACTTCTATTAAAAGATTACTTAACTTCCATTTATTTTTAAATTTGTTAATTTAGACAAAATAAAAATAAAATGTTTTTGTTCTATGCTTACTAGATAAACTCTGTTGTTGAAAAGTCTCCAATTTTCTATTCAATTGTGTTTCAGTGAGGAAGTATTTGATTTCTCAAGTGGCCAGATGACACAAGCAAAGGCAAAGCATCTGAAAGACAGTATGTGTAGTGAATTTTCACAGATTTTCCAGTTATGTCAGTTTGTCATGGACAATTCTCAGAATGCACCACTTGTCGGAGCAACACTTGAGACATTACTGAGATTTTTGAACTGGATCCCCCTTGGCTACATCTTTGAAACTAAACTTATTACAACTCTTATCTACAAAGTAAGTTTGCACGTTTGAAATTGTTTTATACAAACATCTTCTTTGATAATTTATATGAGTCTTTGTTTAGACATTTCACTGTAGTCCAAAGTAAATTTTACATTTTGCTATTTCATTATCAGAGCATTTTCAGCAGTTAAATAAAGGCAGCCAGTGTAAATAAATCTAACAGGACTATTCAATTTTATTAAGTATGTGGTCTTCATACAAATGTATTTATTATTTTGTTTCTACAAATGAAACTGAAAGTAGAGAGATTTATGCTTATTTCTTGTGATGCTCTTTTTCAGTTCTTAAATGTCCCAATGTTTAGAAATGTCACATTGAAATGTCTCACAGAAATAGGTAAGTTCAGTACCAATTCTAAAGATTTAAAAAAATGATTCTCATTGCTGCTTAATTTCATGTTGTAAATACTGTTAAACTCAGATAATGTGAATATGGTCTTTCAGGGTTTTTATATGGGGAGCATATAGCGTTGCACTTGTCCGTCTGTACGTCCCGAAATCTTGTGAACGCAACTCCTCTTAAACCGGATGGCAGATTTTGCTTAAACTTCCAGGGATAAACAACCTTAATGTGTAGATGGATGGTAGTAAAGGAAGGAATTTTCGCTGCAACCAAATTTAACAGAATTATTGCCCTTTGTTGATTTTTTTCACTATATACTATGTAGAAATTTTGTGAACGCAACTCCTCTTAAACCTGATGGCAGATTTTGCTTAAACTTCCAGGGTTGAACAACCTTAATGTGTAGATGGTAGTAAAGGAAGGGATTTTTGCAGCGACCAAATTTAAGAGAATTATGGCCCTTTGTTGATTTTTTCAGTATATACCATATAGAAATTTTGTGGAAGCAACTCTTAAACCGGATGGCAGATTTTGCTTAAACTTCCAGGGATGAACAACCTTAATGTGTAGATGGAAGTAAAGGAAGGAATTTTTGCTGCAACCAAATTTAACAGAATTATGGCCCTTTGTTGATTTTTTCACTATATACCATATATATGTTATCAGTGGGGGCATCCTTGTCCTTTGGACTAGTTTTCCTTTATCTGACAATTGGTGGAAAATATTTTTTGAATGAAATGTCCTTGAAATTAAAAGCAAGTAATCCAGCAACATTGATTTATTACAGGAATTGTTCAGGGTTCACACAGGACTTGAAAAGTCCACGAATTTGATTCCTTCCTTGAAAAGTCCTTGAATTTGATTCCTTCCTTGAAAACTACTTTAATTTAATGTTTCCTTGAAAAACACCCAAAAAGGTACTTGAATTTAACATTTTATCCTGGAATTCTGCAAATCTATCCTTGAAAATACAAAATCATTGTAAAATGTATAAATAATACATTCTTTGAAAATTTTATTGACATTATTTAACTTTTTTTTCGTACAATCGCGATTGTCGGTATATATGCCTCGAGATAAATTTATTGACCGGACACTGGTATCTGACTATTAAACTTTAAGTGACGTCACTAACAATGGCTGCGCCCATATGGAATCCATATTATTTGTGATCATGCTTTAAAATCGGTAAAACAGTTAAGAAATGCTCGTTTCAGCAATGTTGGCTTACAAAGTGGATAAAATCGACCGACAAGGGACCCACACAAAGCTTTGTGCCATGTTTGTATGAAAGAAATCGATTTAACATAGATGGGGGAAAGGGCATTGACCTCGCACGCTAAAATTTAAAAAAAAAACATCTCAAATCAGTCTTTCTTCAAGCAATGTTTAACAAATTAACAGTTACATATATGTATAAAATAAGTGTAATAAAGATCTCAAATGCACTTTTGACAAAAAACGAATTTGTTTTATTGAAATATTTTGGTGTAAAAGATTAAGTTTTCTTATAATAAATGAATATAAAAATGTGTTTTTTACTGATTTATACACATTTTCCAGAGCTTATATTTCATACCAAATGAGTCCTTGAAAAACAATATTTTTCCTTGAAATTCCTGGAAAAGTCCTTGAATTTTTAGATGAAATATCTGTATGAACCATGTTGTTATACTTGATACCAGGAAATGTGTTCACAGTTATATCGGTTTCAGGCAGTTTGTTAACTAGTTATTTTTATGAATGAAACAGAGTCTTTAAGACATAACATGATTCACTTAGTGATTTGGCAAGAGTGATGAGTTGCTATTTTTAGATACTGATTGTCTTGTTTAACTTGGTAGTTACTGGTTTAGACTAGACTATAATGATCATTGAATCTTTTTTACAGCAAGTGTACAGGTATCCCAATATGATGAACAGTTCATTCAGCTCTTCAGCTTTGCACTGACACAGTTGAAACAGGTTAGTGCCTATATTTGCAGCACAATATATTGTTGAGCATAGTCAAAACTAGAGGTAGATGCAATGAAGATTTATCAAGAACCTTGTCCAAAGATACTGAAAATCATAGAACATTTGTCTTTTCAACAACAAAAAAATGTTTGATTTTCTTATACTTATTGTTTGAAATGTTATTAAGATAACAATATTTATGTTTATTTCCTGTAGATGTTACCGGTGACAACAAATATCCGTGATGCATATCAACGTGGAACAGATGATGAACAAATGTTTATACAGAACCTCAGTCTCTTCCTGTGTACATTTCTTAAGGAACATGCTCCACTTATAGAAAAGAAACCAGACTTGAATGAACATTTAATGGGAGTAAGTATCAACATTGTTTGAAATAATATTAAGAGCCAAACCAGCTCTTCATTGAAATTTTCTCTACATACTTTCTGAGTTCAACACAAATCATGGTTATTGTTTCCCTGTAACATGTTGATGTATTTACATAAAACTTAATTGTAGCAATTCCTATTTTTACAGTGTAAATCAAACTATATGTAAGTTAAACTGAAACCTATTACTATTGTTTTAGCTATAAATGTACAGATGATGAATTTTATAGTTATCAGTTCACATAATTTTCTAAAAAGACAAAGCTGTCCATTTATTTGAGCAAACATATTGATGATATATTTTCACAGTCCCTGACATACCTGATCTCTATATCAATGGTAGAGGAGGTAGAAGTTTTCAAGATCTGTTTAGAATACTGGAATTCATTGGCTGCTGACTTGTACAGAGAGAGCCCATTTTCAGCCTCATCATCACCTCTACTGCTTGGTAAAACACACAATGAAATGCCAATTAGACGACAGCTTTATAATCCTGTACTATCTAGGGTATGTTTATTCTTTCATACATAGGTTAAAGTCTACTATTTTCTAACATAAATTTGATGTTAAAGTGCAATGGATTAGAGTAAACAAATGTAGATATGATTTTACTTACTTTAAATAATTTATTAAATGCTCTTGAAATTTCATATGGCTGTAAATTGCCTGAGATGCAGTGTGGGAAGAAAGCTATATCTGTAAAAGGAGGATTTTACCTGTAAAAATTCAATAATGTTCTTTAATAAGTGTGAGAAGAGGGAAATGTATATAAAGTGTATTATTTGTTTCCTAGGTAAGAAGAGTAATGATCTCTAGAATGGCAAAGCCTGAAGAAGTTCTAGTTGTTGAGAATGATCAAGGTGAAGTTGTTAGAGAGTTCATGAAGGACACAGACTCTATAAATCTCTACAAAAACATGAGAGAAACCCTTGGTAAATATTCTTGCTTGACATTAAATAACATGTAGAAATGATGTATATATTCAAGAATAGATGTCATTGTCTTAAAAAGTGGTGTAAAGTAATTGTGTACAAAGTTATTTTGATTTTTTTTTTATCAAGTTTTTAATTACACTGTTTTTCAGACATATGTGTTCTATATATCTTAAATCATAGTTTGTCAACATGTTAAGAAAGGTTTCTTCCATTTCAGTTTATTTAACACATTTGGATTATGCTGACACAGAAGCTATCATGACCGAGAAATTGCACAATCAAGTAAATGGAACAGAGTGGTCATGGAAAAATCTCAACACGGTAGGTAGATGTTCTTGTGGGGTCTTTTGTTAAATACATGATCATTTTGTGCTTGAAAGATAAACAACATTCATGTCTGTTATACTAGTACTAATTGAAGTCTGCAAAACCTTCTGAATTTGACATTGACTGACAACCCTTCCTCAGGTAGAAAAATTACTGGGTATTTGCCTAAGACATAACTACAGTTAAAGAAAAATACTAAAGAAGATAGATGCTTTTCACTTCTTGTATAAAATTAATATATGTAACCTACAGGTTAATTGATAAAAAAAGGAACTTTCCAACCTCAAACCAAAATCGTGATAAAAATAGAAAGTCAATAATCACGTATTTTGTCCCAAAAACAGGTATACAGATTTTGTAACTAGGACAGTATACCCATCTTGTAGACAGCAAAATGGTTCAAATAGTAATTATTTGCTTTTTTCATTTGGCAAATTTAAATTATAAGAAATAAATGACGATCAGAAATATGTTGTCACTAACTAAGTACATATGTTAAATGATTTCATATATTTACTTGTATTGTCATGCTATTTTACAGTTATGTTGGGCTATAGGATCTATCAGTGGTGCTATGCACGAAGATGATGAGAAGAGATTTCTTGTTACAGTTATCAAGGACTTACTTGGACTATGTGAACAGAAACGAGGCAAAGATAATAAAGCAATTGTTGCCTCAAATATCATGTATGTGGTTGGACAGTACCCACGATTTCTGAGGGCTCACTGGAGATTCTTGAAAACTGTGGTCAATAAACTTTTTGAATTCATGCATGGTAAGAACCTTGTAGACTTAAATAAGAAAATCTAAATATGATAAACATGCAAGAAATCTTATTAATTCAGTATTAAGTTTAGCAGCTATTTGTGTAAGAAAGGTATCTGGCATTCTAAATAAAAGGTTTGGTCTTTGATGTTTCTGCTCCTACTTGAAGTATTGTAAGAATTGGCAATTTGGTTCTTTCACCTGTAATTTGGGACATCTTGCATTGTGAGGATCAGACTATCTTAATTATATAAAAAGAAAGTAAATTTATAGATTTTAAGAATTTTTGAACTTCATTATTATAGAAACTCATGATGGTGTACAGGACATGGCATGTGACACATTTATAAAAATTGCCCAAAAGTGTAGACGACATTTTGTACAAGTACAGGTTGGGGAAGTTATGCCATTTATTGAAGAAATACTCAATGGTGTTAACACAATCATCTGTGATCTTCAACCACAACAGGTAAACACTCCAGTATTTTGAATTCTGGTATCTGCATATTTTGATACTTGATCAAAGGAAGAAATCACCCAGATCTCTAGAAATGAATTCTGTAGTTATAAGTGACTTAAAAATAGGGCTTCATCTGATAGAAAATTTTATATCAATAATCAAAGGATATGTCAATTTCAAATACATATATATAGACTAGAATGCATTAATAAATCTGTCATCATGATAATTATTCTTGGTTTAGATCTGAACATTACAACAATGCAGAAGAAATAGTATCTTTATGATTTCTATGTCAAGAAATTCATAACAAAAAACACATTTCAACGAACAACTGGGGAAAATGACAAAATAATGAGTACCATTATACCTTGTGTGGTTGTACTGAAGCACAATGGAAAAATAATGGCTGTTTTTTGTACTTTATCAAAGAATTTCAATATCAAAAATAATGCTAAGTTTGATAGTTGCTATTTATTTCTTTATTGCTTTGATAACATTATTAGTTGACTTTGTATGTAAATTTTTTGAAAAGATACTGAATCGCCCAAAGAATAGATGAATAATTGCAATTTCCAATGACCGCTTTTAAAAAAAAAAAGCTTGCTAAAACAAAAACTAATTCTAAAAAATCCAATATGATGAGATAGTACAAATGATGTTATGTTTCAGGTTCACACATTTTATGAGGCTGTAGGTATGATGATAAGTGCCCAGACAGATCAGGTGGCCCAGGAGCATCTGATAGAACGTTACATGTTACTGCCAAATCAAGTATGGGATGGTATCATCAATCAGGCAACACAAAATGTAGAAGTGTTAAAAGATGGTGATGCTGTCAAGCAACTTGGCAATATTCTCAAAACAAATGTCAGAGCTTGTAAAGCTCTTGGGCATCCTTATGTTGTACAGGTAAGTACGACAATACAAACCAATTCCAAATTGTAAGAGTTTAAATGTGATCTGACATATTTTGCTTTAGCAAAACCCAAATATTATGGCTTTTAAATGATATACAAGTCTGTTTGACTAAAGATAAGTTGTTTTGGTAGCACTTTTTGATGATCCAGCTAAAATTTCCATTTTATACAGATTTTCTTTGATTTTAAAGAGATTAATTTCTTTATAATTATTTTTATTGTGTTTTCATTATTATATATTTATGGTATTAAATCAAGTGTTGTTTTTTTTTTCAGCTTGGACGCATTTATTTGGATATGTTGAATGTTTATAAAGTGATGAGTGAAAACATTAGTAGTGCTATAGCAACAAATGGTGAAAGTGTTACAAAACAACCACTTATACGCAGTATGAGAACAGTGAAAAAAGAAACATTAAAACTGATATCAGGGTGGGTTAGTCGATCTAGTGACCCATCTATGGTAGCTGAAAATTTTGTACCACCATTGTTGGATGCTGTTTTACTGGATTATCAGAGAAATGTCCCAGCAGCACGAGAACCAGAAGTCCTAAGCACCATGGCAACTATAGTCAACAGATTAGAAGTGAGTTTATAATTACTGATGTTTTAGTTTAAAATTCATGGTAATTGGTAGTCTTTGTTTCTGTCTGTAATTTGCTATTATAAAATGGCACAGAATTTCTTTGAACATAAGCAGTTAATTCAGTCTTCTAGCTATTCTCCTACAATTTAACATATGTGTTTTCAGAGTGTATTTTTAAATGTGTAAAACTCGAGATTGAAAGAATAGTTATTTAAGTGAAGAAGATTGATGTAGATAATTCTGTAATGCTTTATTAAGTTATACTTGTTAAATTATCTCCCTTAAAGAATTTCTATCAAGCTTTATCATTTATTGTTTTGATTCAAATTCATTATTTCAGAGTCACATTACAAAAGACATTCCTCAAATATTTGATGCAGTTTTTGAATGCACACTGGAAATGATCAACAAAGATTTTGAAGAGTTCCCGGAACATAGAACCAATTTCTTCCTTCTTTTACAATCTGTCAATACATATTGCTTCCAGGGTAAGTTTTCATTATAATTTTCAGAAAAGGGAAGAAGAAAGGTATTTAATACACAAAAAGAATAATAATGTAAAGTGATATAAAATTGCTTAAGTATTAAGTTTAAATATTGATAAAATTTATTATGTTCTACATTATCTAAATGAATTTCTGTGGCTAAACACATGCTTTGCTTGCAAATTGGAGATTCATTTATATATACCATGTCTTTTTCAGCATTCTTAAATATACCAGCAGCACAATTCAAATTGGTTTTGGATTCAATTATCTGGGCTTTTAAGCATACAATGAGGAATGTAGCTGACACTGGTCTAGACATACTGTACGTGTTGCTGCAGAATGTAGCAGGCGAGGAGAATGCTGCACAAAGTTTCTACCAAACTTTCTTTACTGATATATTACAACATATATTCTCTGTGGTGACAGACAGTTCTCATACAGCTGGTAAGCACTGTTACAAAACAGATCTCCATTCTATCTTTTTCTTCAAGTCTTTTTCTGAAAACTTAAGTTTGTTCACCAAACTAATAATTATTTAAATTATCAGCATAATTAACTTAAGAACTAATGGTATGACTTATAACATATTTGAAGAATTTCTGGTAGTTTAACATATTTATTTTATCTCAATTTTGATGAAATTATGATTTCCGAAGCATGTTTCCTGAAACTAACAAGTATTTGAGGAATTGTGCTGTCATGTCCTCTATGGGACTTTTAACGAAAATGCCTAATAGGCAGACAACCTCACTTCTATGCCACATCCTAGTCGGCAGCAGAGACAAAATTGTTTAAAAACCTTTAAAATACTGTTCTAACTAGTACACTTCATATTTAATAGATTGAGCTGGCATGAAATACATTTTAAAAAAACAACAGATGAAAACAGATCTAGAAACTTGTTGCATTCTAATTATTTAGCATCATATACATTTTAACTCTCTATTATGTAACCTTACAGTTGTTATACATACTAAATAATTGATGGTCTTTCTTCGTGATTTTCAGGTTTAACAATGCAAGCTACAATATTGTCATACATGTTTAGTCTTGTGGAGCGTGGAAAGATTACTGTAGCATTAGGTGGTAATGCATCTTCAGTAGCTGACAACAACACATATATACAGGGATTCTTGTTAAATCTTCTCAAGGCAGCTTTCCCTCATCTTAATGAGTAAGTTAACAAAATCTTTATTTGATTTCTTATTAGCTTTGAAAATTCAATTTTGCATTTATGATATCTTTTTGTGTTTCAATAAATAAGTTTTATGTGGTTTTAGTAGCCTTTGTTTCAAAATTGAAATATTTCCATAAAAAAGGTTAGGATAGACAAAGCAAATTATTTCCTACTTTAATTGCTTGTATGTATCTTTGAAAGTTATTTGAGTAAGAAGAGCCAAGTAAATGTCACAGCAAACTTGTTTCATTTTTTGAAAAACAACGATTATGTAACAAGACTTAATACAAATAATCTCTGTATATAAAAGGTAGTAAGGGTAAAATCATTATTTTTTCAGGCCACAGATAAAGATATTCATTGAAGGATTATTCAGTTTCAATCAAGACATCTCAGCATTCAAAGAGCATCTAAGAGACTTCCTTGTACAAATTAGGGTAAGTAAAATTTTTTCATCAAATTTCATACTTTGTATATATAGTATAAGAAAGAAAAGTTTTAATGACTCCATCAGTCTCTAATTTTTTTTCTTTATCATTTTTACCTGTAAGGTTCTCTATTTCATATATCCAGGGCATCCATGGCCTAGTTGTTAAGGTTGTTAACTTAAAATGTCTTGTCCGTCACTGCTGTGAGTTTGAGGCCAAAGAGGAACTTTAAAAGCTATCCAGCCAGCTTACAAAATGTTGGTGGTTCTACTCATGTTCTTGTTAGTGCCTGAAATAATGCACGGAAAGGCACTTAAGTTCTTCCTTCACCAGTAAAGCTGGAAAGTCACTATATGACCTGTGCCATTTTAGGTAAACGTAAAACTGAACCAAAAAAAACCATCTTCATAAAATATTTTATCACGTTCTTGATTGCTATTTATTTCGATGATGTCATCTTATACTTGATATTATAGTTGGGAGCAGTTGTCAGTCATTGAAAAAGCTTTTGTTATCAAGTTTATAGAAGTCTTTCAAATAAGATATTGATGAAGTTGTTTGTGTTATTGTAGGAGTTTGCTGGTGAGGATAACAGTGATTTGTTCTTGGAAGAACGAGAATCTGCCATTAAACAGGCACAGGAAGAGAAGAAGAAAATACAGATGTCTGTACCAGGTATTATTGGACCACATGAGATACAAGAGGATATGCAGGATTAGAGGGGGGCCAAAATGTCAGTATGTGGGACACATAACAAAATGGCACAATGGAAAAAGTGAAAGGATTTCAACTATCAGTTGGACATAAGAAGTGTTTGCACTGGCATGAAGGATCTCAAGAGGCAATAAGAGGTCTGTGTTGTTGACTGTATCAGTCAGATGTGAGGAGAAAAGATAATGCACCAATGTGTCAAGATTGAAAAACTTTAACACTTAGGTTGGATAAATGAATAATGCACATTTTCTAAGTATATTGAATGTACATATTATGTCAAACTCAATTTGTTGATACTGAAATTTGCTGCCATATTTTAAAAGAGAGACATTGATTAAGCTTGGAAATACGATTTTTATATGTCATGAAGCAAGAAGACTACAACATGATAAATGATAATTTATTCAGGACACCACTCTTTGAAAAGAAAATGTTTCTTGTCACAAGTTAAGACAAGATACTTCAAAAAACTTATTGATTTGACATAGTATTTTGAATGGACCAGAGTTTTTTGTGTTCTGTAACATTTTTCTTGCAAGTCATTTTAGTATAGAAACATTTGTTGATTACTTTGTCTTTTGTTTGTATTTTGATGCGTTGTTATTAAGGTGCAATAAATCTGGAGTGTTGTGACAATGATTTCATCATTAATGATGAAGTGCCACAGTGATGCACATGTCTATTGAGAAAATAGATTGTAACATCGGTTGGAAGTACATTACTGAATATTGAGATGAAAGTGCTCATAATGGAAATGTGTTTGATTTTATCAGAAGGTGCTTTTATAGATTAAAATTTTCAAATAGATATGTTCTCAATTTGACAAACATAAAGTTAATTACATATAACTATGGGACAGGAAAGATTGTCATGTATGTGCAAGAAAAGGGGAAACTGTATTTTAATGATAGTAAAAAGTGCATATTGATTATGAAGGGACGGGTGTCCATTCTTGAAATGGTGAATATAATAAAAAGAAACATACAAGATTGTTAATACAGTTTGTACATGGCATTAAACAGTGCATTTCTGTCAACATAGCTAACTTTTCTGCGCATTTGTATGGAATAAATTAATAATGCTATTTTATAAAATATTTTGTTTTCAATTTTTCATTTATTTTGTATTTGTACTAATTGTTGATGTTAACACATGCAAAACAATGTAAAATCTAGCTTCATCTATGTAAATACTTCATTCATATCTAAGTGATATAATTGATTACCGACATTTTGACCTACATTAAAACTTCTGATTGTATTAAATCATTGATGAATGAAACACAACCATGTTAGGCTAATCGTAACACTGAATTTTAACATTTATTTTACTGTTTCCATTTCTAGCAACATTCATACATGCTATTTTGAGATTTCTGAATAATTTCTTTCAAAATAAAATTACCAGAAGGAGAAATTTTTCTTATTTTATACGAGAAATTACAAAATATGCAGTTATCTTTTGTGATGTACTGTTTGTTCTTAGTATGCAAACCTCATTTGAAATCCCTAATTCCATTGTCTTTCTGTTGACACTTTTTACCATGCACATATATATAGGGATTGTATGTATATTTTGGCTATACAATTTTTTTTTAGGTAAACCAACTGACAATTTTTTAAAGAACTTTCTAATGTACATTATTCTTTCAACAAACAAAAAATATATGTATATTTGGTTTTTGTTTCTGTATAAGGATACTGATATTGAGTTGCTTAAAGTTTTTGACAGAAATGGTAAAGTTAATTGATAGGGGTTTCTAACTTTATATATAGAGCATCGTTTGTTTGAATCCAGGAATTGCTATTTTTCGAGAAACATGTATCTATTACAAGTTTTAAGATATGTAACGATAGTGTACGATTATTATTTTTGAGAAGAAATCATGTTGACCATTCAGTTTTTTAAAAACATGTATCGGTTTGAAATTATGATTTCTTACCATAAATTTTTGGAATCTGTATTGATTACTGAGAGCTAGTTTAAATAAGATGTGATTTATTTAAATTTGTAATAGTGATGCTTAAAGATAGTTTTATATATTTTGCTTTGTATGTATTGCAATTGTTTAAATAAATCTTTGTTATTGTTAAACAAATGGCAGTAAATATAAATCCATGCAAGAGAAAGGTTTAATATTGAAGTTAGGGAAAAAATATGATGAAGAATCAGTGTTCTTATTTGGAATGAAAATTATACTTAAAAACATTTGTGTTTGTACTACATTTATATATATGTTGATGTCAAATAGTTTCATTATGTGATGATGCAAGATCTGTGTGTACGAAGTGATATTATCATTTTGTTATTTAGATTAGAACAGAGCTGGTCAAAATGATGTCATCTTAGCTGTCAGTATCTATATTTAATGATTGATAAATGGTTGACTAAAATATAATATGGCTAGAAATATGCAGTGTTTGTCTTAATTATCCCTTTAATATCTAATTGTGCAAGTATAATTGTATTCAGTAAGCTTGTCTGATATTTATACCCCCGCACAACAAAGTTGTAAGGGGGGTATACTGGAATCAGCTTGTCCGTCCGGCCGTCCGGCTGTCCGGCCGTCCGGCCGTCCGTCGGTTTTTTCTTGTCCGCCCAATAACTTAAGATATCATTGACCCTTAGTCTTCATATTTGGCATGGAGGTTAGTCATGATTAGTAGATGACCCCTATTGATTTTGAGGTCACTAGGTCAAAGGTCAAGGTCACAGGGGCCTTGACTTCAAAAACCTTGTCCGCCCAATAACTTAAGATTCCTTTGACCTACAGTCTTTATATTTGGCATGGAGGTTAGTCATGATTAGTAGATGACCCCTATTGATTTTGAGGTCACCAGGTTAAAAGGTCAAGGTCACAGGGGCCTTGACTTCAAAAAGCTTGTCCGCCCAATAACTTAAGATTCCTTTGACCTACAGTCGTCATATTTGGCATGAAGGTTAGTCATGATTAGTAGATGACCCTTATTGACTTTGAGGTCACCAGGTCAAAGGTCAAGGTCACAGGGGCCTTGACTTCAAAAAGCTTGTCCGCCCAATAACTTAAGATTCCTATGACCCAAAGTCTTCATATTTGGCATGGAGGTTAGTCATGATTAGTAGATGACCCATATTGATTTTGAGGTCACTAGGTCAAAGGTCAAGGTCACAGGGCCATGACTTTAAAAAGCTTGTCCGCCCAATAACTTAAGATTCCTTTGACCCATAGTCTTCATATTTGGCATGGAGGTTAGTCATGATTTGTTGATGACCCTATTGATTTTGAGGTCATCAGGTCAAAGGTCAAGGTCACAGGGGCCTTGACTTCAAAAAACTTGTCCGCCCAATAACTTAAGATTCCTTTGACCCATAGTCTTCATATTTGGCATTGAGGTTAGACATGATTAGTAGATGACCCCTATTGACTTTGAGGTCACCAGGTCAAAGGTCAAGGTCACAGGGGCCTTGACTTCAAAAAGCTTGTCCGCCCTATAACTTAAGATTCCTTTGACCCACAGTCTTCATGTTTGGCATGGAGGTAAGTCATGATTAGTAGATGACCCCTATTAATTTTGAGGTCACCAGGTCAAAGGTCATTGATGTTGATCATGACTATAAGGTAACCCCTATTGACTTTGAGGTCACTGGGTCGAAGGTCAAGGTCACAGGGACCTTGACAAAAAAAGCTTTTCTTCTCAATTGCTAAAGAATGTCCTGTCTGCAATGTATTGATTTTGACATTTTCACATTTTAAGCTTGTAGAATACATAACTTAGCAATGCACTGGCTTAGTAACCTCAGATTTGGCAGGGAGGTTGTCCTTGAACGCTAAATGGCCACTGTTGATTCTGACAAAGTGGTATGCGGGGGTATTCACGCCAAGATAGTGGCAGTTCTAGTTTAGACAGTTGTACAAACATTTTAAAAGTAAAATGTTATCAACAAGAAACTTGGAATACTTGCTTATTATAACAAGATTATATAATACATTTGTAATTATTATAACAAAACAAGTGTTAACACTGCATGCGATGCTCTTGTATGACTTGATGTTGAAGACACAATGTGAATCTTCATGCTAAATATCTAAGCTCTTGTCACTAGTTTCTTAGGAAAAGATTTTTATCCAATGACCTATTCAAGGCGATATTTTAAAGTTGAAATCTGGGCACGGCCATTTTTTACCCCGTGGGCATGACTTGTTGCACCAGATAATGCTTCATGCTAAATACCAAAGCTTTAGGACATATAGTTTCAGAGAAGATTTAAATTTGTTTTCCTTTATTTGTCTATGTAAACTTAGTGACCCCCACAATGGGGATTACTATGACCCCAGGGGCATAACTTGTAGAGGACCACAATGTGATGCTACATGTCAAATACCTACACACTGGGTTTAGGAGATTTTCAAAGATTGATTTTTAATTCATATGACCTACTTATGCATAGACTGGAACCATTTATTATAATTTCTATTCACCTAAGGATAATTCCTATGAAGTTTAGTCAAAATCTACCAAGTAGTTACAGGAGATTTTGTCTGAAGGAATTCTGGGCAACACTGCTGTACACAATGAACTCTCATATTACGAGTGCCTTTAATTATTGCATGTCAAGACATTTTCAGTATGGATATGGTCATCCTTGTTAATCCTTATCAAACAATTGAGTTTTAATGAATTGTTAATATTGTCCAGTCTACAAAAATTATATTGTGCTTGGTGTTTAAACTACTATTTATAATTGGTCCTGATCAAGGTCATATAAGTGACCAAAACTAGAAGACTCCAATAAAAAATATTGTCCTGGTGTTGACATTTATTACTCTTTATTTTGAACTTGCCTTGGTTGATTACTATTTATAATAAATAAAACTACACATTATAGCAGTAATTTAATCTGCTTCTAAAGTAATGTAATAAGTTGTAGTAAAAAGTGAGATTTTATTCTTGCACTATTATCATGACACATTTAATGCTATCATCTGTCTGTCATAACAAATACTTAAACATTTTTCTCCCCATAATAATATGTAATAATCAGATAAAATGCTAGGTCAAGGTTTGTCAATTAGAACAGTTAAGATAACAAGATGCTAGTACACTGGTCTTAACCTACTTTTAGTTCACTTGTATTTACTAAGTGAACTTTACAATTTGAACATCTGGACATTAATCTTAAAAAAAATACTAGAACTATATTTAGCTCGACTAAGTCCATTGCAATATGGCTTTGAAACTTTGCACACTTGTTCACCATCATAACCCCAACTTGTAGACAGGAGGAGGTAACTGTATCAAGCATTTTGACAGAATTATGCCCCTTTTTCGACTTAGAATTTACTTTAAAATTTTTGTAATACCTTAAATATTTTCAAAGTCCATTGACTTATGGCTTAGAAACTTTGCAGTTGTTCACCATCATGACCCCAACCTGTAGACAGGAGATAACTTTATGAAGCATTTGGCAGAATAATGCCCCTTTTTCAACTTACATTTACATTTAAGTTTGCACTTCAGATATTTTCATATTCTATTGACATATGGCTTTGAAACAAGTTGAAATTTTATACTCTTCTTTGAGAGAATAATATGACTCTCTCCAAGGTATATAACACTCATGGAATTAAAGAAAAAATTTTCCCTTTTGTTAACTAATAAAATTTTACATTATCAAGGCTCTTTTACTTGAGCACTTAGAATAGTCAAGCGTTGCTTGACAGCTCTTGTTAAACTGACTGCCCACGTAATTCAACCTGAATCTATCTTGTCCAACTGGTGTTAGCTGACATCAGATTTACCCATATGCATACCTAGGAAAGAAACACTTGAATCTTATGCTCTCCATCCCAAATTTACCTGTCTATTAAACTATAGGGAACACAATTTCTTCACTCAGAGCTGACAAGTGAAATAAAGGTAAAGTACTTAAAGATGTTGTTCAAATAATGGCCCTTGGGTGAAAATTGGCCTCACCCCAGGGTCATTGAATTTTCTTATATGTGTATAGTAAAAACTTTAAAAATCTTCTTTTAAAAATCACAGAGCTAGATTTAAGATACAAAACATGAAATATCTTCTCGTTAATGTCTACCAATTATGTTCAAATAAAAGCCCTGGGGTCAAAATTGGTCTAGCCCAGGGGGTGGGAGGTCATTGTTTTTCCCTATATGTGTAAAGTAAAAACTGAAAAAATCTTTCTTTTAAAAAAACCCAAAGAGCTAGAGCTTAGATATTCTTCTAATGGGTGTCTACCAAGTTTGTTCAAATAAAAGCCCCTGGGTTAAAATTGGCCCTGGCCCGGGGGCCTATATAAAGGTGAGCGATTTCAGGGCTATCATGGCCCTCTTGTTTATAAAAAGTGAAAATAACCAGTAGTTTGACAGCTTCTTTATTGCAAAAACAATCTCAACAGAAGAAAGGAGTATAAAAACATGTTTGAATGTAGATGAGTATTATATAATACATGTATGCATAATAAAAGCTTTAAGAAACATTGAGGTATTTTAAAGTCGATTGTCATTTTATGACAAGATTTTCTGATATGTTTTTGTGATCTATTCCTCTTTTACTTTATCATTACATCAGCACACTGATAAAACACTGCAGGGGCATCTGGGTTCTTTGTTACATATTTAACCTGTAAAATAAACATCAGTTATTTCATAACAAACTTGCTTTTTATTATGCTATTTTCTTCCAAAATTACAGATTTTTCAAAGAAATATTATTGAACTTGTTTCCTTTATGAAAGGAGAGTTATGTCCTTGTGGCAGAACTGCATTTAGTAATTGATAAAGTTTTAATGCTGTTAATTAACTCTTCCATTGCTCGAACCAAAAGCTATAGCCTTTGTCACAAGTACATGTATAGAGTCGAGCCAGCGTGCACATTTATGCAGTCTGACCAGATCCTATTCTGGTAATCTGATATTGAATAGACTGTCCCAAATTCTAAGCAGGGCAAGTCCATTAAGCAAATTCTGCAGGTGAAGGGTTAGGGAAAGGTATCTTATTTTTATGAACATTATTTGATCAATCATTTATCATTTAAGCAGAGAAAGGTCAAGGTTTAACAATGGCTACATTAGATTTCAAATTCTCCATAAGATAACAACTGGTACATGTAAGTCAATGTAGCAGGTACATGTATTTTGTTTTCTATTTTTAGCTCACCTGAGCACATGGTGAGCTTTTGTGGCTCTTTGTTTTAAAAATCATGCCAAGGTATTAATGTTAAGAGAACTTTTTCCCTCACAAAAAAAAATTCTTATACATATACATCATGTAATGGAATTTTATTATTCTATATTAAAGATTAGTCACATTATGCTTGTGTTGGATGGAAATTTAGACCATATGACAAACAAAACAAAAATACCTGAAGTTGAGCTGGTCCATTTATTCTGAAAACAAGAACAAACCATCATTATAGCTATTTAGTCTTAGACAGAATAAGAATAAAGGATTTTAACTAGCTTAAAAGCAGAAATCAGCAATAACACTTCTTTGTCTAAGATAGTGAAGACAACACTGATGTCTTTAAACTTAAATGAACATTTTGTAATGGACAACAATGACACTTGATATCTTCTTCTCTATCTAAAACTCTGAACAAGTTAAATTACTTTGCCCACTGATTGCCCAATAGGCCAAGAGCATGAGCCCATTTAAAATTAAAATTTAAACGTGGGGGGTTTAAAGGTTTTATCCCTTTGTTGAGGGTTTTATGAAAAAAATTATCTGGGAAAAAGCGGGTTTTCATGGTACTGAAAAAAGGAAACGGGAAAATAGCGTTCTCATGGTTTCATGAAAAGGTCTGGGGCCCTAGCCCTCTTCATTGGGACCCTGAAAATGGGGTTCTGGGGCATTTGCGGCCTCATTGGGTTAAAATGGGAAAATTGACTGGGCATAGCGTTTTCATGGTAACCCTGGGAAAAAAGATCTGGGGCATAGCGCCTCATGGTACATGAAAAAATTTAATCTTGGGGGCATTAAACGTCTCATGGGACCCTGAAAAAATTTATCTAGGACATAAACTTTTTCATGGTACATGAAAAAATTTATCTAGGAAAATTTGGCGGGCTCATGGTACATGAAAATGGATATGGGACATAGCGTCTCATGGTACATGAAAATTGATCTAGGACATAGCTTCTCATGGTTACATGAAAAATGGATCTGGGACATAGCGTCTTCATGGTACATGAAAATTGATCTAGGACATAGCGTCTCACGGTACATGAAAATTGACCTGGGACATAGCGCCTCACGGTACATGAAAATGGATCTGGGACATAGCGTCTCATGGTACATGAAAATTGATCTGGGACATAGCGCCTCATGGTACAAGAAAATTGATCTGGGACATAGCGTCTCACGGTACATGAAAAATTGATCTGGGACATAGCGTCTCATGGTACATGAAAATTGATCTAGGACATAGCGTCTCACGGTACATGAAAATTGATCTGGGACATAGCGTCTCATGGTACATGAAAATTGACCTGGGGACATAGCGTTCTCATGGTACATGAAAATGGATCTGGGACATAGCGTCTCATGGTACATGAAAATGGATCTGGGACATAGCGTCTCATGGTACATGAAAATGGATCTGGGACATAGCGTCTCATGGTACATGAAAATTGATCTGGGACATAGCGTCTCATGGTACATGAAAATTGATCTGGGACATAGCGTCTCATGGTACATGAAAATTGATCTAGGACATAGCGTCTCATGGTACATGAAAATTGATCTGGGACATAGCGTCTCATGGTACATGAAAATTGATCTGGGACATAGCGTCTCATGGTACATGAAAATTGACCTGGGACATAGCGTCTCATGGTACATGAAAATTGACCTGGGACATAGCGTCTCATGGTTTGTCTCTCATAACTGATTCAGATATCAAGGGGGAAAAGTTGCAGAAAAATTGGTATGGTAATAACTGGAAAGTTACCTTGAAAAGTGTTCAATGTGTTAGATTTGTTGTAAAAAAACAACAGAAAAATAAACTTGATGGATCAGAATTATGGCAAACAAACATTTTTATTATCAAGCTTCTTTGTTGTCTCCTTACATTTCATGTACATACTTTGATATACAAGAAAATATTTATTAAAGAAAGTCCCTTTCAAATTAGTTGTTTGCTTAATCATAAATAATTGAGTGAAACACAATATGCTTCTATAGTTATTACATAATAACAGATAATAAGATAACATACCCTGATGGAACAAGTCCAGTCAATGTGTACAGGTGAAGAACTTTTTCTCCTGTATCTGGTACCCGAGCTATCTCCTTAACAACAGAACTTCCGTTTAAAATACTCACAGCAAAATAGCCCTGCAGGTAACATATACAAAATTGAAGATACTTTAGAGAAAAGATTTTTTTTGAGATTCATTGTGTAGTATACTAGTGATATAAAACTTTTGCTTTGATCAGGTTACTTTCTATTTAAAATCGTTACCCTTATTTTTTTATGCAAAGAACCTATATGAACATTAATTAAGAGTTCAACTTCAATGAGTTCATAAACTTTGAAGATGTGGGTATTAGATATAAATATCAGCCTAAGTAATGTCTGTTTAAACACGCAATATTTAACTTTGATAAGCAGGTTTTGATTATTTATTTTACAACTAGATTTAAATGGTTTGTGTAATTTGGTAGGGACACTGCCCTTGACAAGTTACTAACCATTAATGACTTTGAGGTCAAAGGTCAAGGTCACAATGACACTCAATGTAAAATCCTTCTTTCAACTCTCACTTAAAAAAGAATAATACTCTCACTTTAAAAAGAATAAAACTAGGTTTATGTTAATTTGTAGACACTGGATCCATCAATTTAGCCTTGTTATCATTTCCATAGTACAAAAAGCCCATATCAAATCCATATCACACCCCATATAACCTTGTTTTCATTTCAAAAGTCCAAAAATTTCATATCAAATTCATATCACACCCTATATAATCTTGTTTACATTTCCAGAGTCAAAAAGGTTTATATTAAATCCATATTGCATCCCATCTTGCCTTGTTTTCATTTTTTGAGAGTCAAAAATCCATATTAAATCCCTATTGTAATAGAAAAGTAACAAAATTCTGACAAAAAATAGTTGTGTGAAATAAAACATGGTTGAGGACAATACCGACTCTGCTGGACTTATACACAGCTGCAAAACCTAAATCACTCACCTAGTGCCTAGTCCAATATAGCTTTGATAGCTGTATACTTGTACAATAGAATTCAGTATTTTACTCAAAAAATGTATGATAACCTCATATTATTGTCTGGCAGAAAAGTTTGTGTTTATGTATGAGATAAAGATTGGACTTACTGGACTTGTTGACAACCAGTGATCAAGATTCTTCTGGAAGATAATGGAACTATTCTTTCCAGCTCTTTAAAGAAACAACTTTTTATTACTTAACATAAAATGAATAAAAAACACTATAACAAAACCAAAGCATTTATGTGAAAGACATTCATTTGATATTCTGTTAAATTCATATTGCACTTGCTGAAACTATAATAAGATAGGTTTGTAGTTCTTGCAGACTGTTTAACATCTTAATATTTTATCGATTTTTCTTGTTGTCATTTTAAACCTTTTATTGTTTAAACAGATTTTATTTTATACAAGTAACAATAGAAAAACATAATAGTAAAATCATCTTTTGAATAAATGCATTTTCAAGAATAAACATCTTACAATAAGGTTGTCAAAGGCTCCTCTCCTGGTCTACCACCACATGGTTCTTTCAACAGGATACAATCATTTGATGCTACAATATATAGAAATCTTATTTTAGAACAATTGAGATGGCAGCTCAAGCAAAGATGACATGTGTATTACAAAATATAATGACTAAACTTTGTCGACATGCTTCATTTAAGCACGGCAGTTTGTGGGGGTAAATCAGCTTTGACTTTTCCCTGGCTGAATAAAACCTAACCAAAGGAGAGGGATGTTTAGTGGGGATTTAACAATTTAATCGATCCCGCTGGTGGAAATTATACCAAGTACTACGCCATTAACTGTGGGTAGTGGCTGCAGTTTCAAATGCATTGCAGATATCAAATGTACATCATCTGAATCACAAATGCGTTTACAACATACATATTTTTGTTATATTTTTTAGTGCAATTTTTATTTACATTGTACTGTAAATTTATCATATTGTTAAAAAATTGGTGGAAGACCCTCTCATAGATTATTATTACCAGAGAAATAGATATGTTACCTAAATCTCTATCATTACTTTGAAAAATGGCACCATTAAATAAATATAAAATATGTCTTAAAGCAGCATACCTCTAGATTTGTGCTAATTTTCATGATTTTTTCTTTTTGCAATTGTGTATCAAAGTATAATTATGTGAGTGAACAAAAAAGTAATTTATATACTGCGAATGGTACTTACAATCCATGTAAATAACCAAAAAGGAGGTCTCTTTATGTAAAGTAGCCAATTCTGTGTTAGTCATGCAAAATTTGCCATTTTATGGTGATAAATACTGCAAAGTGTCCACATTATGTAGATCTATCATTACTTGAATCTTTTAACTTCTTAGTACATTTTTTCTCAAGATTGATTTTGGTGAAATTTTTTGGCTTATCTGGAGGCATGCAGCTTCTATCTGTAAGACCTTGATTTCTGATTACTTTAAGTAATGTTTTCTTAGTCTGGATGTAGGCAGGTATATATTTTCATGTGTTCACCTGTACATGACCTGGTCTGTCTGATAAGATGAGAACCTGTGCATGTGCAAAAGAAAGACCTCAAACAATTTGCTTTTGTTTAGAAAAATATAGACCAGTGACATACAATATACACTGATAGTCTAATTAAGAGATGTATAACCACAGATTTATAAATCCGTAGTATAATGTATGTTAAATAAAGATCTAAATCGGTAAGTTCGTAGTCTTATCAATGTCTGTATTTTGTAATGCAAATATGGAATGACTGTAATGAGTCCACCTATTGTTATGGGGGGAGGCAAGTCGGGGGTCTAGCCACAGGGGATTCTGTCATTTTTTTTCCTTTCCCACTATATATATAATATCAGCTGTAATATTATATATATAGATTTAATAAAAAAATGACAGCTTTCCCTGTGGGTCGTCGTTTTTAGTTGTTAAAATCAAATGTCAGTACCTGGTGTGTTTAACCCAGTCATAGAGCCCCTCTGATGGGGACTTAAAAGGCACATGTGAGCTGAGGTCAGCTCCAAAACGACCACAACAACAGCAGTAGAAAAAAATATCTTCATTGTCATTTTCTTCCCGGTTGCATAAGTATACACACTTTACAGAACACCGGGTTCAAATGATCACATGATATATCAGGTGACGAAAATTTCATCACGTGATTATAATTTCACGTTCGCTGTACATACAGCACATTACTTTACTAATAGATTTTCTTGGTTGGAGACATTGTATAAAGTAAGGCAAATTGGAAGATATGCTAACTTAAATATGTCTTTCATTGTTCAACTAGTATGGCGACACTGATTTTATCCATAGTAATTTTGTACAGCTCGCAATAATTCACTATCAACAGATGTCCGATCTCAGCTATAAAGTACACATCACATATCAGACAACAAAGATAGGTCAGGATTAATTTTGGTAAACGATTTTGACACAATTTGTACATATCGTAAGTGCAAATGTATCTTAACAAATATTTAACCAATTCATTGAAAGTGCAAATTGACATGAAATTTTCTTGTGAAAATTCAAAAATAGTTTTGGAGAAACATCGCAATTTCATCTCACCAACATGATTTTTGTTGAAAATGAAAAGGGTAATATATTATAAATCCTGGCAATATTAAAAATAAACGCTGAAATAAAGTAAACGTGAGTTTGTTTGTACTCGTATTTGGCTGAAGAAATGTTTATTTCCGGAGTTTTAATTGAATCTTGGACACATGTCTATTAGCTATAACGTACAACAGTAATGATAACACAACACTTATTGGTAAAACAAAAACCCATAAACAATTGGTATTTAACTACATTTTTATTGCATAAAAGCAAAAAAAAATGTTAAAGAACAACAGTACATTTCATACAAACAAAACGGACTAATTATGAAACATATATAACAATTGAGCAAACATATTAACGTCAAGAAACAGCTGTCTCACAAACGGAATGAGGTATTTCATAGTCAGTTTAAATAACAACGTATATAGAAATGTCATCATATCGTCGAGTTGAACTCCCTACATGATTGTAACATCGGCACACTGGTAAAACACCGCTGGAGCCTGTGGATTCATCGTCACATAGGTTGCCTGAAATACCAAAATAAAACTTACATTTTATACTGTGCGCAATACCAGAATGAATTATCATACCCCTTAGTATTTCCAATATTGATAACATAAACGTATTTTCATCACCTTTAGCGTACATTTATTATTACTTTATTTCGTTTGCCTGTTGAAAGTAGAATAAGAAATTTGCAACGAATTGTGAAAGAGCTGCTGTAATATTAAAAATAATACAAACTGTAATAACTTTCTAGTAGAAAATATGTATATATATACAGTGTATTACATAATAAAAAGAAAATATTTTACCTGCAGTACAGCCTGTCCAGTCATACTGGAAATAAAAACAAAACAATTGTCTTTTATTGCATAATCCTTTAGAATAAAACCTATATTGTTTAAGATAAGGATACAGTTTACGAATATATGTTTAATTGTTGTAATCAGTGACATGAACTTTGAGAAAACAGACGGTGATAATGACAAGGAAGTGAAAAGTTATTTTTGCCGTTAAGAATGATCAGACTTTAAACTTGAGGTAACAATAGACAGTTCCGACATCGAATAAATCAATAAAGAAAAACGTTAATAACTTACGTTGCTGGTACCATGCCCATGATTGTGTAGAGAGTGAGAGAAGCTTCACCCATGTCTGGTACCCGGCCTATTTGTGTTGTTATGCTTCCTTGCATAAGGCTGACAGCAAAGTAACCCTGAAAAAAGTGATAACAAAATATTCTAACTATATCCTTCCTGTTTTGTAGAAAATAATTCAACTTTTGTTTTAAGGCTATTTTAATTGATGCTTATAATGGTAGTAAAACCAGGGACTTTTATATATTTGTACATTGTGTATAACCAAAAGAATTTTTATAATTGTTGACACAATTGATATGGTGTCGCAATCATGAATGGAATGATACACTTACTGGTGTTGCTTGTGCCCAGTGATCAAGATTTTTCTGTACGATAATAGATGCATTCGACCCAGCCCTAAAACGAAAAAGAACTACATGTACATAAAACAACAGAAACAAACTCAAACCGCATTTTGAAAGGAACAATTGTCAGAAAGTGTTAGACTTGGTTGGCAACATTATTGGGTGAAAAAGTCCGACAACAATAAAATGTGATGTCAATTTTAAGCACTAATATGATAGATGCAAACTTCATAAACAAACACAGTCAACAAACAATTAACGTTCTAGTTGAATTTTTATATATTTCTATAAATTGATTGGAGTACAAATGTACAATTTTAGCGCAAAGACAAATTAAAGAGCTCTTTCGATGAGAAAGTTGTACGAATCACGCAACCAAACTATAGAAGTAGTTGTACGGGTGTGATAAAAATCTTACATTAATGTTATCATTGGTTTTGCGAGTGGTCGGCCCCCACATGGTGAATTCAACAATATGCAATCGTTTGACCCTGTAGAAATATAATTTGAACATTAATCATTATCATAACAAGTGTAATTACTATGTTTAAAAATCATATCATGTAATGTTAACCATTGTTTTTTCTCAATTAAATACTAATATAATGTAAATATTTTTACGAAAGAAATTGACAGCATATACACCTCTTCTTCTTACAAAAAGTCGATGTAATTGCTTAAATATCATTTACAGTTTAAAAAGATTTGTGTCAAGATTCACTACAAAATGTATTGCGTGCTTACTGAACCTCAAACGTTTAAACTGTTCTTTTTTTGTAATTTATCTAATCATCTGTAATGCATTACCTTTTTTGTTCAAATCCATCATAGATCCTCTCTGGTGTGGACTAATGAGGCACATGTGAGCCGACGCTATGGCCAAAACGACCGAGAAACATGCTGCAGACAGGATAGTATTCATCTTCAGATTGTAGTATCTCTTTGAATCTAAACTGTGAGGTTTGTGCACAATTTATAGTAATATTGTCGTCACATGACTTGTCACATGGTTCTAGATTTGTCAAATGATCTTTATCTTGTAGGGTCTCATGTCCTGAAAACCGTAAATATGTGACTTTCTATGGTGGCTGATTTACGCCATGCCGCATTTTCAATTTTTCAGTAAAGGTAAACTTTGTCCTGTCTTTGTGTTTTCGCATTCTCAAAGCGAAAAATTGAAATAATAAGATATATCTAATATATAAGATACGTGTTTTCGATTACATATTTCGTGCCATAGCTTTTTCGCGGCAAAATAGGAGATTAAGTCTATCTTTGAGGTGTTTTCGATTTTTTGCATTGTTGCAGTTTCGCTTTTTTTGCCAGCAATGTTACTCTCACTTTGATGCATGTTCGCTTGTTACAATGTTTCGCATTTTTGACATTCTCGAAGCAAAAAGCAAAAGGATGACATTATATGACAGAGCTTTTTATTTTTGTGTACTGTTCAAGTTTTCAAAAAATAACTTACTGGTCAATTACAAGAACCATATTATGCTTCTGTTACTTTTTAACAATTAGTACAGATATAGTGATATATTTGGTATGGAAGTCAAAATACTACTTTGATTACATTTTAGTTATTTGAAGATTTAAAGCTTCTTTTTAGGAGTAAAATATCTGACAAGCTCCAAAAACTTATTTAAACATTAAAAAACTAATATCAGCCCTTTCTAAAAAATGTGCCTTGTGATTTGTATTTTTTTCTTCAATGAATGTAATGAATTCATATAATTAATTCCATTTCAACATACAAATCATTTGAAAGGAAAGCGCATGTATCTAATTCTTGAGTAAATTAATTGAATTGTATTTTACTTAATTATATTAGATATAAAAAGATAAAAAGATAAAACAAAATATAGCTCATACTTATACTTATTTATTATGTCATAGTTTTTTTGTTGTTTTTTTTTGACTTTGTATATTTAGGAAAGCTCCAAAGATGTCATTTAAGTTAATGTTTAAGTTTCAACGACTCCATGAAAATAGAACACACGCACTAAGTAAGATATGAAATCCAGAACATTGCTGTGTTTTTAAATGTAATGTTTCCGTAATAGTTCAATGTATAAATATCCTTGACCCCGCTTAGATTATCTTTGTCTTTTCTTAACCGCAAAGGAATGATAAGTTTCAAAGTATAAAGTTTATAAACATAGTTTAATTATATTTCAAGACATTAAAGCATTATGATAACATTTCTTTTAATGGTACTGTCAGTGATCACGCTATTGTTTTACATGTTTGAAAAGTACACACGTACATTTGTTTGTTTGTTTCATTTTACGCCTTTGTCAACAGTATTTCAGTCATATAGGCGGGTAGTTTCCTAACCATCGTTCCTGGAGAGTTACACCAGTACTAGACTACCTTCCTCCGCGCTAAACTACCAAAGACACACACGTACATAATCATATGCATGTGACATATAGTACATTAAAAAGTAATTATTTTGATAAAGATATGGACCAATTTGTAACATGTACAGAATAAACATGTACTGCTTCCTTATGCTTTAACCTACAAATTTATCTTGTATTTTTCATAAAAGTAAAATAACATGACATTTATTATATTATTTATTATTACATTTATACTTTTGTTATTTATCTTATGCAAGTTGTGCAAATTTGATGAAGACTTAATAAAAAAGGCACGTGAACAAAAAAACAAAACAAAAAAAACCCCGACAGATCTTTCATTCTAATATATATGAGCTGATAAAACCCAGAGAAACATATAGCACCAATAATCAATTTCATTCATTACCTTACATAACTTTTATCTTACAGCTGTCATAATTAATCTATATAATTTCTTATAATCCTATAAACAAAATGCATGTTTCTGTAGAAACATTTAGAACAACAAAACAAGATAGTAACAGATGACTTTTATTTCTGGAGCCTCGTTTCTTGCATATATATTTGCATAACAAGTACACGTAGCCATTGCATTGAAGTAATCAAATGAGCAAATATGATTAGATTTAATAGCATAACATAAATAAGAAACTCATATTAATGTAATACATTGTACAAAAGTTGCCCGTGATATGTATAATGATGCATTTCATATTTTCAAGTTGTTAACTGTATAAAAATTCATCATCCTGTGATTTGAACTCTCGGCATGATTTTTACATCGGCACACTGGTAAAACGCCGCTGGTGCATTTGGATTCATCGTCACATAGGATGCCTATAAATGCAAAAATGAAACAAGGTTGACAGTGTGCAGTGGTATTAATGGAGTAATTGGTATAAAATCTACCTAACGGAACATGTATATTCCATGCACGTTATAAGACAACGCACGTACCTTTTGGTGCAACACGTTAACACGCGTTAATGAAAATAATTTTGCAACGACGAAGGAGGTAGCATAAAACGTGGTTGCGACAGCGTTCCAAGTCAACGCAATATAGACAGCCGCACAAGTTTAAAAATAAATACATGTATTTCGACACATTTGTTTCGGGAAATTGTCAAAGACAGTCATTCTCTATCTTGGCGTGACCAAACTTAACATTGTCCGGCATGTCAAAAGCAAATTGTATATAATGTAATATAAAATCAACAAAAAGTTTTACCTGTAGAACCGCTGGTCCTGACAATCTGGAAATAGAACAAAATAGTAATGTAATTATGTAAATACTTATAGTAACTAAAATTAATAATTTATTCAACTGTTTACAAATCATTCTTTATTATAACTTTAATAAAAAGAATATTGCAAAAATGGAGTCATGCGGTCGAGTAACTTTTATTTAAAAAAAAGATGGTTGAAATAGATTAGAATGACAATTTGATTATGATGAAATTAGGAAATTGGTTATAATTTTTCTTATTTGGGTATTGTGCTTTAAACTAGTTACTTTCCTCACAAACATGATGCATTAGCTAGCCAAGGTCTGAAATCAATCTATATATTTAAATAGATTTTATAACCTATAAAATAATCGGAGTTTGAAGAAGTAAAAAAAAAAACTTGAGAATATTCGCCTGTAAATCTTTACTAGATATAACCTGGCAGACTTGGTATACATTTATTTTTACATTGAATTAGGCAGGATGACTCTCGAATAGAAAAATAATAACCAACAATCATTATAATAATAACAATTGTAAAAAAGTTTAGGATTTTACTATGTGTGTAAATATTAGTATGTTAAAATTTAATTGAAGTTACACAGTTTTACAAGATCTTAGTGGCTAAATTACAAATCAAGTGTAGTATATAGAAATCAAGTCAATAAAAGAAACTGTTGTGTATGTAAAAGTCTTGAACATGAATTTCATTATTGTTTGAATCAACTTATATTGACGAATATATATATATGTATATGTAATTGTAGTTTTCACAAAAGTCGAGTTGCAACTCACTTTGTTTACACTAATGTAATCGTATGTCGATCGAAAAAGTAATTATCATATTCAAGTCTATTGAAGCAAAAGGCACATACGATAGTGTTGTTTGCTTGTCTTAATTTTACCATTATAGTAATGCAGGTATATACATGTATATATATACTATAGAATTGGAATTTTCAAGGCTGATAACGGATTATTCTAAACCAGAACCTAACAGTCCATTGTATATACTTAATAAAATAATAATAATTAAGATATTTACGTTGCTGGTATCATGCCCATGATTGTATAGAGATATAGAGCATCTTCACCCATGTCTTGTACCCGGCCTATTTCCGTGAGCTTGTTACCTTGCATTATGTTTATAGCAAAATAACCCTGGAAAATGTAGTAAGATGTCCGTACAAAATATTATGCTTACTTTGTATATATAATATCCAACTTTATTGTTATATAGCAGAAGGTCATATAATTAATAATAATTAATCAATCTTTCGAGTCATACCGACTTATATTGTTACTGTTTGTCAAAGAACGACATCTCTGCATTCATTCATGAGCCTTATAAAATGCAAGTCGGAAGAAGGTTAGCATTTCAATACATTACTATCATATATAAGGTAAACTTACCGGAGTAGTCTGCACCCAGTGATCAAGATTTTTCTGTAAAATGACAGAGGTATTCGACCCAGCCCTGATACAAAAACATCAAGATAATTAAGACATCAGCAACAATCTCTTCTTAATATCATTAAATAATTATGATTTAATATTAACGCCTTTATTCTGAAATTATAACGTTTTTAAATATGATAGTTGTAATTACAGACTTTTCGTGGAAATGAAGGAAAATTTAACTCTTGAACAGAATTTTCAAAAATATTAGAATATCGAATAAACATTTTGCTATGCTTCAATGGGTAAACCTTCTTCAATTTTCTACATAAAGCCACCATTTCCTATGAGCAACTATGAAAAATTAAAATCAATTATTTGTTGCTTTCCACAGTTTTTAGTCATTTGAGCTTGAGATGACCAAAAAGAGCATAAAAACTCACTTTCAAGGGCAGATAACTTTGTAATTAGGACTATAACCCCTTTTTCATAATTTTTTTCCAGTCTTAGTCTATGTAAAATGTAGCGACTATGACAAATGTCTTATAGAATTTTGTTTTACAATAATTTGCCGAGTGAAAATTTGTAAAAGTTGACAAAATCGGATAAAACAAAATATATTATGTACTCCACTGAAAAAGTATTTCAGAACAAAGAAGAAGGAAAACTGTTACAATGAAGAAGCAACGGATGACACTAAGACAGACTATAGTGTAAAAATATACCTACATTAAGTATGTCATAGGTTGTTCGGAAGCTCTGCCTCCACATGGCCCGCTCATCAATATACAGTCGTTGGATCCTGTATATATGTATACACATGTATACTCAGAAATTATTTTAGAACATTCATCAATACCTCTCCCAATTCATATTTGAAAGTAAAATAAACAATAACCTTTCATAATTATTACACAATACAAAAGAATTCAATTCAATTCTACAATTGAATCTTAATTGTCATTTTTTATCTGATGTGATGAATATACTCAAGTCTTAATTTTACCTGTTGTGAAAACCGTTCGCTACGGAGAAAAAAAAAAAAAAAAAAAACAACAAAAAACAAAACATTCGGACAACAAAAAGTACCTTTTTTGTTCAAGTCCATCATAGATCCTCTCTGGCGCGGACTAATTAGGCACAAGTGGGCCGATGCCAGAGCCAACATACCCGCGAAGCACGCAACAAACAGGACAGTATTCATCTTTAATAAAATGTATCTGCTTCTATCTGAAATATCCTTTCTTTCTTATAGTTACATCTTCATCACGTGACAACTGAGATGAACCTGGATTTATAAAAAAAATAGTCTACATCTTTTTGGCGTTTGGTATACTTAACGACACAGAAATGTGACTTACATTAAACATACTGATTCAGGAATTATATACTTGTTTTGCTTTTGTTGCCATCAGAACACATGCAGAGACAATTGCTTCGGCCAGGATTTTCTTGGCAGTTGGTTAATATTTGTTGGTAAATGTTTCTTGTTCTTACATGTGACTATCAATTATATTGTATACAAAACAGGGCAGCGAAATCGGTATCCCAGTGGTTAAAATGATTTCCTTTACAGTCTGTAGAGTCATAGGTTGGTGAGGGTCAATCGGATGTACCATGTTTACTAATTTGTCTCATTTGTTGCTGGTACCACGTTATACAGTTTCACAATCTTATATGTTTTTGAATGATTTCTGCAGATTGATGCTAATTTTCATGAAATGTATTTCTATATGTTATAAGTAAAAAAGGAAAAAGGAAGTAATTTACACATTGCAAACAACAGTTACAATCTACGAAAATAAGCAAAAAAACAGGTCATAATATGCAAAAATAGTCCTTTTTGCTTTAGTCAATCTATTCAAGTATGGTGATAAATATCACTCATTGCATATAACACGTCAAATATTCATTGAAGTGTGATTTTAAAGTCTTTCTACATATTTCTCAATTTAGATTTTCTTTAAGTTTTGTTGACTCATCTGGAGGCATGCAGCTTTAATTCATTTGTAAGATGTAATACGCAAAAAGAAACTGGCGTCTATCACCAAAATCTATGGACTTTTCATCACACTAACGTGTTTATAAAACAAACTCCATAGCACTTTACCAACCATTAACAGCTTAGATATATAATAAAAAAGTGATTTAAAGTTTAATTTAAATGTTGATATTAAGGTCGCAGTTTTGAAAAGAAAATATGTGAAGGGTAATGGTAAAAAATATCAGATTTTATGATTAAACAATTCGAAGAACAGTAAGCTTATGCTACAATTAAGAGTACGAGAGAACATCGGTGTCGCGTGCAATTTCATTGTTTTTACAAAGTTAGATTAACGTTCTATAAAATAAGCGCACTTATTAGACTATTTTCTCATATGATTATTGTCCCATAAAGATAGACAGAGGAAGAGTGAGGGTCAGTTTAAATTATCAATGACTAAAGCAGCATGTCCCCCAGATACATACTAATTTAATAAGAACAAAAAAGAAGATATTGCTAAAAATAGTTAATTGTCAAATGACCAAAAAGTGATCGGAACTAGCGTTAGACTATAACTATCCTTACAAAATACATTTCTATCTTATGTGTCAAACTATTCGAAATTATCACTTAATGTATTTACAACGGGGAATCAGTCATATATTGTCAAGAACATGCAGAAAGTCACTCAGATAGGAAGAGTAAGGAATATGAAAATTTTACCCATTTGACCAGTGCAGACTAAGATCAACATTACCCCCCACCCCACCCCCGTTCAGTCTGATGTTGGACTGCGTGGTTTGCTATCCAATCATTTCTCTATAATATTACATGTAAATAGTTTTGTCCAGATTGAAAAAATGGACAAGTGAATCTAAGATATTTAACGTGGTTATGGTTAGGGTTAAATATAAGTTTCATAACTTGATGAAAGGCCTAAAATCGCTCATCAATTCCACTTCCTGACATCTATAGTTTAGCACATGATACGGATGTTTATAAATTTCCGGTATATATTTGTATATTTTCTATATTTAACGTATATACAAATTTGGCCCTCAGAAGTATCAAGAGTGATTTTACTGACTTCTTTTTCATGTCATTACGATATGGTTTAAAGTAAAAGGGATATTCTTAGAGCATCTGGATTTGGCTCACATAGAGTTTATTTGAATGGATCACATTCGGCGTGGAAACCGCTCCCCCAGTAAAATCGAGATCATATTATATATGAGAGAGCGGCTTTAGACCTATTATATAAGTCCATATGATTTAGATATGGAATTTAGAACACTGCTCTATTAATTACAACGTTTCCATAACAATTCAATTAAAGGTCGGATGTGTCCACGACCTACTTAAATATTATCTTTGACTGTACTATTTAGCAAATGAATAGTTATCTATGGTCTACATTTTTGACAAAACATGTTCTATAATTTAATGAAAAATAATATTTCAGAAAACTGCCATATGCTAATTGTACCGTTATTGAACCGTATTTCTGAATTAAATTTCTCTAACATAATACAGAACAGAACATATAATTTATTTTGAATTAAGCGTATACAGCTCATCTTCATATACATCAAACTAACACATACATGCATGAATATGAAAAATGGTAAACCATATCAATAAATGAAATAAACTAGTGATAAAACAGGTACAAATGTACTTACAATGAAATTAAATATATATTTTTCTCTCATACAAAACCGTTATCATAAAATAGGGAAACTATGCTTGAAAGTTTTGGGATTCCGCAAGCTTCAAGTTTCGGTCCATCAACACAACAACGAGATAGTTATTCGTTTATGTATGAATCTGATTAGGAATAAAATGAGGCTGAAACTAGAAATTTAAACATGTTAAAATTCAAAGAAAAATAAAATAAATAAATAAAAAGTAGTAAAAACAAATAAATAAATGGTGTCATATACTAAACAATGGGAGAATTTGTAAAGGAATTATCTGAAGCCTCGTAAGGAATAAAATATATTATTATAAAATATTGTATATATATTTTTTCTTCAACCGTTGTTATGAAGCAGTTTACAATACATTGTAATTAGCCCGGGGTTCTATCGGAAAATGTTCAAATATAAATATCATACATGAATGAGATGTTTCTTCTATTTAATAAATGGTCCTTTTCCAAGGTCTGTCAAAAATTTATTTCTTAAGATCCAATTAAATGTCATTTTTAAACTATTTTCAATGTCTGCCATTTTGGGCACTTTCAGAGGAGGTTACTATGGTATCACGGTAATCCCCCAAAATGCAAGTATGGATGGATAGATGGGTCAAAATCTTCAAGTTAAGTTGTGAAAAACTTCCAACAGTGAAATTGCTACAATATTCAAACTATATGAACAGAAAATATGTCGGTATATGTGATTGTAACATATTTTAATAGACTGTGTAAAACAATTAAGGGAAATAGTAGTCAAATATGAAGATTTTACAAAATATTTTTCTTCCCACGAATATTCATTATTCACAAAATTAAATTTATTGGCAGATGAAAAAGAAGTAAGTATGCCAGTTTTAAAAATATTAGCACCATCGTGTGTTGCTTTTACTAGAAAATGTTATTTTAATATATCTACTTTATTTGTTGAGGAATTATTTTCGAACTTCAAATATATGTCGCTTATCATTACACCTACATCATATGTGAGGAGGGTCATAACTCTAGCACAAATATTTTAGAATTATCTCCCCCTTAAATTTAGTATTTTCTATATGTTTTACTCAATTTTCTTTTCTTTATAACTTCTTTATTTCTTGATATATTAAATTAAAACTTCATAATTATATAGGTTTGCCATCACCAGTCACAACTTAAATGATAAGGTTCTCAACTCTAGTATCAATATTTAGTATTTTCTATATATTTTGCTCAATCTTTATTTTCTTCAGAGATATACATTTGTACTTCAAACTTTAAATCCTTTCTTGGTATTAATAAAAAAACACATATCATTTTTATTTGTTTGGGTCGTCAGACCAAACAAATAATGGTAGCGAAATTTCAGAGTCTAATGTTGTTAATTGCAAATGCCGAAAGTAGTCCACTTTTTTGAAGCGGTTACTTCCCTTTTGTATGTACACTAATGCCGAAAAATTCAGGGGAGATCACTGCGTAAAGATGGTCAGAGTCAGGCGCATCAATTTTCAAGCAAAGTAATTCCCGAATGGTCTAAGATTTCTAATATTGTTTTATTGTATTTTCTGATCGAAAATAACTAAATACAAAGCGGACATTCAATCTCTGACACAGAAGTTTACGACAAACCTAACAACAAGTAGTTCTCAAAACAGCTTAAAACTAGCGATTTAAAAGAAAGAAATATTTATTTTGTTACAAGTATCCAACAAATTACAACGCATTTAAAGTTAAACAATAGCGTTGGCTTATAAAATTGTCAATAAATGCACAATCACAAATTACGCGGATGAATATGATTTTATCAATGAAAATACTATTTTTAGCGCTGTCGATTACCGAATACTACACAAACCGAGTAGTGGAATATATAGATTCTACATGTCGGACTGTTTGGGCGAGAGGATTTCCGCTAAAATATTTACTTCAATTTTAAACAACAGGTTTACCCTGAACAAAATACCTCGAAATTAATAAGGTTTACAAACCCGAAATGCAATGGAAGTTCTAAATTTAGAATGACTTGATATTATTCAGGGGTTCTGTGTATAACTTTTCCGTGGTACAGTGGTAACGCGCTCGCTAAGTGAGTGAGAGGTCTCGAGTTCGAATCCCAGTCGAGGATATTTTTTTTTTGTTAAATTCTTTTTTAAGTGTTTTTGTTAAGGAAGTAGCCATGATATGCAAGGATAAAGTGTGGTTGTCGTAAAAAATGAACATAAATGATTTTTTAATGCAACTCTAGTTATGCAGAATTCCGTATGTATCAAACTCTGGTGCCTTGCAAAATGAATTATAATACAAAAAAATAAACTTATACAGGAAAATGCATACAGATATACAGTACGATTTAGATTGTAAAGATCAGAAAATACCACAGAACTTGCAGCCCTTTGATTCTTTATAAATATACATGCTTATAGTAAGCTTCAGGATTATTTACATCTGTGTTAAACAACAGTTAAAGTCGTAACAAGCCCTAATTTAGAATAATATGGTTTTCTTCAGGCCGTTCACATATTAATTCACCGTGGCTGAAGAGTTTTCGGGCTCGCTTAGGAAGCGAGAGGTCTGGAGTTCAACTCCCAGTAAAGGTAACTCATTTTTTTTTCAAATTGTTAAAGTCAAATAAACATTGGATTGAATATCAGTGTTGCAATTTGTCTTATGGTCAATTTACTACAATTAAAACGCTGGAAAGCATTGGTGGCACTATACATATAATCCCACAACCTGCACCTTTCTTACATTCTGAGACCCAAACAAATTCAGCGCCTTCTGTGCTTTGATTTATAGTTTTGCCAGAGATGTAGATAACATGTTATCTATGTCTCTGTTTGACGACTTTCATTACTGCGTGCAGAATTCAAATATTGATATTCGAGCAACTGTCTCCTCTGACAGCTCTTGTCATCTTGACGGCTCTAACATTTTTTTTCTTGGCTCATGCACGGAGAATGGTTGAGCACATTATCCTTCTGACAACCCTTGTTATCATTGTTTTACTGTTTGGATTTTGTTTACTAGAAATAAATCCTGAACAAATAATAAGGAATCGAGTTTTGTGCTACCTTTTTTTATTTATAAACCGTTTATCAGCGAGTGTTCATATCTATTAAAATGTCGCATGCAGATTTTGTTTTAGTAACAGTGCTGGTTTTAGTCTTATCCAAAGGTCCACAGCCCTGCATTCGTTATCTATATTTCAGGTATAATTTTCTTTCTAAATATTGAGAATTCAATTCTTATTTCCTCTATAGGAGCAAGCTACCTTTTTAGTACTTCTTAAACATTAGAGTGTAATTTTAAAGAAGAAATTAAGGCATACACTATACGTGTTTCCCAATTCGACCTGGTGAAATTATTTCACCAACTTTGATGTTTATCATCATGTTCGTTTGAGATATTTTATCAACACGTTGTTTTGACACATTTTCAATCTATTTCTTCAAATGGTATAGCCCGTCTAAGACTCAACAAAAAAGTCTAAAATTGTCTGTTCTCCATTTCGAAAAGCATGCATTCTTGGACCGATTTGCATTAAAATAAGGCAATCTCGAAGATAGCAACATTTGTGTGGTATCATAAATAGTAAATTCTCCTTTTCCTTTTGAACTACTGGCCAAATTTTCGATCATAGATCCATATTTGAACTTGACCTGTTATATCAAGAAATATTAATATGCAAAACGGGTAATCTTTAAGGTATGCATGTTTTTGTTTGTTAGATTTCTCAATGTAACTTTGGTATTGATCTTAGACATTGCATTTCAAAGGAGCATGAAGATAGCCAAGTGACCAATCAAGAGTTTAATACCTAATTTTCGTAAATCGTGGATAACTTTTGTTTGAATTTAGATCACTATTACATTAGGCCAAATATTCTGACCAAGTTTCATTGTGAATTAATAAAAAATGTGATATAGGAACAAAGAACTAACAAACACTTTAAGCCGATGTGAAGTTGACATTGAGCCGAGGTGACGTTGACACTTTGAGCCGAGGTGACGTTGACACTTTGAGCCGAGGTGACGTTGACTCTTTAAGCCCAAGTGAAGTCGACACTTTAAGCTCAGATGAAGTTGGCGCTTTGAGAGGTGAGGTGAAGATGTAAGAACAAGAGACACATACAGCACAGATAATCTATTTTATTCATAATCTTACAGCTGCTATAATCAAACACTGTATTTGAAAAATAAAATTTTATTTTACAATTAACAACAATCAACAAAAAAACATATATCATAATTTCTTCTTTTACACACCTTAAACTGTGAACAAAATTCATGTTTCTGAAAATAAAAGCATTAAGAACAACAAAACAAGAAAGAAAAAGATGACATTTATTGCCTGATATATAAAAATATCTTTTAGGGTTTTTTCTCAGAAAAAAAATCTGTCAAAGAATAACCGCTGTCAGAATTGCCAGTCTGTGACATGTCAAATGTACATATCACCATGTCAAACAGAAAAGTAAAATAATTTTTAAACAAATATTTTATTGAAGAAAATTTGAAGAACAAAAATGCTCAATACCAGATGAAATCAATGGTTTTTTTCAAATGACTGTAACATAATCTAAATAATATGTTTTACACTTTAAGCAGAAAAATGTTCTACAACATGCTGACAAATGAAAATTTTACTGCACGACTTTATCATGTTAAACCAACTTAACATTGTTACTATCTTCAGAACTACCAGAATAAAAATCCTAACAGTCCTACATTAGAAAAACCTGGAATTGTTTTGCCTGGGAAATATTTAGATATGTCAAGTATTGACCAGCTGATTATGGGTGAAATATCAAGGCATTATTTCTGTATTTCAAGTATTACACAGACACAATGACATTACCGTGAAAACTCTTCTACATGTTTTTGCTTACCTATCCTTTTCTCATTACACAAACAAAATAATTTCCTATAAAAAATGCATGAAATAAATTCCATGACAAAGATGTCTAACATGTGCAAAAAATGACAAACTATGGTAGCAATATAAACTAAAAAATAAACAGACACAAGATAGTTAAGAAGTTAGACAAGGAATCACTTTGTGATAAATTGCACTGGACTCTTTAAGAACAAATACAGGTAGAAGAAAAAAATAAACATAAAACACATAAAGTAAATCAAAGAGAGCAAGCCTAGCTTTGACAAATTGATATTTATATACATGTTGTGTTTTATTACACTGATGTTAACAAATATTCTAAAAATCACACATTATTTTAGGCAAATTTGTTATAAGCTATTGTTATAGGAGTCAGTATAAAATAATCATCAATTAGTGTTGGCCCTGGTCAGTCATGTCGACATTTGTAAGGAATATTTTGGAAATTGAAATAGATGTAAATATCAACTATTGTTTGTTTTCAAGTTTCAGCTGCTAGTTATTTAGTAAACTGAGACTGACTGACGTTCTCTGATATATACTGAGAGTACATATAAGATGTCAATATATGTTCTACAGAGGTATCTTGTAAACCAGCTGTTCATTTGGAAATGTAATCATAAGAATAGTGAACATGAAGATTATTTTCAGACAGTGTAATGTTTGAGGAAACAAAAACAAGTTATTTGAGAAGCTTAGAAAACTATACACTGCCCCATTCATGGACAAATCATGTGGTAATTACAAGGTGCATGACTTTTAGGAAACTTCATGTTTAAATACATGAAGGAACTGGATAGAACTGATAAATAAAATATTTGAAGCATGTTTCTACATGAGAAAAAAATACATTCTGTTAAATATTCATATAAGCAAAGCTTTAATTGAACTAATTAAAGATGTAGTATATCCAATTATGTTAAATATTTTATCTATTTCTGCACGCATTGTCATCACACACTGACTAAAATACTCTTTCATCAAACAAAAAGCATGTCTTTAAATCAAAAAGTAATGCAAAACAGGGACAGCAAAAAACAATCTGGATAAATTCAAGGACACATTTTGGCTAGTACTTATTTTATACTTAGTATAAATAGAAGTAGGAAAAAGTTTAAAATGAAAAACTAACATTGCATTGAAATTATATAAAACACAACAAAAGAACACACAACTAATCTGAATCAGTAAAACAACAACAAAAATGTCTAAACTATCAAAAAAATCTCATTATGCCATACAAATTGCATTTTTATCTTCTTTTATTGCCGTCTATAAGAAAGTCAATCCATCAAACAAATTCAGAAAACTTTAATATCTGGTGGACATTCAACCACTCTTAATCTATGTAAGACTTTTATTTTACAAGTGTCTGCCTATATGCCTTCCCAGAATAAAAAATGTTTAAAATTAAGCATTTTTAAAGGATAGCCAGATCAGACTGCACAGATGTATAGAGAGATAAACTTACATGCTATTGGCATAGACAACCAATGTTCATAGTAACAATATGATATCAAAGTATTCCAAACTGTAGATGGATGAACTAGTTCAGTACAGAATAATAAGCTAATCTAATGTTTAATATCTATTTATCTACTGGTTTACATACAGTTTATTATCAAATAGAAAATACAAGTACTGTGCATGTATATTTTAATAATATTCAACAATTACGAGTCATATGTATCTGCTGATATCATTGGCTCACTTGATTACCTTCTGAATATCTATGAACTTAAACCTTATCTAAACTTGTAAAGGGATCATTCAAGCCAGGCAGGCTGTCACATTCTATATGTTTGTCTTTGAGTTAGTAGAGTTGACTAAGAGTTATTTCTAGATTTTATATAACATAAATACTGATATATGGCAATAGTGAGGTTATATGGCATTAGCAAGAAAGCACCTAGAAATAACTAGCTTTCATGGTAGGTGGCACAAATATTATTATCAAATAATACACATACTGACATACCCATAAATCAGTTTCTTATGTTTGATAAGGAAATAAATACATATATCAGAGAGGCAGCCTGCAAGTCATAATCAGAATTGATTGCTAAACATGTAGATGTATTTCAAGAATTTCTCAATTTTTACATGAAAACTTATTATTAAATATAGCTATATAGCTTTGGCCGATGTATTAGTCCATGTATACATATTGAAAAAAAAGAAGAAAGTTTCCCTTTGCTCATAGAAATTTAATGTTGAGAAATAAGCAAACTTTTCAAATGACTTTGATTAAACAACAAATTATGACACAAGTAACCAACCAAAAAGTTTATCTAAAACAAAAAGTAAAATTTATTTTGAACCTAAAACTGTGAAATTACCAATTTACTTTAGACCTTTGTATTATATTTAATTTATAATTTTCCATCAGAATACATAATTCTCTTTCTGTCCCATTAACAAATGTTAAGACATTGAACAACAAACTACATACAGAACTATGTTAAAACTGAACATGTAACTGCAATGCTGTAATTCTGAAATTGCTATAAAATAATACGCCCAGAATATCCTGAGAAAGTTTATGTTGTAATTAACTATATGTGTCCTCGGTTTAATTTAAAAAAAAATAAACATAGTGAACAAATGAAAGTAATATCATGACTTAAATGTAAATTTTTAATTTCCTGGACATGATATATTATATACATATATAAATCTGCTTTTTATTTAACACTGAAATCAGACACAAGAATGTATCTATTAATTTCAAATCATAGAAAGAACATTGAAATGTAGTTTATAAAAAAAAGTTAAAAAGAACACAAATACACAAGTTTGAAATGCATTTGAAGAACTTAATGTTAGAAGAGCAAAAACAACAAATAAGAACTAAACAGTCCGATTTAAATGTTACAGTGTACATATTGCCCCAGTCAAATATACTATTATTGTATTTAAGTTTTGTATATTTATTTATAAACAGATGTCACCATATGCAAGAGATTGACAAAGACACCAATCTTAATTACAAAGATTTTCATTCCATATATAAATGCACATAATACATTATTTATTTAATCATGGAATAAGGTTATATTGGAATGTAACATTAATAAATATTCTAGTCTAAGTATAAAACTTGTAAAATTATAGCTGTTTTATAACAAATTTATAGCCAGTGAGATTTTATACAGGGCATTCATATTTAAACAATACCTGCTTAATTAGTACCTAATTAGTGAAATATATATGCCCTACATTGAATTTGAAACAGTCTGTTCAAAGTTTAAGGGATTTCGATATCAACAGTATGAAGCCTGGCTAAAAAAAGCTTGTCACTTTTGGTTTCAACAGTTTACAGGTTAAACATTAACATAGCTGGAGTCCATGGAAAAAAGACTTCTAAAACAGAGCTGTATAATATGTCTACATCTAATAACTTTAAGTAATGAGCTGGTTCATTTTGATTTACAAATTACTCCCTGTCATCCTTTAATTAAAGATATGTTATTTATGTGTTTGATATATAAATCAAAGTCTGTCCAAACAAACCAAGTTACCATATACCATTGTATAATGTACTGGTTTGTCACAGCCACAACTGAAAATCTATTGAACATACAAAACTTGCTTACAGAGTATGATTGATTAAATATATCTGATTAAAAACAATCACAGATATCTAACTGCATAACTGCATCTTCAAATCAGATCTATTTTAGGTCTCAAATATTTCAACATCAGCACCCTGCTCAAGTATGTTACCATCCATATATCTATAAAAGAAATACCTCTCTCAACATACAATAAATTACACTTCAGTTTTTAACCCATATTGTCAAATACAGGCACCAATAAATGCATTTCATTTTTTGACCACAATAATGGGATATATACCAGTATAAACCGCTTCAAACCACATCTTATCAGTCTCTCAACTCAATGAAAGCACCTTAAAACATTATAAAATGAGCCGCGTCACAACAAATTCAACATAGTGGGTTTGCTACCAGCATGGATCCAGACCAGCCTGCGCCTCCGCGCAGTCTGATCAGGATCCATGCTGTTCGCTATCAGTTTCTCTACTTGTAATAAGGTTTGTAAGCGAACAGCATGGATCCTGATCAGACTGCGCGGATGTGCAGGCTTGTCTGGATCCATGCTGGTCGCAAACGCATTACGTTGGTTTTGTCATGACGCGGCTCAAATATGAACAGCTGTGTAACTTCCCATATACACAGAACACAAAATAGTGTATATGAAATTACATGACCCATGTATACACATTATTTATTTATCATCTATGGAGAAAATAAAACATTCAGAAAAAAAAACAACAAACAAACAATTTCATCTTTTACAACATGAATAGTCACAATTCAAACCCTTTCATCATCAGAATTTATTCTTGTTAAAACCATACTTGTATTGTCTGTACAACTTTAACAGTAAATGTAGTTTTGGTGAGAAGAGTACCATCACACTTTATATATACTGATCACCTGATCCATCAACTTCTCACATTTAAATACATCTTGTAACTGTACTCATGTGATATGTGAATAAAGGAAGGAATTCCTCTCAGATATGGTCACCGTTTTTCTACTTCAGCGTATATTCCTTCAATGCATTGCATTTTCTGTCATCACACAATTGTTTCCATCAGGTTTTTCTGCACATTTTAATCAATGCCCACTTGATAAGAGTTGAACTTGAATCAGTGTCACATTCTCACCTGATGAGCATTTTAGCAGATGTATAATGTAAGGTTTTGTATCACGTTACAGGGTAGATCACAGACCAGCTTTTATCAATGCAGTATAATTTGTGCATCTACAACAAATAATGTCAACAGTTCTCACACTGCCCTCTATCATTTCGATTTCTTTGATCTGAAAATTAACAACAGATTGTTACATATCAAAACACCTTACATGACACTTTGCTTAACAAGTCAAGTAATTCAAATAGATTTAATTTCTACATTACAAGTTACAAGTAATGTTACAAGAATTTGTCATATATAACCCCGGAGTTAACATTATCTCTTGTACTTTCAAAAATGCTAAATTAAAACATGTGCTTAATTAGAAGAAATATGTACTAACATAGTGAGAAAAAGTAAGTAAACCAGGTCAACATATCTTATTTTACAATCACTTACTACTTCAAACAAGTACTTACTTGGCTGTTGGAATGCTTCCATTACTATTTTTTCTTACTGTTTTATCTGTAAAAAATAAATTTAAAAGTAACACATGATCATTTCATCTCCAATCATATAAAATTAAATTGAAAAAGTTATAAAAAACAAGAACTTCATCATTTATCTGTTGAGATGAACTCTGGTATATACAACAAATATATAGCTTGTTTCATCAATTTATAACAAATGTACTTATCCTAAGAGAGGGGTTTAAGTCTCTCTGGCACTTTTTAAAAGATCTCATGGTCAGCTTTACTGGTGGACAAGGACTACAGGTGCCCCTACACTGAATTAATTCAGACACAAGTGGGCACCATAGTAATACCACCAAAATGATAATTTTCTCCCATAAAAGAACCCAAAGTCCCTGGCAGATTTTGAACCACAGGAGGTGAAGGGCAAAGGATTTAAAGTCAATAACTTTAACCACTCTGCAATGGACTCCCAGGTCTTCATACATGTAATTAATCACATATGACAAATATCAATCAAATTTCTCTACAACAATTTATAAAGGAACTTGTAAAAATTTCAGGGTAAAAGTTCTCAATACTCTAGATACAAAAATCAGATGTACAAACCTGAGGTAGCGGTAGGGGAGTTATTGAAAGATCCACGACGGGTACTTGCTTCTGATGATGCCAGTTTGGATGTTGATATTTTCCTGAAACAACAAAAACAAAGTCAAATATTCTAGATACAAAGTTTTATTTTAGTTTTAATTTATTATTAATTGCCAGACTAGACCACAAGACATGCAAAATGTGCTTTATTGTATGATAAGAAAATTTATTAAAGAGTCTTAACTGAATTATTCATAATAATTTAACATAATGGTTTTGATACACTATTTGTTAACAGAGAACATGTTAAAAAGCTGTATCATTATTGAAAAGCACTGCGTTTGCTGGGCAGAAAACAATTTGGTAAATCAAAATGCTTCCAAAAATTACCAAGGACCAATTTCAATACAAAACATAAACTAAGTTAATTCAATCTTTAAACATTTTATCATTAATATAAAGACCAAGTTATTAAATTGGATGGAATCAAGATCACACAACATTTATAGTCAGTTCTGACAAACACATCAGCTTTGACACAAATTCAGCCTTTTGCAAGTCAGATACTCATAACTTTAAGACTGTGAAATATTTACCTAGAACTAGAGCCAGCACTACTGGGTGTGGGTACTCCACTAGCACCAGATCTTGATGTTTTTGTCATAGACTTGCTGGCAGTAGAATCTGCAATTATATATAAATAATAAACATGTTAATACATTTCAAGTAATTGGTAATCCATTCTTAGATTCTAAAGGTGAACAAAATTATATATCTATTCTAAAATAAGTTAAAAACATATAGTTTTGTTTGTTTGTTTGTTTGCTTCATTTTACGCCTTTTCCCAACAGTATTTCAGTCATATAGGCGGGTAGTTTCCTAACCATCGTTCCTGGAGAGTTACACCAGTACTAGACTACCTTACTCCGCGCTAAACTACCAAAGCATCTCCAGGGGATCAAACCCACGCCAGAGAGGTCACTGGATAAGAAGTCATCGACTCTAACCCCTCGACCACGGAGGCGGTACAAAAAAAACAACAAAAAAAAACATATAGACCTTATGAGTAAACACAAAAGAATAACGTGGCAGACGGCACACAACACCATGGCAGGCATTGCACAATGATGTTACGTCACTTTCCTTGTTTTGTCTGATTATATTTGTATGAATCATAAATATTATTAAGAAGGCCGCAAAAAAGGCCAAAAGCTACAGCAAATTCAAATTAGCATTTTTAAGTCTATTCTAAAATATATACAAAAAATTCAAATTTGAAACAATCCCTCATGTGTAAATATAAAGTTGGACATTAACTCAAGACAAACCACTCATCTATAACTTCAAGTGCGCATTCATTTGCCAACATAAAACATGTGTAAATTACAAAATTACATCTTACTTTGTTAAGCTTCAAAAACATCTACTTTTAATTTGGTCGAAATGTGAACTCTATAAGCTGTACTTGAGGAAGAAAACCCTCAACAAAATATTTACTGTACTATCAAGCACCTTGGATTTGTCTCCAACATAAGGTTCAATATACAATATTGTAATTACAATCTAAAACAACTAATGATACATTCATGCTTCGAAACTTGTACATTGTTTTCTACTTCATTTCTGTGTTACTAGTAATATTATACATACATGTATATGAAAAGGTGTGGTTTTTATAGCATTCAATAATTTGGGAACATTCCTGAACGACAGATGTGACATACACATTCATGCAACATAGGAATATGCCTTGTACATAAACCACCACAGTAAAGCATGCCATAGTCTATACATTTAAACATTTATTTAATACATTTCAAGTATATTTAGACATCTATTAATAAAATTAAGTAATCATACTGTACAAAATATATTTCTTGTCAAAATTTTCAGCTGAAATTTAGTTCAAATTAAATTAAATTTCCCATATACAATGTTGATATTTTTTCTCTTCCTTACCTACTTTTCTTATTATGAAACAAAAATTCTAGTAACGTAAATAAAGCACTTAATTAATAAATTTTTATGAAATAAAACATTTACAATCCTAACTTGCATTAAGTGCTCACTGTGACCATTTACTGCAGTTTTAAACTGCTTATGTCAACTGACTGTGACCAAAGCACTAAAAAAAGAATATTTCATAGCACAGTCACATGGTTAAATTATGATGATCTGATTGGGTAAGAAAAGTAGGTAAAGAAAAACATAGATGAACATGTATAGTAAATGCACCACTACCAACTACAAGGAAAAATTAACATGGATACAACTAAACAATAGGATAATATTCAGCAATGTACAATAATTGTTTACCATATCCAAGCCGATTAGAATAGTTTCTACATGCTAAAATAGAGACACATTAGAATAAATAATGATTAACTTGACAAATTTTCTTATATTAATTGTGTTGATGTCCAAAATGAGAGGAAATGCTATGATGCAGTCAATACTTTTAATAAAAAAATGGTGAAATAAGAGGGTTTTTTTTTCTTCACCCAACAGCTTATACACTTTGAATAATGTTCCTTATTCCTAAATGCAGCTTTTTGTCTTTCTATATTACCTTACATTAAAACTAAAACCTATAATTTATCCTATAAAAATGCAACCATATCACTCAGCAAAAATTTTATAATCTTATATAAATCTTTGTGTTTTTGTTTCACAATGTCTCTATTATATGCAAGATTTTGATCAATTAGATTAATTTCTTTTTCACCAACACAAATGCAAACATTTATAAAAGAACAGCTACCAGAATAACATAAAACATTCCATCATGCCACATATTCTATTTATAAAATCTAGCTTTTCATTCATATATAATTTGTACATACATTTATCATGCTAGATTATATTTTATTTTGACAACATTTAGCATTCAAGATTTGCTATACCTGACTTTGTCCTAGCTAACTTGGACCTGTTAGCTAATGGTATCCTAGATTCAGTTTCTGTTTTCAGAAAATTAATTTGTTTATATCATACTTGTATTAATAACAGCTAAGATGTAGTTGTATTTAATACAAATAAAGGGAGGCAACTGCAGTTTGAATTTCTTGTAAAGCAAGCATCCAATTTATTTCTACCTTAAAAATTCTGGATAACAACTGGAATATCTATAACTCAAGTGTAATGTATTTCTTACAATGTTTAATATAAATTGCTATGTATAGATACATGCAGATTCTTTTTTCAGAATTTGTACTAAAAAATAAATTTTGGTATAACTAGTCATGTTACATAATACTCTATATCTGTCCAAAAAAATTCAAGACACCCAAAAAGTCTGAAAAGCTTTGTACATATCTTTAATTATACACCTCTACAAAAGCTTTTTTCTACTGAAATTGATAAACACAAAGATATATATAGAAAAAAAAAGTTAATTCAGTACACTGGTTATACCAGTTTTCAAATAAAAGATAAATATATAACTGTTAATTAGCAATGAAAACTATTGAAGAAAACACTAGATGTTAAAGCAGTGTTATTTATACCTTTAACAGAGGAAGTAGAGCCGGAGTTAGAACTGGTTGTACTCGGCGTACGTTTTACGCCGGCAGATTCACGCTCCTGTTTACCAACACTGGAACTTGCACTTTTACCTGTAAATGTGCATGAATACAGCAAACTGGCAATATCACACAGGAAAGAAAGATTTAGAGATTTTTCTTCCTAACTATGGAGGGTAAATTGAGGCAAATGAAGATTAAGGAGAAGTTTTAGTTGGAAAATGAAAGTGTACTGTGAAAAATGTTTTTATTATGTAGGAAGATTGGGAGTGAAGGAAATCTAATTTAATTTATTTAAGTCCTTAATCTACTGATTTTGTGTAATGTATTTGCCTTGTTTTGAATTTGAAACTGTCAATTGAAGTTTCAGAGTCCAAAATCTGCAATACGTGAGCTTCATATAGAGGCTGCAATTAGCAATTTTATATAAAGTATATTAGTTGAATAATAAATATAAAAGGGCTATTTTCTTTATAATAATTCTCAGTATTAATTTAAAATACTTTAACATGAAAAATCCCTCACAAAAATAATCATGATTTCACAGCAGTTAAATGCTCATTTACCCTGAAACTGAGTCTTTAGAAATTTATAGAAAAAAATAAAAGTACAGCATACAAGCAGAAGAAATCAACATTCATGAAAAATCTTAAGTCTTAAAAACATGTATAATTTAAAATACAAGTGCAATAAAAATAAATATGTGAACTGTACAGCAAATTATGAAAAGTGATTCAACTTTAAAAAAAAAAAGTGTTGTAATGTCATATGAGTAGATATACATTGTGCTTCTTAGTTATTGATACAGTAATGACTTAAGATTTTTCATGAATATTATATTTATTCAAAGCAGCTCTAAAATCTTTCCTTCTTCTAAATGATCACACAAAAAGTCTACATTGAAATCGTGAATTTACCCTTTTTTGGTGCTGGAATTTTTGACGCACTATCTTTATGACCTTTCTTCTCAGCTTTAGCTTTAGCTGCCTCCTCCTCTTTCTTCAACTCTCTCTCCTCCTGTAATATAAACAATTAAAGTCTGCAACAAACGAGGTTTATGATTTGGTAAATCTCTTTTTTAAGTGATTATATATACAAGGAAAGTTACGTTTTAAATTGAATTGTGTATGTAGTACAATAATTATTTATGTTAATAGTATGTAGTATCATATGTGACAACCAAAAAGAATTATACATGCTTGTTGTTTTCAAGTGTGAACATAGCCTGATATTACATATCTATTTATAGCAGATAATAAATTGTTTTAGAACAAAATATCATTATTCATCATATAAATGTTAATTCTGAATCACTTTAAACATGTTATCTGAAGAAACATATTTTAAGAATATTGAAATGGTACATTTCTTTTGTTTTTATCAAAATTTGAAATACTTATAGAAAATATGCCAATTATAGACCAATCCTCTTTAAACACTAATATTGAATATATTAGTAAAGCTATTATACCAATTCAATAAGTTTTTTCTCCTCTGCTTCCTTTTTCTGATCTTCAATATCTTCTTCCATCATGATCCGCCGTGACAACTGTAATATAGATAAAACATTAATATAATTTTGTAATAGTTAAAATATGAATCATATCTCACTGGGAAATGAGAAATTTGAAATATCAAAAGAAAAATGAAGTTCTAATACTTTTAATATATATATATAGATCAGATTTGTGCTGATACCTAAATACAATGATATGAGCATCATATACAAAATGCACAAAGATCTACAATGTAATCTTACACTTTGTTTCAATTATGATATGGCATACATCATCAAGGAAATTTTGAGTGTGTAAGATATTTCATGATCGCTGGATGTAATATTCTAGATGAAGATCGGCTGATCCTACCTCATTTTGAATGGTTTTGTATATGAAAAAAGCACTATACATACCCCTGATTCCATATACACAGGTGTTTTATCCATTTCTTCAACTGCACATTTTATTGCCTGACTAACATCCCTATCTTTCTCACCAATTAATAATCTCCGAACACATGCGTCCAACAGTTGTGAAAGTGTCCTGTCACTTGGTAACTTTAATAAACGTTTTAAATCCGGTAATATTGAACACAACCGATAACGAATATTCGCAATAGGGTCCGTGTGTAAACTTAACAAATACTCGAAAAATGTCTCTTTGAAGAATGATTTGGAATAATATTCTATAGTCACTCTACAAATGTCAATAAATAAAGATCTCTGGTGGCAGCTTTTACCATGGCAGAAATCTGAAAGAGAAATAAAATAGAAAAATATAATCATATAATTAAGAAATAATATATCCCAAACAGTGATTTTATCGCTCAATAACATCACTATTTGGAGTTAGGATGCGAAGAATTATATCACGAGGGCGTTGCCGAACAGGGCAAATTTTAACCCAAGGGCTTTTATTTGAACAAACTTGGTAGACACCCATTAGAAGATGTTTCATGCTAAACATCTAAGCTCTAGCTCGTTGGGTTTTTTCAAAGAAGATTTTTAAGTTTTTGCTATATACATATAAGGAAAATCAATGACACCCGGGGCAGGGCCAATTTTGACCCCAGGGCTCTTATTTGAATAAACTTGGTAGACAGCCATTTGAACATGTTTCATACTAAATATCTTAGCTCTAGCTCTTTGGGTTCTTTAAAAGAAGATTTTTCAACTTTATACAATATGCATATAGGGAAAATCAATGACCCCCTGGGGCGTGGCCAATTTTGACCCCCGGTCTTTTATTTGAACAAACTTGGTAGACACCCATTAGAAGATATGTCATGCTAAATATCTTAGCTCTAGCTCTTTGGGTTCTTTAAAAGAAGATTTTTAAAGTTTTTACTATATGCATATAGGGAAAATCAATGACCCCCCTGGGGTGGGGCCAATTTTGACCCCAGGACTTTTATATGAAGAAATTTGGTAGACACTCACTAGAAGATGTTTCATGCCAAATATCTAATCTCTAGCTCTTTGGGTTTTTTAATAGAAGGTATTTAAAGATTTTTCTTTTGGTTGCCATGGCAACCAGAGTTCTGCATGGAATTAAATTCTTTGAACAATTTTTAAAGGTGACCACCAAAGGAACATTCCTGTGAAGTTTGGGGGAAATTGGCACAGTGGTTTATGAGGAGATATCATTTAAAGTAAAAGTTTACGGACGCCTGACGGACGCCGGACGAAAAGGGATCACAAAAGCTCACCCTGTCACTTTGTGACAGGTATGCTAAAAAGTTGTTTAATTTAAAGCAAATTTATTAATATAATATTATTTTTAATTTGATACATAATTAAATTACCTGTAACAAGTGTATTAAGAAGTTCTGCTCGCTGCTCCATCTTTTTGAGATTTCTCAGCAGGAATAATGTTGAGCGTGCTGCTGCAAGTTTCACAGGTAATGCCCTCTGTTACATAAACATTTACAAAATGAATCAAATTTCTGGGGAAAAATTGAGATCTTATTCCAATTTAAGCATATTTCTAAATCATATATTGAAACATTTGCTGTTTTTGGTTTCGTTGTTGTTGGTTTTTTTTACCTTCAAATATATTCTGAAAACATTTTTTTCTCTCTTTTTTTCTTTATTTCTTTTGAAATCGTATTTTTATACAAATATGGTAGTAATTTAATGTAACTGATGTAGTAGACATATTACTTGTAAAACAATAAATCATGGACATGTCTAAATCATTGTTAAAGAAAGTATATCAATTTACACTTACAGCTCTCTTCAGTTTAATCAATAGAACTGGAATGATTTTATGATAGATATTTTCACTGTTTGTGAGATATTGGAAACATTTGAAGTGTTCTATTATAGTTTCCTGAAGTCGCCAGTCATTAGATGCAGCTATCACAATCTCAGCTGACAATATTGCTGGTATAAGATCTGCTATCTGATTTTGCTGAAAATAATAGTTGTAAAATTTCTATGATTATTCAACCCTTTACATTCTAAATACCTTAAATGAACTTGTCAATCTTTCCTACTGGACAAAAACCATTCATCATTTTTTTTCGGGGAAAATTTCAAAATATGTACGGACTGAATAATGAACAGTGCACACGGTGATCATACAGCACTGATGTGTCAGATAATCTTAGTCTGCACTGGTCACATGGGTAAAACATGTTGCTACCAGCAGGCTAAAGAAAGAATGTCCTATAGATGTGCCATATCTCGAAGTAAGTTGCCACCACTGACAAGTCTTAAATCGGCCGGAAACAATAAAATTCTAAGTAATTTTCAATCATCAATTTGGCGATTTGATAGTAAGGGGCAAGCTCACCAATAGCTTTTCATCACATACATTATTATCTAACTTTAAATCTTTAATTGATGATACATATCAGATTGCTGCAAAAATTATCTATGCAGTAGCAATAGAAATTTGAAAGCCAGGCCATTTGGTTAAGGTCTGTATCTATGTAGCTTTACATTTTACTAATTAGAAAGGAAGTCTCTAATGCTCTTACTGATAAGTACCCTCAGCATATGTGTGTGTGTGATTTGAAAGATACACCTGTAGTATAAATGTGACTAAATGTCTCACCTTGACTTCATGCATGGCCTGATGGGTAAGAGGACCACAAACTGAGGTAAGTGTCTCTGGCAGGTGAGTTATAATTCCCTTCAACACTTCTGTATTCTCATCTCGCAGTAACATTATCATATCTCCCTGAAGGTTACTCACATGACTTCCCATAATAGCAGCAATCTGTATAGATAACAACAGACATTATATTTTAATACAAGACATTATCATTTTAAAAAAGTATATTTTCATTAGAAATTATTAAGCTTAAAAATGCAATTACAGAAACATAAAATACATGTATAATGACAGAAACAACCAATTAGAACAGCTTCATACATCATTTATAAAATATAATCAGACATTTCTGAAAAATTAAAGCCACAAAAGAAATCCCTAACTTGATTTCCTTATCAACACAGGATTTAGCATATATAAGACTGTAACTATGGAAATATGCCTATCAACAAATTTGACAGTGATGACAAAACAAAAGAACAAGAGCACCGCTATGCGGAGCATTATATGCCCGAAAGTGTTTTTTTTTTAAGTAAGGATGAAGCATTCATTAGACATGGGAATTAGCTGTTCATCCTATAAAATTTTACAGATGTAGGTTGATTAATACTTAAGTCATTAATAATGACCTTAACCTTTGACCTTGTGACCCTAAAATCAATAGGGGTCTTCTACCTTATATGGACAATCATCCTATGAAGTTTGAATATGTGGGTCAAATGGAACTTAAGTTATGCTCCGGAAACTGTTTTCAGTATCAAGGTAATAGTGACCTTGACCTTTGACCTTTTGACCCCAAAATCAATAGGGGTCTTCTACTTAATATGGACAATCAACTTATGAAGTTTGAACATTGTGGGTCAAATGGAACTTAAGTTATGCTCCGGAAACTGTTTTCAGTATCAAGGTAATAGTGACCTTGACCTTTGACCTTGTGACCCCAAAATCAATAGGGGTCTTCTACCCAATATGGACAATCATCCTATGAAGTTTGAACATTGTGGGCCAAATGAAACTTAAGTTATGCTCCGGAAACCAAATTGCTAACGGACAAATTGCTAACGGACGGAAACTGTTTTCAGTATCAAGGTAATAGTGACCTTGACCTTTGACCTTTTGACCCCAAAATCAATAGGGGTCTTCTACCCAATATGGACAATCATCCTATGAAGTTTGATAATTGTGGGTCAAATGGAACTTAAGTTATGCTCCGGAAATTGTTTTCAGTTTTAAGGTAATAGTGACCTTGACCTTTGACCTTTTGACCCCAAAATCAATAGGGGTCTTCTACCCAATATGGACAATCATCCTATGAAGTTTGAACATTGTGGGCCAGATGGAACTTAAGTTATGCTCCGGAAACCAAATTGCTAACGGACAAATTGCTAACGGACGGAAACTGTTTTCAGTATCAAGGTAATAGTGACCTTGACCTTTTGACCCCAAAATCAATAGGGGTCATCTACCCAATATGGACAATCATCCTATGAAGTTTGAACATTGGGGACCAAATGGAACTTAAGTTATGCTCCGGAAACCAAATGCTAACGGACAAATTGCTAACGGACGGACGTTCTCACAGGACAGTAATTATGTGGCTACTCTATTGTTCTCTCTATTGTTCTTTTTAGCCACGCAAAAGAAAATAGCCACATATAAGCATCACGGAATGAATGACATCAAAGAGAACCTATTGTCCCTCTAGCCACATAATTACTCTCCTGTGAGTGCGGACGGACAGACGGACGGACGCCAGGGGGTATAACATAATATGCCCTTTCGGGCATATAAAAAGGAGAAAAACTTTATGTTATTTCAATGCCAAACTGATTTCAAAGTTGTCCTATTTTTTCTTTTCATTCATTTTTTTTTGTTTCTACAGCTTAGACCTAAATGTCATTTTAGCAGCATAATGAATTTATAGGCTTTAATTCATGTCATGATGTATAGCACTGAAAATTGCTTTTTTCATTTTGATTGTTATTTATGACCAGACAAATTTAATAATTGCCTTATGAATAGTAATTACTTCATGCATATTAATGAATTCACCAATGATCTCCTCTATTTTTTCGTGTTAGATTCCAGTTACATAGAACAAAAATAAAGACTGTAAATAATGAGACATGATTTCAAAGCTTTCATGATGGATACATGTCTAAAATTAATCTTTATATCAAAAGAAATTCAGAGGAAATATAGAAAAAAAGGAAATAACCAATGCCCCATATCTGATAGATAATTCTTCTTCAATCAAACATATTGTATTGTTCACAGATCAATAGCCCCGAGAATAAATCATAAGTGCTCCTTTTACATGATATTGGTTCTTTTGTAATATTCTGTTTGATAAAGACCATAAACGTTCTTCTAGTATCTGTTTTGAATTATTTGCTTTACACCAAAGCACAATTCTGCAATAAACTTCATATACAGGACTCGATTATTGGTAAATCATCATTCCCAGAGATGCAAATTGCATAAAAGAATTCAGACAACTATCTTTATATTTATAGTTATTGGTCTTTGGTATTCATGTCACCATTATGATAGGTTTGTTACCCTGGAGATAAAATGTGGCGTCAGAAAATTTTCTCTCCAACAACATAAAAACTTCAAATTTCATTAGTTTAAAGCAATCAAACAGGATGAAAAAAGTTATTACACATTTGAGCACAGTGATGCAATTTCCAAAATGGGAACACACTATTCAGAAACCTCATTTCGTTGAAAGTTTCAAATTTAATGAAAGAAAAAAAATTGTGGAAGATATTCTTGGGATTGTATTGTCAAAACAGTAACGCTATTCGAAAGTAGTGTTTGAGTTCAGTGATTGAATGCAAGAAGAAGTCTTATAAAAAATTCATGATGATAAATGTTACTAATGTAACTTAAATCATTTGAATTCTAGAAATAATATTTCAACATGTACTTCTTTCAATAACTTCAGATTTAACATTACTTACAAAATCAGGATTCCATATACTACCCTTAAGATATTATGCAAAAACTGTTATGACCATTTCAAATTTGTAAAACGAAAATGACATTGCATATGAAAAATTATCACCCTTCTTGGGCGAATCAATGTTACAACTTATGATTTTCAAATAAACACAATACTCTGGATCACTTAGCCAAAGAATCAATTCTCTAGCAGAGTAACTGTTGTCAATGATTGTATTTATAATAATCAAGGTAGGTGCACACTCTGACTCATATGTAACAAAACATTACATTTTGCCACATCAACTTCAATACAACTGACCTCATGAAATCCTGATGATAGTGTTTTTCGTACTTCAACGTTAGGATCCTTACATATATTAGAGAAACAAACACCCAACTCTGACTTGAATGACTTTGCACCAACAAATAATACCATTGCCTGAAAGAATAGACAATAAATATGATCTAGTAATGAATGGTTCATTATATAAGAAACACATAATTGAATGATACTTTTCATAGCTTATTCAGATTTTTTTTCTTTTTGAATTAAAAGCAACTATACAATGTTATTTATTTATCTCTCCTAACTTAATGTCCACAACACACTGTAAGAATTACACACTGGCTGCTGGTACAGACAGGAATATCTAACTAAAGGGTAGCTGTTTATGGCAGTAACAAGGCTTTGCCGAGTTTCCGCTAAACAGTTACCCCGAGAGCTAGATATTCGTGTCTGAACCGACAGCCAGTGTTTGATTCTTTTTCTTGCATAATACATATCAATTATTTTCTGAACAGAAATTACGAAAACTGATATTCTCATTACGCAATTTTTTCTTATAGTAGCGTATAAACTTACAACTTCATTCATAACGGTAAAATGACGTCACCTTAAGAACGCAATTCTGTCTGATTTGAAAGAAGTAAAAAACGTTTAAATGCCACTTTGAAAACTATTCTTATACAACAAAAAAACTGAAGACAAAAATGTCAGTTCATTATTGCGGCTTGCTATGAAATCTTGTTATTTTCTATAGTATAACAATGTCTGTATGTTATATCAGATATCTTCTAAATGATCACAATCAGGTCACATTACAATAAATCAAGATTTCTAAGCAAATCTAGGAGTAAAAAACAAGACAAAAACTGCCCATTTCCAGAGAAATCAAGTGTACTTATTTCATCAATTTCCTGCTCTACACTGAAGAATTATGCCATTATTCAAATACTATCTTATTAGATCACAGGAAAGTGTCTGTCTTATAGAAATGGGAACATCATGTCCTAGCTCTGAACAATATTACAGTGAGTAACCTTAAATTACAACTTTATCTTTTCTTTTCTTCTTAGAATAATGACAGTCTCATAAAAACCTGATGCAAAAGTAATATGGTATCCTGGACTTTGAAGACTAAATACATTCTTTTAGTTTCAGTAAATTTTAGTATGAGTGTGTGTATAGATAAAACTCGAAAACTAAAATTTTGAAAACAGTATGGTATATGCATATGTATTTTATCACATCAATTAAACACTAGTCTAAGTACATTTAAGAAGCAGATTTAATATATATTGTACACCAAGGTAATGTGTATTTTACATTGTTATTCTAGTCTGATTAATATCTTCATTAACTTCACACATTCTTTACTACTCACAGCAACTTCATATAATAACATTCTACCTTTCTTACTGATCTCTCAACAACATCAATGTCCCACTAATAATATAATAGATGAAATGTGATGGCATTAATTAATTCCCCCTAATCTTTATGTATATACAATTAATTCAATGAAGAATACTTACAGGAAAATTAAATGCACAATTTCTTCTTGTTTCAATAAGGCGGTCTTGTAATTCAATGATGTCAGGTAACAGGGGTACCTGTAATATAAAACATAATTTATAAATATAACACATTATAACAAACTATCTATACGCGGCATGGTAGTTAACACCTATAACTCTCACATTCTATCTGATAAAAAAGTGTGTCAGTTTTTTCACTAACTCCTTTATAATTAAGCTTTTAATTTCCTGCGGAGCATAATATGGGTTCTATGATAACTTTCTTATGCTTCCCCTTAATCAACGTCTCAAGCATAATGTATTTCTGCAAGAATACATGGCAGTTTACTGTTCCTTCTATTGGTAAATGGCTTTAAAATCTACTGATACATTAGACAGTGTAAATGTGAGACTTTTCATAAGTTTATTTCTCAAACTACCAGAAAGAACTAAAGAACATGAGTAAAACTGTAGGATGTAAATCCAAATGTAAAATGTCATTTTTTAATGGGTATCATATGCACTACAATATAAATTTCTGTAAAATTATGCCTTTCATTATGAAATTATTCTACACTAAACTTGGTTAATGCTGGTTAGATTTGTCACAGATTAACAGATGATTTAAACTGTTTTCTGCATATTTGATGAATGCCATGTTATCCAGTTATATACAATAAAACATACACATGACAGGAACATGATAAAAATAACGTAATGGTAAACCTGCTGGTCTTTCGAGGGAGACTCTTTCTCAGCATCTTTGTTTTTATTTGATTTGTTCTCATTGAGTCCGACCTTACATAATTGCTTGAAGAAATCAATGAACCAAGACTTTTGTTCATCAGTTAAATATGCTGGAAAAAAAAAAATCATAGTCTAAATGTGAGACTTTTCATAGGTTTATATATATCAAACCTTCTTATATACCTATCTAATAAAATTTTATATACAGTTATAATGCCACAAAAGACTATCTTTCTAAATCTGTATTTTCTAATGTACAGTCGACTCTCGTTATCTCGAAGTCATCGGGACCGACCAAAAAATATCGAGATAACGAAATGTCGAGATAAACATATTAGGGTTGGAATACGGCAGAAACTGATTTTACAAAAGACATGTGCATACCTTATGTCAAATAAACTATGATTTCCACTGTCTTGTTTTCATAGGCCTAGTCAATATTTAACAAAGTAACAATAGCGGATGTTTACCAGCGGAAAAACTTGTGTCTGTGATAAACACATATAGTGAGGTTTACTCAGTAATACATCGATATGGTGAAAACAATGTTTTCAGGGTGGTTGATCCGGATATCCTCCCTGGTTATTTATCTAGTCTTTCTCGAGATTGTTCAACCACTGATTGATTTGGTGGGGATGTTTTAAAACAATTTTGCAACGATTGTGTTTCTATACTTTCACTATTTCATTTACATTTAAAGTCATAATGAATTCATACAGTGTTCGAATATTTATAAAGAACGTAAAATTCACTCATTTTGGACGTAAGTCAATCAACTCGCTTAATAGATTAACTTTTATAAAAACAGCTTAACTTGTTACAAACATAATCATCATTATGGCACGCGCAATTGAGCAATTATTGTCTAGTTCGTGTTTTTCACACGTCTTAAGGGAACAGATGAAAGAAAACTATTAGTCGAGATAAACAAAGGTTAATAGTGTGAAAATAACTGTTGGGGCTGAAATTTTACATCGAGATACTAAAAATATCGAAATAAAAATATCGAGATTAACAAATATTTCCAATATAGATAAAGAAGGAAGAAAATCGGGACTTTCAAAATTTCATCGAAATAACGAAATATCGAGAAAAGCGATGTCGAGATAACGATAGTTGACTGTACTTTTAAAAAATTATAAAATTTGAAATGATATTTTTGAAACAGCTCATTTAATATACAATGCATTTAAAAATTCTGATTTAATCAATTGAATTACTAGACTTTTAAAGTAATATTTTATTACCTGAGAAGCCATGACAAAGTTTGCCGATCTCCCTGGCAACAACAGGTAGTGTGACATCTTCTGTCTTCACTGACTGCTGACAGAACTTACATACTAGAGGTATTAATGTTGCTCTACATGTATCTATAATATAAAAACAAACATTATATAATCATTCATTTTTTTGTTGTTATATCTGTACAAAGTTACATATTAACAACTTAACAACTTACCTAACAGTAAAGTCTATTAATACCACCTATTGGAACAACACAATTATAATGTTTTAGCATTTAAATTGAGACATGAGAATGAAAGAATTGATATTTAAGACAAATTGAAAGTTTTCTATTATAGTTGTTTCAGCAGAATTGATTAAGAAGATACTACTGTCAAGATTGTACTTTATTTTTAAAGGAACACCTACAACTGTCAATCTTAAAAATACTTTTACAGATCATTTCGTATACCACATATTTTATTTTCAACACAAGAGCAAGTCTAAACTTGTCAGTATAAAAATGTCCATACATGTAGCTATTGATTTAGCAAAATTTCAAAATCTTCCAAATTACTGGTAAAATAGAAACAACCTCAGGGTTTCAAAACATAAAACCAAAATAAGAATAAAAAGTAAGTCTTGAGGTTGAATAAGATCTTGATGTTAGACATTGAATGTCTGACAATGATCTTGTTAAATGAAGCAATGCATTTTTAATAGCTTAATAGTTCCACAAGTACATTAGATTCATTAGTCTGTTTCCTGACGGTTTACCATGTCTGGTATTTAAATTACGGACATTCTATTATCATGAGATCAGAGTTTCTTGGTAAACAAGTGTGGACAGGAAATTACTTGTATCTCTGATACTGTGAGACATCTTAGTTCTATAAATTAGAAGCTACAGAACTTTAACAAGATATATTCTTCAGATTCCCTACAAAATTTTCAATTTGAGTTTGCTGCAAAATGTGGTTGAAAAGGTTAAGGTTAAAGAGATGTAAATTTACAACATTTTAGTATTGTTGCAAATCGTCACTTCTCCTAACACATTCTGTTGTAAGAGATTTCTACGAGGCATATTAAACAAGGTATATGAATTATTTCATACCTTTGTCCAATCTCAAAATATTCACATATCAGACGTCATAAAAAGTTTGAATGTTACCTTAAAGTACACGGTAAATTCCTTTAACTATGTTTACCTGACATAAAATATGTTGGAACACAAATATTATTCTAAATGATCGTATAGAATGCATGGAAATGGTATAATTAACAGTAAATGCAATTCCTTATGATAATAACATTCCTGATACAAGTACAGTAACATCATATGATGAATTACGACAATAAAATGCATCTACATGTTAAAATATCAGACATTTTACAAGCAGGTAGTTTTATATTGATGACAGACATGTTAAATCATGGTGGCTTCAAAAGCTATTTGCTTATTTTATATTCAACTCACATAGAAGTCTAGATTTTGACTATCCTGCACTGACTGATTTGGAGAAAATTCAGAAACTTCTTCAAAAGCTATAAGCTTATTCAAACCACACTGAAGTCCAATTCTTTGACTATCCTGTACTGATTTTGTATAAGAAGACTTGAACCCAAACTTTTTAAATTTTAACCATTTGGCCGTTATTCCTTACTTGTGAAATATTCTTGCTCATAACCATATTCAAATGCTGAGCACATTTACAAAATAATTTAAAACTCTGGTAAATTATGGAATATTTGTGGGAAAAAATACTGGACAATTACAATTCTAACTTGGTATCATGTCTGTTTTGTAGGACAACTTCCAGACCTTGCCTCTATTTTGAGTATTCAATGTATGTGGCTAGTTCTAGGAAGAGGGATGATATATTTAGGATGTCTGCAATCTCGGTAAGATATACAGGGATAGTGTTAAGACACTAGCCAGTAGCAAAGACAGTTCAACATATTCTATTCATTATTTACAATAATTGGACAAAGGCTTAGCTAAGCTTACATAACAGAAGACAATTTTGTGGTTAATTTGTTTGTGAAATGTGTAGGATTAAATACTTGAGACATATGTTGTATAAGGAAACAATTGTCGAGAAAAATATACCCTGTCTTATTAAATGGGAAGGACAGGCAATAACTATGACAGACATAATATTAATACAAGAAAAATTTGATATACTGTATTAAATAAGGTATTATCAGTGAGCCTCTAGTACAGAAAACCTTTTGATTAATGTTCTTGATATAAATATAGACATAATATTACCACGATGAGAGAATGGTCATGATCAACTAAATTACAGTGGTCAGAAAACAAAATGAGCCAGTTAAATATAGATGAGAATGTAAACAAGAGGGCCATGATGGCCCTGAGGTCGCTCACCTGTATATAGGCAGCCCCCCACCCCCGGGCCAATTTTTACCCAAGGGCTTTTATTTGTTTATTTGAACAGACTTGGTAGAAACCCATAAGAAGATGTTTCATGCTAAACATCTAAGTTCTAGCTCATTGGGTTTTTTAAAAGAAGATTTTTAAAGTTTTTACTATACACATATAGTTAAAAACAATGACAACCCTGGGGCAGGGCCAGTTTTGACCCCGGGCTTTTATTTGAACAAACTTTGTAGATATTTACTTAAAGATGTTTCATGCTTAATATCTAAACTCTAGCTATTTGGGTTTTTTCAAAGAAGATTTTTGCTATACACATATAAGGAAAATCAATGACCCCCCCCCCGGGCGGGGCCAGTTTTGACCCCAGGGCTTTTATTTGAACATACTTGGTAGACAACCATTAGAACATGTTTCATGCTAAATATCTTAGCTCTAGCTCTTTGAGTTCTTTAAAAGAAGATTTTTTAAGTTTTTACTATATGCATATAGGGAAAATCAATGACCCCCTGGGGCGGGGCCAATTTTGACCCCAGGGCTTTTATTTGAACAAACTTGGTAGACATTCATTAGAAGATGTTTCATGCTAAATATCTTAGCTCTACCTCTTTGGGTTCTTTAAAAGAAGATTTTTTTAAGTTTTTACTATATGCATATAGGGAAAATCTATGACCCCCTGGGGCGGGGTCAATTTTGACCCAAGGGCTTTTATTTGAACAAACTTGGTAGACATTCACTAGAAGATGTTTCATGCCAAATATCTAAGCTCTAGCTCTTATGGTTCTTTAAAAGAAGATTTTTTAAGTTTTTACTATATGCATATAGGGAAAATCAATGACCCCCCGGGGCGGGGCCAATTTTGACCCCAGGGCTTTAATTTGAACAAACTTGGTAGACACTCACTAGAAGATGTTTCATGCTTAATATCTTAGCTCTAGCTCTTTGGGTTCTTTAAAAGAAGATTTTTTAAGTTTTTACTATATGCATATAGGGAAAATCAATGACCCCCTGGGGCGGGGCCAATTTTGACCCCAGGGCTTTTATTTGAACAAACTTGGTAGACACTCACTAGAAGATGTTTCATGCCAAACATCTTAGCTCTAGCTCTTACGGTTATTTAAAAGAAGATTTTTTAAGTTTTTACTATATGCATATAGGGAAAATCAATGACCCCCCGGGGCCGGGCCAATTTTGACCCCAGGGCTTTTATTTGAACAAACTTGGTAGACATTCACTAGAAGATGTTTCCTGCCAAATATCTTAGCTCTAGCTCTTTGGGTTCTTTAAAAGAAGATTTTTTAAGTTTTTACTATATGCATATAGGGAAAATCAATGACCCCCTGGGGCGGGGCCAATTTTGACCCCAGGGCTTTTATTTGAACAAACTTGGTAGACACTCATTAGAAGATGTTTCATGCCAAATATCTAAGCTCTAGCTCTTAGGGTTGTTTAAAAGAAAATATTTAAAGATTTTTCTTTTTGTTGCCATGGCAACCAGAGTTCTGCATGGAATTAAATTCTTTGAACAATTTTTAAAGGTGACCACCAAAGGAACATTCCTGTGAAGTTTGGATGAAATTGGCTCAGTGGTTTATGAGGAGATGTCATTTAAAGCAAAAGTTTACGGACGGACGACGGACGGACGGACGCCGGACGAAAAGCGATCACAAAAGCTCACCCTGTCACTTTGTGACAGGTGAGCTAAAAAGATGGAGAAAAGAAATGTATTAGATAACAGTTATTTTAGGAAATGTTTTTAAGTGTAATCTTAGGTCTCCAGAATAATGACTGCGGACAGGAAATCACCAGAATCAGAAATGGTCACAGACACCTAAATTACAATAATCAACTGACAGATTGATAGGTGAGATTTTAAAGAGATTTTTTTCAGACAACACCAATCCTCTTTGAATTAAAGCCAATGACCATAATTAGCTGTCTTGTCTAGGCAGACAATGACTGATTATAAAACTTTGATGACTTTTTCAAAAATGGTATGAAAATATTTGCATTTATTATCAGACCGATTAAAAAATCATTTAAGTGAAAATGGAAGATGGCAACTAAGTTTGCAACCAGTCCAAACTGATTCTATACTGTAAAATGCAAATTCATGAGATTACAATAAGTTAAGTTTGGATAGTTCTATATTTGATTAAGGGCAAATAATTCATATGTAACAAAATCAGCCTGGAAGGACGTTAAGCATCACTTTTCATGCTGCATTTCTGCATGTTTTGCTTTGTAACTGAATTTTGTAATTTTGTGTGTGAATTTATGAGTTTTAAATTATTAAATTTTTTAACTTAGCAGCTGAAAGTTTAAGGTCATGTCAGCCTTTTTGGATGTGCAGATTAGTCTGGATTTATACTGGTTGTATAAGCAAGACACCATTATCATTACTAGCATTAAAACAGTGAATAGAAATTTATACCTTCATCAACAAGTGTGAGTATATTGACAACAGTTTGTAATCCAGCTATTCTAACATAACTTTCCTCATCATTTGTTAACTCTACCAACTCAGGTAGTATTGCACTTTTGGTGGCTTCCAAGCTAAACATAAAAGAAAAATAAATATCAACCTATAACATACAAATAAAATAGCTAATTTATAAAGATTCACATATCTATATCAAATTTATTCTAACCTGCATTCTGTTTTTGTTTAAATAAATTGCAGTAAGATAAAGTCGTTAACATACAACATAGTTTCATACCTTGTTTGCAGCTTTATTATTAGATGTGTAAAACCTTGCTTTAGATTAATGTTATCCATCCTTTTAATAAATTGCAGTCAAATATTTAGAATATAAAGATTCATACCCAAGTCCCCTCGACACCGGGTCCAGCTGCATACACATACAGCCTCGTACTTCATACTCCACATCCTGACACAGCGACTGAACAATAGGCAGTATCTCCTTCTTTATACTGTAAGTGGGAGAAAAATCACATCGTATTATTGCAAGTATTTTTTTGTGAAATTCATTTAATTAAGGAAATAGCTAACCAGCCACAATATCAATTTTACCATATGCAGGAAAAGTACGAGAAATCAGTGACTCATTGGTATACAAGTAATAGCAGTTATGGTGGCATAACTTGAAATAATCTAAATCAGCTGTTTTAATCTATATAATCAATTAAATTTCATAAACCATGCAAAATTGATGTTTTGATTGAAACCAACAAATAAAATTGCCACAAAACAGTATGACTTCACAGTAATTTCACACTGCATGCAAGGATATAATTTATAAGAATATTTGTAATTAACAACACAAATAACAAAATTGAATTTATCTTTTCATCCATGATTTACAAGGGGAAATTTAATCTTGTTGTGTTAGGACAAATATTTCACTGTTTAAAATAAAAGTCAGGTTTCTCCTCCTGAAATTACTTTGACATTCAGTTTTGAGTAAAATTAACAGGACTTTATGGAAGATGATATATGAATAAATAAAACTATGAATAAAATAAAATTATGGATTTATACTAGTTGAATATTCAACTTATTTCAAATATAAGAAATATTTTTACAACTTAGTTAAGGATATTTGTGTGATATTGAATCATATACCCTCCCTAGTTTACTTATTTAATGAAATAATATAAGTGGAAGAATCTACATGTATGGTCAAAATATACATAGTCAAGTGAATAATCACTGATTATGGAGCTTCAAAAATTTCTGTGAAATCTTGGATCAAGAACTCAACAACACAAGCTTATATAAGTACCTTCAAACACTGTCAAATAGTCTGAGTGTGTCAGAAAACTATCTGAGATCTTATGTTATCGTAAAGTTGTACTTACACGAAGGGCTCAAATCTTGTTGCAATTTTGCCTAGGATTTTACAACATGACAATCTAGTTTGAACTGGTTGTGACAACTGCCCCTTTTCTATTGCTATCGTTAATATCTGAAAAAAGGCACAAAACAAACATTAAACTTAAGTACAATTTTTCCAAGATTGTCGTATCAAGTTTTATCAAACTTTCAACGTGAAACAATCTTCTTTTTTTATTTTAAAAGCAAATAAGGTTTTTTTTGTTGAGCAAACACATGTTTTACAAAAGACAGGTAGTAATTACAAGCACATAAACACTGATCAAAGATTTCTGCTGATTGAAAGGTGTTTGAAAATAAAAGTTTTGTCTGGAGTGTTTCCCTCATAAACAAGCTAACATGCATGTTTATTACATTGTTTTCTACATTTCAATCTCTTCAATACAGCATTTACAAAACTGTAAATTCAATACTTCAACTCCACTAATTAGATCATAGCATTTTATTTTATACATAAATCTTTTTTCCCCTCAAAATTCAAACAAAACAGCTAATCTTATGTGCAAAATGCTACTGATTTTGTAGTGTTGTAAATAAGGCAATTTTGTTTTGTATTTTTTTATTAATATCTGAATATTTTTATTGAATTTAAGCCAGAAATTATTAAAATAGCAAGATTTTAGACTAAGTGTAACAGTGGGTACAATACAACATGCTGTAAGTTTTTGAAGTAACAGCCAGTATGTACTGTAGACCCCCAGTATCTATAAAACTCTCTTCAAGTCAATGTATCATTGTTAAAGAACATTTTAAAAATAGCTAAATATAATGATTGGGATTGAGATCTATTTCAAGGGGGGAATGTTTACACTGTCAGGTTATTATTTCATATAAAACTTGAACTGTGAAGGTCATTACAAAACAAACAATCTCTGTAACACACACCAGATGAACCATCTGTCCCTATTTTTGTTACATTTTGTTACCCTATTTTCATTTTAACAAGTTATTTATCAATAGACAGGTGCCAAATGTTAAAGACTACTAATATTTTAATAAATCTAAGCCAATGTTTATTAAATAGACACACACCTCTTTCTTGATGATGTCTTTTGGCAGTAAATCTATAACATCTAACAGTGTATCTAACCAGGCATTGGCAATATCTGAAAATAAGAAAAGAAATTTAATTTTTAATTTTAATCACTTCCCACAAAACTATCCCGAAACAATGACATTCTCAGTGGAATTGTATATTAACATTCTCTCTTCTGTATTTCAAGGTCAAACTATAATAAGTCAAACTATAATAAAAGTATAAGACTGTGCAAGACCTGAATTGTGATAATTATTCATGTTTTATCACCAGATATGGAAACAGGGATTTATATCTATTCAGAGAATATTTATCTCATATACTGATCTGTATATGTATATATTCATACCATAATTGGTGACAGATCAGTAGCCAGGTGGCTGACTTTTTCATTTCTTAAACATGTAAAAGAATGTAGTTGGGAAAGAATAAAGAACTTTTTATGAACTATATTGAAAACTCCCCCACACAAATGTTTCACTGACAAAAAGTACAATTTCATTAAACATTGTAATTGCATTAGCTCTCCCACATGCAAATTTCAGTTTCCCTGTACCAATTTTCTACTGACAAATGCAAAAAGAAAGAAAGAAGAAGAATTCTATCATTTAGAGTGCTCTTCAACTTCAACCATCAGACAAACATTACATTTTCCTAGAATTGTTTTGCTCATACTGTAGTTAAAGTTTTCCCATAAATAAACATTGAATGATTAGTATGTCAGCTTGAATGTTTGTTTTACAGTTAATTGATGCTGAATCAGGCACACTATATTGACAAGATAAATAGAACAGCTGTTTTCTGGCAAGTTTTACTCATTTTGACACAGGGTTCTACTAAACACTGCTGTGCAAATTTGAATTTTAAGAAAACTTGTTCTCACCCGAAAAGCAGACAACATAACTCAATTACTTTTTATTTATTTCCAAGTGGCAGGAAAACGAAGTTCATATTTTTTCAAAGTTTGCAAGTATGATGATGGAATGTTTGAAAAATGTTCATGTTAATATACATATTTAATTACATGTATATAAAAAGACTAACATTTTCTCATACATTTCTTATTGCAAAAATGATATGACTGCAACATGCACAGCAAAATTTTAATACTCTTTATACAATATACTTCAGGAAACATGACATTATTACATGTAACCTCAAAACAGAGTCTTAACTCTATAATATTATATACTTGCCATTCTCAACAGCAACAAATGACAAATGTTCAATTTCTTTGAAAAGCTGCTGGCAATCCCTCAGGCAATAACAAATACACAATTATAGTTTGTATGATTAATAACTCACATTAAAAGGATCCATTAAGGGCCATTAAACTCCCTTTTTTCCACACATTGATTATAACCAATAAATGACATGAAAAGAGACTCCAAAACCAGGATATTGATTCAAGCTGTCTTACAGGCATCTTGTTTCTTTATCATATTAACCAATGTTATCCCCAGACCCCTTTCTTTGGTGACTTATATCCTACTTTGAATATGGGACAGCAATATCAAAATGCTAAAAGTTTGAAGCCTACAACCACCCAGAGTTTGATCACACTGTACAGGCATGTGGGCAGGTCTAAAGCTCTGAATTAAAGCTATAGACAAGTCATAAGTTCAGACAAGATGCTCTTTAATGAGCTTATTGGTTTAAAATATTACAAGTTCCTATCTCATGCACTGGATTTTCTGCAAAATGAAACCTGTCATTTATGTCTGGAATTAAGAGAAAGTTTTGTCTGGCTTAAATCCTGTTCTGACATTTGAAGTTAATGATAGAATTTCTTCTTGAGGAAAATAGAAAACCAGTCTGTACAATAGTTGAATTAAATGTTTTCACATGATGTTGGGTGGTAATAAGTTATTAATCCCTTGAGTAATAAAGAAGATATAGTAAAAATTATTTTACTGCACAAAAATTTAATAAAAAGTCTTATTGCAGATGCCAACATCCGGCTGAGTTATATACTTTTTATATTCAAACTAAAAAATAAACTGTTTTTGTAACATGTCTCTATAGTATAAGAAGAAGCTAAATTCATGCAGGCATAATTATAACTGTACATCTTTTCTATATACAGTATTTAAAATCTATGGCTTAGTGATACAATATCCTCTGGCAATAATTATGCAGGTTGACTATGACATAAAACAAAGTAACAACACCTACACCTAGAAGAGTGAAAAAAACTAGACTAAAGCTGTTTGTTTTTTTTTTTTGTATGGCAAGTTCGTAAAAACAGCATGGTATAACAAAATAAATAGAAACAAGGACAAATCTAATCACACTTAAAGCAATCTATCCAATGTAAGTGAGGGATTCCTATAACTACAAGATAATCAGACATATTGTACGTCAGACTGAGAGATAGAAAACATAAACTATTCATCAAATAAAAGCCGACAATGTCTGACAACCTGCCAATCTTCCAAGTTCTAAAAAAGCGATAAGCTGAAAGTTGACACTGTATATTTACTGGAAAATAATGAATAACAATCAAAAGTTCTGGCACCGTGAATGAAAAAAGAGCAATGTGTGATTTAAAACACTACTTTTAATAAAAAAGAATCAATCATGCAAAAATCATGGCAAATTGGAAAATGAAAGCTGATATACTAACTTTGCTTGAAATTCTTTTCAGCAAACTAATTCTAAGGCAAAATACGACTTCAGGGTAACAAAATAGCTGTTTGTCAATAATTTAATTCTGTGACCTCTGCTAATTTCTTTCTTTCATGTAATATATACAGTTGATGAATCTTTCTTAGTCTAGTCTACATAATTCTTTTTTTGAAAAGAAGTGCAATATATATTTTTTCCCTCAAATTTAATGATATTTATTTATATTAATCAAAATTTAATCATTTATATATTATGACAAATAATAATTAACAGAAAGAAAGGTTAACCAATGTTTACTATATGCTGATGAAAACAGATTGACAGAGAGGGATCATGTGAACAACAGCTTATTTTCTTGTCTTTGAAAAATAAAACCAAAAACATAAGAGAAACCTTTGTGTATCCAATTCATCTAACTTGCCCTAAATAAATGGCCCTTCAGAGAACACTTCATTTATATTTTTTCAGAGTTTTAACCAAATGATTTATGTGTCTGACAGCATTTCCTTGATTATCTTTAAATGAAGTTTCCAAAAAATAAATGTGGAAGGAAGCCTCTTAAATTCTCTATTTGTTTTTTATGCATTTTTTTTTATAAAACGGTAATGAGTTTTTAGTGTTTGAAGAACAACATATGATAACACTCTCCACTCAACATCTGTTTGTATGCTACCCTGTTCATATAAACATACAAGCATATGTGTACAATATGGAATAATTACTTAGCACAATCTCATGCCAAACTTTTTAATAAAAAACATCTTTTATCATGCGTTATAACATACATGTCAACTGCTTTCTGTTTATTTATCAAAACTGCTTTCAGGTCTGACATAGCTATTCCCACTATTTGTTCAGACAGTGGCCACATGTAACCTCAAGTAAGCTACAGGAGGTGGCATTTTAAATTTATTATTGTGACAATAAGTATAATGATTAATACTTTGGCTGAACATTTCTGACAGAACTATATGTACTTGTATTTCTACACAATGAAAAATATCAAAACAATGTGTGTTGTATTACTTCAATCACATCATATATAATTGTCATGTTGCAGTTAAACTGTCATGTTGCAATAAAATAGCAGAAAAAAATAAGCAAGATTTATATGGGAAAACACTATCTTAATAGGATAGAATTGCAAAAATCTACAAGAAAACTTTTGCGCCCTAATCTAACAATTATAAGGAGCATGAAAGCTTTGTTGTTTACCCCAATCTCTCACTGTAACAAAATAAAACATAGAAATCAATGTAAAAATTAAGACAGTAAGAATGTCTAATTATCTCAAAAATTGTGTCTAATTACATTGAAATTGGACTTATAATGTCACTTATACTGCCAAAATAAACAAATGAACAGAATGTGAACATTGAGTGAATAGTGAGTGTATATCTCTTTATGATTTTAATGAATGAATGCAGAGACATTCCTACTACATCTTCTACTCTTCCCACACAAAACATTTCCTTATAATCCATGCCAGGGAGTTATACATAATTATAAAACATGCATGTTTATCTATTCTTTTTGTAAAGTTCATTATTTTTTTCATTATCTAGAATTCTATGTATTATACAGATTTACAATTTTAACTCAGTTTAATGCCAATACATATTGTGTTCTTCAGTTTGCTGTGCTGTCATACATGTACATATAATACTAATAACAGATGTTTTCATTTTCCTAACATAACTAGTATGATATAGTTCTATGTAATTTACCATTGAAACATGGCTACAATCATTCTTTAAACAATATTCTGATATATATCATACTGGCATACAAAAAACTCTCTCCTTGCTTTTTCAACTAATTGTTTAAAAGCTAAAAAAAACTTAAATAACTTGTATACATAAAACTTGAGGGACATTAGCATTCTTTGGACTCAATTACAAATTCTTTAAATAATAAATCATTCTTTTTCTTGACAAAGGTAAGACATTATTACACATTGTATTTGCTTACAAAAGAATTATTTTATAAAGGCTATTGGAAATTATACTTTCTATGTATGTATGAAGTTTCCTAATTAGTGATATTACTGTGGTAATTAATGCTATGTCCAATTTCTCTCTAAGAAGGATAACTTAAAAGGATATACTATTTTCCACATACTTCAGTTTTATTACTTAAAATATGCTTAAAACCAATTTCAACAATAGAAAATCCTGGCCAACTTAATTAAGATATTTAAAATCATATGTACCGGTAAATAAAGTGACCCATGTGTTTTACATAAACTTTGTTCATTGTTTCAGCTAAGAACATTACAAAGGGTGTCTTCAACTACTGATTCTATGTGCAATTTTTATTATAGAAATTCATATAAATGGAAATTCTTTGTAGGCATCAGAACACTATGTTATTCTGTTTATTAAGGTGCACTACCACTAGAAATTTAAGTGTCTTGTTAAAGAATTATAGTACATAATTACCTGGATCTTTGTTATCCACACTAGATAAGATGGTCTGTAGGAATGTGGACGCGTAGTTTTGTACAGGAACCAGGTCTTTACGTAAGATTTGAACAAATGCTGACGATGCCGCCAATTGCATGTCTGCCTGAGCAACATGGAGAACTTCCTGTAAAAAAGATAAAAAACAACATACAATAATCATCATAGTACTTATATTGCAACTGATAATAACTGCAATCCTTTATCTTCAAATATGAAGAATACTGGCATTTTCCTTTACATTTTATTGTTGTTGTTTTTATTTTCTTTTATATTTTATTCAAAATGTCTTACATGTTTTAACGACACAAAAGACATGAATGGTGATACTTTTTTTAAAACTTGTTATACAGTTAAAATTTTCTCATTAATTTCATTATCATAATACTGTAAGAGAAGTGGACCCAGATCTTTATTTTGTTGCATTTATAGTCTTCACTCAAAACTCATTTTTCTTTCTTTCAATTGCCATGAAAAGAAGCTTAATTTTCTGAAGCATGTCATGCTTAAAACAGATAAATAACTTAAATTCTGCTCACTTCCATGTAATAGAATTTGACACGATGTCGTAAATAAGAAAAGTGCATCTCTGTGCCCTATTTTCAGCAATGTTATTTAATAAAATTGGCAGTTAATTTATAATCCATTTACCTTTCAAGCAATGTTATTCTAGTACAAAAACGTGTTGAGAAAGGCAAATAGAAGCCCAAAAGTCACAAGTGTTTGAACTGGAAGCCAATTATTACCCTACTTACTTTAATAATTCATAAATGTTCAATCAGGATGATTCAAAAGATCAACACAAGCAAGATTTATGTAAATTAGGCACTTGTGATTAATGGGATTTTCATTTTAACAGAATATTGTGAGATCATTGCTCAGATCTTAGTATAAACTTGAATTATGATTGTGTTGACAGAAATCAGTATATACTTCAGCTGACATATTTGGTCTATATAAGACAAGTATGGATAATATTTCAGCAGGGCTCAAGCCCATGAGAAGCTGGCTTGACATCATGCTGCCTTAAATGTTAAAACACAAGATCATGTATTATAATATCATAGTAAAGTTTTTTTTAAAGTAAATGCATGCACATATTAAGTTTGAGGTTTTTTAATTTCCAGAACTGTGGCTATATGCATCCAAATTTCTTGACTATGATTAAAAATTTGCTAATGAATAAATCAAATTTAGAATTCTAATAGTAACAAAGGGTTTTGAATTTTTTTTACAATTTAGGCAATAAACAAACTTTCTTTCATTGGAAACAACTGATTATGCTTAAAAGATATTTTGTTTGTAAACCAGCGATATATTATAAGCTCTATATCAAATTCTAACCCCTGATAAATTATATAAAAAAGGGTTCAACTTGCATACCTCTAGCATTCTCATATTGATTAAATTGACAGTAATGAAATTAGAATTAAATTTCAATACCATTTAAATAGCATTTACCAAATGAAACTGTAATTTGACTTTATTTTGCTCCACCCCTAACCTGTAACTTGTATTTACCTTTTGTACTCGAAATGCAAAACCAGGTTTAGATAAATTTGCCAACAGACTTCTTACCTATTCGTGTAATTAAAATTTTCTATAGGGCTATTATATGAATGTATTTGCACAGTGACATTTTCAATAGTGTGTTATTTATCTAAAGCAGACAAAATTGATTTATAATTTATTCCTTTTTTTTCTTTATCTGAATAGAAACACCTACATTCTTTGCAAGCTATTTTTTTTCTCCAGCTAACCGACTTGTTTGATTTTGTTTTCACTTTTTACAAGGACACTATTACAATAAAAACAATTTAATCTTCCTGCATGTAAATATAGAAAGCAGTAATTAAATTTTTTATCAAAAAAAATACTGCTTGTGTGCAAAATATACATCATTAAATCTTAACCTCTGGCATCTGAAACTGTAGACTGACAACAATAATGGCTATTTTGCTGGCTGTAAGATGAGATTTGACCCTGCGGTAAATGTTTGGTGACAACAATTCAAGTCATAATTGCTTGATTTCAGACATTACAAGGTGTTAGGCTGGATACATTATTCTAATGCACACATGGATAAAAATTAGATGTGACCCAACATAAATCTATGTAAGCAATTCAAATGCTACATTGTATAATTATGTGCGTTTTAAAAAGTTTGAAGTGTGCTAGTAAGTCTGTTTGTGACTTTAACTGTAGTAATTACATCAACATTTTCAGTTTCATGTAATGAGATTATAATAAAATCACATCCTTAAATTCAACCTAAGTACATGTATACATATTTTACAAGAAAATTATATGTATACTTTAACCCTTTACCACATATATACGCGAAACAACGCACTTTCGACCCCCTCCCCCTTTTTGGGGCCTCAAATAGTGAAAAAATGTCCTATTTGGGCCCTAAACATAAGTTTTCGTTTGAGAAATGTTGCTAAAAAAATTGAGCACTTTTTCGGCGCCGCCCCACATCCAAAAGATACATCAGGGGGTTACCAGAAGGGGGATGTGCCCCCTTCTGTTAGGGGGGTTTGAAGGGGGGCGGAGTCCCCCTCATCGCCAAGAAAATTTTGGACTTGTGAGAGGCTAAAAATGACCCCAGGTCGACCATAATGTAACGTTTAACCAACGCTGAAAAGCCTTTGACTCTATCTCAATCCCTCCCTTGAGAAGTTGCAGCACTTTGAAATAAATTTTGATGGAAAAAATCGAGGCAAAATAGTAATTTTTGGCAATTTTGAGATGTCCCCTCGTTGCCATGGTAACAGGAATTTTAAGACTGAGCATGTCGTTACAAAGGCAATGGTCCAGTCAACATGTGTGCCAAGTTTGATTAGTATTGAAGCATTTTTCATAGTTTCATAGCAGTTTGAACTTGTAACAGGAGGCTTTTCAGTGAAAACGGCCATTTTTCACAATATGCTCATGGGGGAAAGGGTTAAATGGTTTGTCTATGATACCTGCACAACTCAGTTGAACATAGTTTTGTCATGTTTGTATTGTATGCATGGGATGTTGAACAAAAATAGCACACATCTGAGTTTCTACACTGTCATGAAATCATTTCTTGAAAGTTTTAAGGTATGCATTATTTGTCTTAAGGTGTCTGAATTTATGAAGGCAGGAAGGATGTAAGTCACTGAATTTATTCCACATTTTTTACCCATCGCAAATGCTGTAAAATGTTTACTCTGAGAAACTTACCCGAACTTTGGGGACAACCCTGCGCATACAGTCAGCATGGCTGTCTTTTAGAAGATCTGGAAGATTATTAATAACACTTATTCTTTGTACTTCTTGACCAGAACTGAAATTATAAATAAAATACAATTTTATACAAGCAATTATAAATTTCAACAAGAACCCCAACATTTTAGAATTATTGCCTCCAAAACAGTTTCACATGATGGGCTGTTAAACACAAGAAAAATAAAATCCTATGAGCTAAATTTGTGTACATATGTCATAATGGATTTAACAGCCTCATCTAACTTGTATCATATACCAAGGGCAATACCTGAAAACAACTCTGATAAAACATTGATATTTTACTAATAGAAAATGGCAGAATAACAACAAATACAATTTGGGAAGAGATTTTCATATCAATTATTGTTCAAGTACAAGCTTCGCTCAGAAAGTGTAAAGAGTATAACAACAACAACAAAAAAACCATTATTGTTTCGAAATAAAAATCAGCTTAACAAATAATACAGAAGATTACTTAAATTTTTACAGTGTAATAAAAGCACTTATTTAGATCTGTTACAAGAATGACATCTACTCTGGCATCTTGTAAATGTTAGATTTAACAACATACTAAAATATGAACAATGATATCAACCCATCCCTAACCATTGTTAAACCATCTTAAAGAATGCACTTCGCCATCAACCACAAATTAATTTCATATTGGTCCCTTAATGGAACTTGACAAAGGAAATATTTACATAACAATTACTGCATTCCGAGATTGTGCAATATATTGGCAATCAAAGCCCCTCTGAAATTGGATCATAAAACCTTGACAAATAAAAAGAACCTGGAATAAATGAAACTGGTGATCAATGTGAAAGCCCTCACACTGAGCAATCAATACAAGTCAACAGATTCCAAATCTAAATCAAGATTTACTCTAACAGGATTTGTTCACAAAAATCTGTCCCAGAATCCATTACAATAATCTGGCTCTAGAAAGTGTAAACAGTTGTTATTGCATTGCTATGCAACAGTTGCTCATGCCAGTTGATTGGGTTTAATGTCAGATCTGAAATAGTTATAAAACAGCTAAACTAAAATAATACACAGAAAATAATTACTAAAAATCATTTGAATTTATTAAAAGGCATATCAAACTATCAAACTCAAAAGTTAATCGCTAAAAATGTAATCATTGGAAAACAATTCAAATTGTTTAAACAGTGGACTTAAGCAATGGCATTTTAAATTCAATGCTATTAAAAATATAAAATATGCTACAATTGATACACTATATATTATAAAGTATATAAACTGTACATAATTAAAGCTATTAATGAATTGTTTTTTTATCAAAGCTGTATAATCTTATTACATAAGTCAGTCCTTCAGAGTTCTTGAAAATGAATACATGTACCAGCATTTCAATTTCATTTAAACTTAATGGGTACTTAAGTTAGGTTTTCTACAATAAAAATATGGCCAGTATTCCCAATAGGCTAATGAAAAACTCAATAACCATATCCAGCTTTTGCATACTCTATTAAAGTGCAGAATTACCAACAAATGGGTGCATAAATCACCAAGAGACAGTTATCATCATTGCCTTTGATGTTATTTTACTGGTGAGATGCAGCAGATGTTTTGTAGGAATATAATCCTGAAATTTGACCAGTTTATTAAATCAGCAATGCATGTCTGTCACATATCACACAGTAGCCAGCAGCTAAATTAACTCTCCTAGTTCAACTTAAGTGTCAACAACGCCTGTTGGAGGTTGAGAATTATTAAAGACGCAGTGACAAAGTGGCTAATTTCTCTAGTCATTTGTTTTGCGGTAAATTAATTTGTCTGTGAGTTATAAATAATGATCTAATGTCACACGCTTGGAATCAATGGTATGCATGATATTCTAGACATTCCAATTAAATATTTGGCACCAAATTTTGCAGCCAATCAGAAAGACAATCATATTCTTTTCTAAGCTCATCCTGGGCACAAAATGTACCATTTTTGTTCTAATATCATACCCTCTCTCAATTTCATTTTAGTTAATACTCAAAGTTAACCAATTCATGTTTAATTGTGAATTTCATTCAAAGGGTATTTATGGCATTATTTCATCTGTGTATAATGTAAATATAAGGCAATGTCTAAAAACATTCTTGCCACTATTACCTAAATATCTAAAATGCAATACATTGTATTTGCAATACACTACTAATACCAGCAGAAAGTTATGTACATGTAGATGTCAATATTTCAACAAACATTTTCATTCTAGTAATAACACCAAGAAACAAAATTAATACAAATAATATTTTTTAAAGAATTCTTCTTAGAAAAGCAAGAACAAAAGGACTGCAGCTTATGAATTGGACATTGACTAGAATAAATACAGTAACTGCTGCTTCCCTTACAGATGACTAATTTGGGGTCTCTGAAGCTATTTCATGCAGTTTGGTCATATTTCATGGGCTGACATTTTCTCCAATTATTAAGTAATTTGCCCCTTCAGGAAGAATGACTCAGATGCACCCCCACCGCTCTAAATAATATTTTATTTAAACGCCTAATCGAAATGGGACTTCACAGGCACAAAATGCAAAACCAATGGATGCAATTTATAAAGATGTTCAATGAAATATGAAGTGTATTTCAAACGATCCCTCATATTAATTGTGCGTAAATGATTTGTAAATGAGTTCCCTACAGGCCCATCTCAAATTAATTGAGAGGATGAGAAAAAACAGATTCTTTTTTTCCAAGATCTGTTCAGAAAAAAATTGTTTACGACACATTCTATTTCAAGCCAAACAGCTTCTGTGCCATCCAAGTTCTAGGAAAATATTTGGAGCTAATATTTCTTATTCTATCAGGCATGAACCATACAGATTAAAATTATTAAAGGAACTTTGCAGAAAGATGTTATATAAATTTTACACTAATGAGATTCTCTCAGTATCTATGATTATCATTACCTATTTTAGTTACATATTAAGCATCTATTTAATAATCAAAAATACATTTACACATTTCATTGAACTAAAAGATACTGCCTGTGCGAAAAAGTCTGGGCAGAATGCAGACAGAATCTGTACAGACTTTATTTAGAAAACTCTTTACAGAGTGAGTGGTTAGCAGTTAGGGCCTCATCACAGTCCATTTGGTAAGCAGTTAAGGCCTCATCACAGTCCAAGTTGTCCATTGCAATTATTAAAATGGAGGACCAAAGAGTAAAAAAAGGTCAGGATATAATTATACAGGCTTTCCCATTTAAATAAGTGTCACAAGGTCTTATTGTCAAAGTCAAGCAAGACCACCCACTGAAATCATGGCATGAAGCAGAAGACCATAACAGAATAATGGGAGATTTTGATCATAACAAAGTTTCTAGCAGAAGATATACAGGTAAATTATCTGTTTTTCTAATCAAATACAACTTCAAACACATACCCTACATTGTTGTAAATTTTCTTCTCAATGTCAAAGAGGTCAGAAAGAAAGAGAGATTTGTTCCAAACATAGTTCAATGTTTTTGGCAAGATTTTCATTTTCAGTTTGCCATGGTTTATTATTGAAATAAAGCAAAACATAAAAGAAAAAAAATCAATTATTTTGATTACAAAAAAGCTATATAATAGGTACTATGATGACTTACGTCAATACCTTACTGAAACTATTAACAATATCTTTTTGTATCATCTCTAACAACTGTAGAAGCAACACAATGCAGATAAATCATTAAGCTATATATACAATTATGTCCCTTTCCTTTCCCACTTTATCATACCATGCTAGGTACCAGACCAGAGTCCTCAACATATGGCAAATGAGAACAACAACTTATTTCCCAGTCATGCTCTAAAATGAACATGAAAACAAGTTTTAATGTTAGCTTATTATATAATCAGGGATGACATTTTAAGGAGGAGACATCAAAGTCTGAATATTTCTCACTACAGAGTCATGTTATAGCTGGTATAATACATGTGATCAATAATTTATAAATGTGTGATCATATAAACCAACAACTGTTATAATTTGTTAGGAGACTCTCTATTATTCTCTCACTAATAGGTCATAATTTATTCTATAACAGTTATAAACACTTCACAAATATACTGTTACAGTTATTACAAATAAAGAAAAATGCTATTATAAATAAAGAAAAAGATTTTTTATTTTTCCTTGTACTTTAACACAGGTCAATATCATTGTCAAAAATAACCAATTTAATAAACATTAATGTATAAAACTTCACATAAAAAGAATCTTTTTCTTATTTTTTCAGGAATAATAATTCAAATTAAGTTTTCAACTTAAAATTAAGTTTTCAACTTAAAATTAAGTTTTCAACTTAAAATCATTAGTAGATAAAGTAGTCAATAAAACAATATAACTCGCTCAAATATTAAACAAGAAAAATTAATTATCATGAACATATGGTATTTTAATTATTTAACATAAGTGAAATTTGGAAAATTTTCTTTAACATAACATCTGATGAAATTTTAATGTTTCCAAGTCTAAAAATTTTATAATTAGGGCAGATTATTTAAAGACCAAAGCCCATATAACAACCTAGCTTATGTTTGATTAAACTTAGTTTTATTTTGTAAAAATAAAGTTTGATTCCCTGTTTCGGAACTACATATAATTTTTGAATTTGATCATTGACCAGTGAATGTAGTGTTATCCAATCAGTTCATAAATAGCAAAAGACAACTTCCAGAAACTTTATGTAAAAGTTAAAAATGTTGTCTTCTGACAGTACACATAACTTTAGGTATTTAATTTGTTTATTTTTTCTAGCAAATACTTTTTCCGGCAGCTTGTTTTTTCTTCTTCAGTGTCTGTTTTTTCTCCCCATTTCTCCCTTACATTTTTATATGATAGAGTATGGTAGAGGCACTTTATCAAAGAAAATATTTAACCATCGAATTAAAGGCGAGGCTGTTAACAGACTTGGTAGTTTAATGATACCATTGTTGAAGGTACCTTCCTTTTTATCAATGTCAAAAAAATAAACAAATTGCTAATTTTAAAACAATTTTAATCATGGCTCCAGTGAAAAAAGTCATTTCAAAATGAAACTACGTTTTTTGT